CACACACCAGTTCATCTTCCCACAGTACGCCTTTGTCACAAGACATGACCCAATATTGTAATGCATATCCTGAATTCCCTAACAACAAATATATTGTCCTCGAATGAAGGAAACAAATAAAATTAAAATTTACCTCGAAATACATAAGTTGGCATAAAAGTAAACTAAGTGCTGAAGAGTGCAACTCTTTTATCATATTCATTCAAAAACCATGATTGATATATCACATATTAAACATAGTGACGAGCAAAAAATAAAAATATGTAGAGCTTACCTGCAGCATATTATGTGCATGTTTTTGGAATGAAATCCTTTTCTGCTGCCATAGCATCATCATCACACCGCATGAAAATTATGCTATATGAGTTCTATCTATACAGCCAATAATTCCTTGGAATCCACCTTTTTCTATAAAACCTCTTTTAATTTGAGCATTTCTTCCTATTTAGCCCAAACAATTCAATGAATCTATCGTCTCTTGGAGATTAAATGCAATTTTTATATTTGAGATGCGTCGTCGTTCTCCTCCTTATCCAACACAAATTTTTATAATTCCTATAAAATAAAAAACGATTTTTGGTTTGGTTGGGATTTTCTTAATCACTGTTTCGATGTTTTTGACACGTGGAGTCTAATTATCCGTGCCCGACCGATGAAACGAATTCTGGCGAATGATAGCCGAGAAGTCTAGAGTAAATTCGGCATCTAACGACGGTTTCCCTTCACATCCGCATCTCTTTCGCTTAGGAATATGGCACAAGTTACAGAGTCTCACTTCAGATAACACTCAAATTCCATGATTAATTATCCACAAAGTTCGCACCAAAAATCGTATTTTTCACTGCAGAGATTTTGTCGCGGGCTCATAGCTTGTAGTTGAATTTTTCCGGGAAACCAAATCTTCGAAGTCGAGTTATTTCCGGTGATTTCCTTCTGTATTCGCGATAAGGGCGTAGCGGCGTAGAAGATTCGATTTGCGAAGAACGACCTGATATTCGACGCTCTCGGATTCCATTTTGATTAATTAGACGTTCCCCCCATTAACCGTATAATGATCGGTGTTCTACATCTGTGTCAAATTATTATTATTATTGATCTCATTAGTTCTCTATTTTTGGTTTGATATTCTTCTCTATGTTGGCGTAACTTTGTGGTTAGAAATCTATTGTAGGAATCATTTTTATCTTTAAATTTTTCTCTTCAATCATCCACTTTTGGGAACAAAAGTGCATTCGTATTGAAAATCTGATGGGAAGAGCTCAGCCAACAAACAAATTAAAAAAAAAAAACACAAATGAAGGAATCAACACGCTAATCCCTTTGCTAGAATGGAGACAACATTATACGCATCTGTTAGTCGAAAGCAGACCAGAATTCATAACGGTAGAGCCACAATTAAATAACGAGGAAATTAATAGAAGTTTAACTATAAAATCTAAGGAAATTGGAAGGGCGCTATCCAGAATGAACAATGGCCAGTCTCCTGGCCCTGGAAACATCCCGTTGAGTCGTTGAAAGCAGGAGGGCCTGGTATAAAAGATACAAATGCAGGTTCCCTCGGAGTGGAAGACGGCGCACCTAATATTTATTTTTAAAAAACGAAACAGATGAAATCCCAAATGCTATCGAGGCCTAAGTGTAAATAATACAATGAGCCGACCTTTTAGTAATGTCGTAAATGATAAAATAACGCAGAACATCGGCCACAGAGTCGGCGAAGAGCAAACTGAATTTATACGAAACCGATCCTGTACAGACAACTTATTTATTGTACAACAGCTGGCAGGAAAGGTTATAACAGTGGATAAGGAATTGCATTTGGTGTTTGTGGATCCAGAAAAGGCATATGATACTGTTCCTAGAGCAAAGCTGTGGGAAACTTAAGAAGACAAACATAGATGATCACCTGTTACAGACACTTAAAAGTTGGAGAGTACGATGTAGCGGAATGCGAATCCTGATAATGATACTTTATTTACATTATTGTTCTCTTACTACATGACGAAACGACTATTCGACGAATATAAAAAGTGGGGGTTACAGACGAGTCTTGAGAAAACAAAATACTGTTTAGTGAACAGCGATGCTCGATTTCAAGTTCTAGTTAACGGTGATGTAGCTATTAACCAAGTGGAGACATTTAAATATCTAGGAGCACTTGTGGATAAAAACGGGGTAGGAAAAGCAACATAATACAACAATACAGTAATGTAGTGGCGAGATAAAAATTTCTCAAATAAAAACAAAAAACGAGTGGGGAAAGCAATGCTGGTGACTTAGTTTCTTGGGCCGTCTTGTATATATTTCCTTCAAATTCTCTTGGGTATTCGGTCTCTTGAAAACAAATAACGTAATAACGTTTCGATTGTATTTTCGATCATTTTCAAAATATTCTTATTTTGTATAAGTCACATATATAACAATGAATGACATTTGAAATTGCGTTAATATATTAAATATTTAAAATAAACATAATTTGCAAATATTGCAAATATTTTATGGGATTTGGAATAGCATGCAAAGCAGATCCGGATATTTTTTATTATTTATTATTTGTATTAGTTTTTGGATAATTTACTTTTTTTCTCATTATGGTATAGTTTTGTAATTAAATGTTTTTTTTTTAGTTTCTGTATTTTTATGAAGTTTTGTTTTTTGGTGTTTGATTCTATTAGTAGAACTTTAAAATTTTGAAAATTAAATGTGTGTTTGGTGTTGTCACGATGGGTATCAAGAGCTGTTTTATTTTTTTTGTCATACTTATGTCCGTTATATATATATATATATATATATATATATATATATATATATATATATATATATATATATATATATATATATATATATATATATATATATATATATATATATATATATATATATATATATATATATATATATATATAATATATATATATATATATATATATATATATATATCCTCACGTATTGATTCACGGATGGAAAAATGGGATGACACTATATTCCGGGATATCATCCGTTCGCTCGTTGAACTCCGACTGGAATCCTGCATCCGACTGGAATCCTGCATCCGACTGGAATCCTGCAAATCCTGCATCCGACTGGAATCCTGCAGACGTTTCGCCAAAATCTCACTTGGCATCTTCAATGCTCGCGCTCCGAAAACACTTCGAACACTGGGAGGTTATCGGCGGTGCGTGCGGTATTTATACTCTGCGCCGGAGATGGTAACGGTGCTGCTTGTGCGTGGGGGGAGGTGGCTCCGCCCCCTGAATTGTCGCGTTGTTAATTTCGCCCGATCGTAGTTGCGATGTCCCCGTTGGCTGCTGCGCATCGCTCTGCTGTTTGATTATCGTTCTCCACGTGTTGGATAAATGCAGAGCGTCGTCTCTCGTATTGAGGTGTCCGGACTTTTCTATTTCGATGGCCTCTCGTATGATCCTAGTCCTAAAATCAGGAATATTAGTTATTTGTTTGCAAGTGTCGAAATCAATTTTATGGCCTGTCTGATGTTGGTGCTGAAACAAAGCAGATGTTGTTTGTTTGTTTCTTATGGCTAAACGATGTTCCTCGAGCCTGGCTGAAATCCTTCTGTTGGTTGGTTCTGTGGTATATATATATATATATTTATATATATATATATATATATATATATATATATATATATATATATATATATATATATATATATATATATACCCGGCGAATTGTTTTTTGTCGTTATTAATTCAGCAAAACAGAGGGTGGCGTGTAACCTTTCAAAACAAACAGCATTTAATTTAAATAATCAACCCCGCGAGCGTGTGTGCGTGGTAGACGAGTGCAATGCGGCTTATCTGATCCACACTGCTGCGAATTATTTTGCTTTTATAATTAAAAATCGGTAAAATAAAATATAAACGCACGTTTTCGCGTATTTTCGGTTATCTATTTGTTGAGTATAGCTATTATTAATTTTAGAATTGCAGTAGATCAGTTTATTTTGTTTTGTTAAGGTAAGAATCGCTCTCAAAAATCATATTACTTTTTCTAATAAGTGCTGTCATCTGTTATTTGGTATTCTAGATACATGTACCACCTCTCTAAAATAATACAAAAAATAATACAAAGTGGTGGAATAGTCGCTGCAAATGTAACTTCCAGAGCAGATTTTATGCAGAGCTAACAAAGTGTACACCATTCCAATAGGACAACAAAGTTCCTCAAGACAAAACCTCAAGACATTCCATTAGGTGAAGAAGAAAAACTAGCAAAAGGTCTCCGTGCCATGAAAAAACGGGGTTTTGGCCTGTCCATAATAATAATAATAATAATAATATTGGATTTCCCAAAAATCTCGTTGTCGCTTTTGTATCGTAATTTTTTTGAAGATTAACTAATGATATATGTGTATCTCTGTTTGTGGCCATTTTCTTCTCAATGATTTGCTTGAGGTAGAATAAGTTGTCATTGCACGGAACCCGCTTTGTTCTTCTTCTTGTTGTTCATTAATTTCTGACTGCATCAACTCTCGTAATAGTCGTCCATATAATCTTGTCATCGTGCTAGTCACTGACAGTCGTCTGTAATTCTCACAATGCTTCTTATTGCCTTTTTTGTAAATTGGGGTGATATAAGCTGTTTTTAATGCTTTTCTATTAATGCGCAAGTTGAAAATATAAGTTAGCATAGTTTTGCTTCCATTTTTGAGAAGCTCAGGGTAAATGCTTTCAGGAATTGGTGCTTTTCCATTTCTAGACTCTTTAGTGCGGATTTGGTCATTTCTATAGTGATTTCAACTTGTCCACCATGTATTTCAATATCTTCCATAAATGAATCATTTAGGAATTCTTGTTTATCTTCTCTTAGTAGTCCGTTATAGTAATCAATCAACAAATATTCAATGTTTGCCCCTTAGCTTTTATCAGTTTTTTATATTAATTATTAACACCTTTCTTCTATCTTATCTAATTTTTGAAACTATTTTACTTGCTGTTGGGTGTAAGGAGGTTATAATAAAAGAATACATTCATTTGTGATTTTATTTGCCTCAAAAACCTACAAGTATCTCATCCCAGACCACAAACGTATTAAACTTCTTCTTCTATCTAACGACTACCTTCATGGAAGGACGTCCTGTTTTATTTGTATCGCTGACGATGAAAACAGTCCCAGCGATCGGATACTTTTCTACGTACTCCTCATCTTCTGAAAGCTTCATAGACCCCACGAAGAAGTTATCGTGTCTGGGCCCTCCCCATGCTACCGAGGTTAATTGGGGGACCACGTAGTGGGCCTTGGCGGTTATCTTTCCGGTGTCTTTATCGACTTGCACAACCTAAAACCGTGAAAATATAAAATTCCGTCATTGCCGAATAAATCACTTACAACGCTGGCGTTGTAAATCGCCACATCTAGATCACCATCCTCGTTTACAGTGATCCCATTGGGTATCCCATGGTATTCGGGGTATTCTGCCAAGTCGAAAGCGATTTTGCTTTCGCCCAAAGTACCAGTTGCGACGTCAAAGTCTCGTCGTTCTATCGTTCCGGTGGTAGAATCGGTGTAGTAGAAATATTTATCGTCATTGGACCAGGTCACACCATTGGGAAACGTCAAATTGGAAATTTTCTCTTCTATTATCACTTTATCGTTATTGGTGATCGTCAGGGAGAATAAGCCTCCACCGCCTTGCTTGAAACCATACCTGCCGCTGCTTTCCAGCTGGTAAGTTCCTGGAACATGCGTAGGAGTGGCCAAGGTGATGTCTTAGATCGTCTGAGGTGCCGTACCAACCCACACCCTTCCGGCACTGTCCGCTTTGGCATCGTTCAGTTCGTATACACTTCCGAAGCTTCCTACCTTCTCCAAATCCTTGACGGTACCGGTATCTTGTCTTCCGTCCCAGGTAAGCTTTACCACATCATGGTAAGCGGTGACTATAAACTCATCTCTCGAGCCCTTGATCGGGATGACAGAATAAATTGATTGCTTCGCTGAAAGTCGTCGCTGCGCTATGACAGTCTTCGTTGATTATCTTGGGGTACTTACGGATTTTGGTGGACGTACTTTTCTTGGCTCCCCAATTGCGACGGTAGACTGTACCGGTGTCGGCGTCCACGTAGAACAGGGCGGACTTTTCCGCGTCCCAGAACACACCTTCGGCAAATTCCACCGGCTCAGTAAGTTGCCGGATGACGAAAGACAACGCACTAAAATTTACCGGAAAAAAAATTATTTGTTGAAAAGTCACATGGATTCACAACGTATACCAAAGTGTATACAGAGTCACTTTAAAAAATGATGGGACTATATTAATTATATTACCAATTGTTAAGGAAGTATGATTTACCCTTGGGTGCAATATGCTATCAGGAGCGTGACTACCAGGAGGCAACATTTTTCCATTGTTGATGATCCACAGTGTAAACTACCAGGTAGCCTTGCGCTTTATATGCCCGACCATTATTTTACTTGGTAACACTTATTATTTAAAAAAATAATAAGCTTGCAGTGACAGGCCTCCGTACAAAATTGATATATTGTTATGCAAATAAATTTATCACATGTCATAGACTGTTTTGCATATTTCTTTTATAGCGATATCATTTTTTATATCCCAAAAACCGGAATGTTATTTTAAAGCTTCGGAATGGAAGTGCGATATAATGCGAGTGTTTGTTACAAACCTGTTGGCTGAGCAGGTTCATCTTCTTCACTAACCACTTTCTGCCAATATTTCCGTTCTACAGTGACTTATTGGTATCACTTTACCTTCGCTAATTTCACCGATTTCTAGGTCGAATGTGCCTCTTCACTTGCTTGGTGACAATTTGTTGTTTTCTTCGCTTACTTTCATCCTTTTCCTTCATTCAAACTCAATATAATTGTTTTTACTTTTAACTTTACTAGGAAAGGTAGGTTAATATATAAATATTCTATCAATTAATATTTTAATTTTTACTCAAATTTTATTATTAATCTTAGAATCTACGGATCGTTTAATTTAAGCATGTATATTTTCAATTCTTATTACCCTTTATGCTACAGAAATTCACTAATGACTACTTAAAATTATCCCTTTCATTTAGTCAATCCCAGACCTCGGCCACTTTTAATTTACTTTAATTTAATTAATTAATTAATATATGATATGATATGATATATATGAGCTTAATTTACTAATTTTTAGATTAATCTCTACATCGTTAATCTATTCTAAGGATGACGTGATATTAGTTGAGAAAGAACTTTCCAAGGACTTCATTTTTTAAAAGTATCATCAGGTCTACGATGATTTATTACATCAGAAGTTTTATATCTTGCTTCATTTTTCTGACGATTTTTTCATAATAGCGTGGCCCCTAATATTGAATTAGCTATAATACGGCATCCGAAATCAATTTTTAATCCAATAAATATCCCTCTACTAAATCCTTTAATCTTATTGTCTTCAGGAATCACAGTATCTCATCTCCAAAGACTATTATGGACGGTTGGCCTAGGAATTTAGTTTATCCTTCTTCAAGCCTTAGGATATTATGAAGCTCCGTTTTCTATTTTTGACTACTCCTCATCTCTTGCTCACTTCTTTTTTCCATCCCACTTTTCTCTACACTTTCGCTCAGTAATCTATAACTATCAGTGCCTTATGAACACTTATCCGATCTCTCTTGATTTCCATCATACTTTCTTTCTACTTGAAGATACTTCCCGTCATTAGTTCTCAACATCTTACGTTATATCGCACTTTCTGTCCAAAGGTTTTGAAAAAGATTACCATTTTGGAGTATAAAAAATGAATTCCTATACAAAACAATATATCAATGTTATCAATTTTGTACTGTAACTATCTATCACCATAAATAATAATGATATAGCGTTACCAAGTAAAATTATACTTTGCCAGCCATATATATAACGCGCAACCTAACAGGACAGTTAAGATTATAGATTTTCCACATCCTCAACAATGGAAAAGTTTTGCCTGCTGCTAGTTGCGCTGTTGATTGCATATTGCGTCCAAGGGTAAGCGATACTTAACAGTTTCTGATATAATGGCCCCTTAAAAAGTCACCATTCTCTATATTGTGTGGATTGTGAATCCATGATCAAAAGATACTTTTTTTTGGGGAATTTTCAGTGGGTTGTCTTTCGTCATCCGGCAACTTACTGATCCGGTGACAGTTGCCGAGGGTGTGTTCTGGGACGCGGAAAAGTACGCGCTGTTTTACGGAGACGTCGCCACCAGTACCGTCTACCGTCGCAAATGGGGAGAAAAGAAGAGTACTTCTACCAAAATCCGTAAGTACCAGAAGACCATTTCCGATGAAGACTGCTTAAGTCTGACTTTTAGCGAAGAAAACAATTTCTTCTGTGATACCGATCAAGGGCTCTAGAGATGACTTTATAGTCACTGCTTACCGTGACGTGGTAAGGCTTACCTGGGACGGAAGACAAGATACCGGTACTGTCAAGGATTTGGAGAAGGTGGGAAGCTTCGGAAACCGATACGAACTAAACGATGCCAAAGCGGACAGTACCGGAAGGGTGTGGGTTGGTAGGGTATCTCAGGCAATCCAAGATGTCACCTTGGTCGATCTTGCGCATGTTGCAGGAACATATCAACTTCAAAGCAGCGACAGGTTCGATTTCAAGCAAGGCGGTGGAGGATTGTTTTCCCTTACCATCACCGACGACGATAAAGTGATAATAGAAGAGAAAATTTCTAATCTAACATTCCCCAACGGTCTAGCCTGGTCCCACGACGATAAACATTTCTACTATACCGACTCTGCCACCAGGACCATAGAACGACGAGACTTTGACGTCGAAACCGGTACTTTGGGCGATAGCAAAATAGTCTTCGACTTGGGAGATTATCCCGAATACCATGGGGTCCCGGACGGCATCACCGTAAACGACGATGGTGATATAGATGCTGCGATTTTCAATGCCAGCGTTGTAAGTAACTTTTTCGGTATGACGCGCTTTATAGTTTCATTTTTGAAGGTTGTACGAATCGATAAGGTTACTGGGAAAATAATCGAAACGGGAAACTACTCGGTCCCCCACTTAACTGCAGTGGAATGGGGAGGTCCTAACAACGACCATTTTTTCACTGGGTCTATGAAGTTTTCGCAAGATGAGGAGTACGTCCACAAGTATCCAAATGCTGGAGCCGTTTTCATGGTCACAAACTTGACGAGAACGGGACGCCCCTCCAGGAAGGTAGTCGTTAAATAGAAGCAAAGGTTCTATGGGCATGGGTTCAGTGTATATGGGAAAAAAGAAATCATGAATTTCTAATATTTGGTTTCATTACAATCCTCGTCTTCTTAACAATAAGTCGGTTTTATTTATATCAGAGTTTCACTTTGAACGCCGGCAGGAGCGATATGGAGAATCCGCTAACAGAGAGCACCGATCCATATTCGAAAGGGTTGAGCCTGAAGTATTCCTCTGTTATCTCATATCGGGAAGTCCCTGCGTAGACAATGTTATTGTCTGGACCACCGGGATACAGACCTGTAGGCTGAGCGAGCGGCAGTGGTAATTCTTGAAGTATCTTTCCAGACTCCGGTTCAATGTGGAGTATCTGGAAAAGGTGCCACCATCACACCCTAGTTTATAACCACCCTCCGCCAATACTCACCGCACTTCCGTTGTACAGCGCAATGCAGATGGTGTCGTCTTGGTAGCTTACCAAGCCGTCGGGGAACCCCTTGAACTTTTTATGTTGGTTCAAGTCGAAAACCACTTTACCTTGGCCAAGTTCACCCTTTTCCAGGTCGAACGGGTATCGCTTCACTTGCTTGGTGGTCGCCTCGACATGCCACATGAACTTGTTATTAGCGGACCACGCTATGCCGTTGGGGAACGTCAACCCAGACAATTTCTTCACCAACGTGGCGGAATTGTCGTCGTTCAAAGTGATCGAGTACAGTACGGCCGCGTTTTGGACGAAGTCGAACAAGTAGCTGCTTTTTAATTTACGCGTACCTATCCAAAGTCTTCCCTTGGCATCGGCCTTGCCGTCATTGAACTGTCCTGGTATCGTGGTCTCCCCTTTAAGTCGCAGCTTCGTCAGGTTGAACTTATCGCCCTTAGAGTCCCAATAGAGTCGGTAGAGACTTTGGTGCGCAGCTACCACGTATTCGTTTTCTTTGCCTTCGATGGGGATTACAGCACCGATGGACTTTTCAGCTATAACTGACGGTTAGCTTGACTTTGTAACGGACAGGCTCACTTACGGATTTTTAATGAGTAGGATTTCTGTTCCCTGACATCTTTTCGGTAGACGATGCTGTTTAGTATGTCCGCGTAGGTAATATGTTCTGTTTTGGCATCGTAAAATATTGATTCTGATATGTAAGCAGGCTCCGTTTCCTGGCTGACTTCAAAGAATGCAGAACTGCTACCGGAAACAAGAAATGGAAAAGGATAGATCTCCCCTATACAGGGTGTCCTACCGGGAACTTCGTCGATCTGTTATTAAATGAAACACCAACACGTCAAAAATTGCAAAAATTGACCACCATTACGGGCATCAGGGTTTATAAAGAGTAGTGAGGAACAGCTAACTGCAGAAAAGATCATTAAAAGGTGGAAGGAGTACTTTGAACAAATGTTTAACATCCACAATGTTAACAAGGTGAGGAAATATTGTACTACTCCTACAGTCCTCTGACGCTGGAAGAAGTAAGGGCGACTCAGGCAAATCCCCAGGAAGTGACAACATTGATGTCGAACTATTAAAACATGGTAGGGAAAGAGTACAGGATAGAGTGCACCAAATCATACAAGCAGCTTGGAATAGAGAAACCATGCCTTAGCAGTGTTTAGAAAGCGTAGTATACCTATACATAAAAATGGTAAAAAAGAGCATGAGCATTGCCCTACTAAAAAGATTAACGCATTATGCTGAGACTTAATAGAGGATTATCAATGTGGATTTAGAGGCGGAAGGTCAACACTGGACCAAGTGTTTTCTACAAGACAGCTGCTAGAGAAACGCTATTTGTAGACTTTCAGCAAGCTTACGACTCAATCAGCGATGACGGAACTAGGAATACCAAAAAAAATTGGTGCCAGTTACCAGAATGTGTGAACACAACGCTCTGAAGCTTTTCATATTAAATCTGGTCTTCAACAAGGTGACCCCCTCACCAGAATGAGGAATTAGAGGAAAATTCTAATAGAGAGAATAAGGAGCTACGCATCAGGAGCTAGGTAATTAAGGAAACCGGGATCTAAAGCTAAAAAGGACGACGTAGGAGATATAGGAGTGTATAAGTAGCTACTTACCATCCAAAATAAGGGACGACGATGGCAAAAAAAACCCACAAAAAGTTCACCATTGTGATTGGGTAATAATCTTCCCGAACAATTCGCCAGCTTATATAGAGGCGGCCAACTGTCACACCAAACGATAAGCTCCAATGACGACTACGTATCTTTTGCTATTCGCGGGTTAAATGAACGCCAACCCCCGTAATTTTAAAATAACAACATAAATTCGTTATCGGTTCCTAACGAGCCGTTTTATCTGCGTAATTGTTTTTGTTGCGACAATAGTATACGCATAGTAAATCGTATGTTTAATTTTATTCTGCTACAATTTTTCTGCTCGACGGTCCTTTCTTGGGCCCCCTTAGCGCCAGAACGCTGCCGTCCCTCAAGTAATTCTTTTCCACGTAATACTGGCTCAATTCTTCGGAGGCGGTGCCTATGAAAAGGGTCCTGTTGTCCGCGCCGCCCCACTCCAGCCCTGTAGGATTTATTAGGGGTATGCGCAGGAAGTTCAGCAATTCGCCCGTGTGAGGCTCGACGACTAATAGCTGCGGAGACAGATGTCGTAGAGAGACGACTCGCAGCTTTGAGGTAATACCTACCGAACCTCCCTTGTGCACCGCCACGATCAGGTTACCATGGTCGTCGGTGGTAAGCCCGTCCGGTTCTCCGTTAATATGGGGATGATCTTTGAAGTCGAAAATTACCTCCCTTTTGCCTAAAACGAGACAACTTTGTTTTTTTTTCTTTTTTTCGCTGGTCTTAGGAAATTTTGGAAGCACATTATTATTTAATCGGTAAAATCTGGACAAACACAATACACCCAAAGGCTCCCGCGAGCCATCCTGGGTCACCGAAAACCTTGGTTGTTTTCTTGCATTGATTATTTATCGGACAGGTGTAAAAAGCGGCGTATCTTCAATTTGTCGGGTCTCAGGTTGCGCCAAATCTGTGCAAACGTTTGAAATCTGCACCTATTCTCACTCAACCCAGACCGGAGTTACTAGATAACATGCGGGAATGTGAGACGCTAAGTAAACATTTTCTTGCGGCTTTTTCGAGCACACATGCAGATGCCGAATTGATCAACTGCTTTCAGACTACAGAGTTTCACTTTATAATAATAATAATAAATTACCTAAATTGGTGTATATTGGTATAAACAAATATATAGTAGAGAAGAGGCGAAGTCTAGCAAAGGCTGTAGTGAAATTTTGTTTTCTGCTCGGTAAAAGTGCTGCTGAAACTGTTTCAATGTTAAAAACAGCTTATAAAGACGATGCGATGGGAAAAACTCAAGTGTACCAGTGGTTTGTTCGCTTCAAAAATGGCGACGAGTCAATTGATCACCGACCTCGTTCTGGACGTCCATTAACTGCTCGAATCGACGAAAATATTGAAAAGATTCGAGAGTTTGTGCTCACAGACCGTCGACAGACAATTGAACAATTATCATAGATTAGTGGGTTGTCTTGGAGCACGGTTCAGCGAATTTTAACCGAAGATTTGGGAATGAAAAGAGTTGCTGCCAAGTTTGTTCCTCGTGTTCTGACTGACATGCAAAAAGAACATCGAGTTGAAACATGTCTTGCTTTGAATCAACAGCTTGAAACGGATCCAGATTTTCTTTCAAATATCATTACTGGTGATGAGTCATGGTGCTTTGGTTACGATCCAGAAACGAAGCAACAGTCCAGCCAATGGAAGACGTCACTGTCTCCCCGTCCAAAAAAATGTCGTCAGGTCAAATCAAACATCAAAACAATGCTGATTTGCTTTTTCGACATCAACGGCGTAGTTCATGCAGAGTTCGTTCCACCAGGTGAGACCGTTAATCAAGCTTTTTATCTGGAAGATTTAAGAAGATTGCGCAACAGTATTCGACAAAAAAGACTTTCACCACGATAATGCACCTGCACACACAGCCATTTCTGTTAAACAGTTTTTGGGTAAAAATTGCATGGTTCCTCTGCCCCATGCACCTAACTCGTTTGATCTCGCTCCGTGTGACTTTTTATTTCCACGTATGAAAAAGGAAATGCAAGGACAGCGATTTGACAATATTGAAGAGGTCAAGAAAAAACGAGGTATGAGCTGTCGGCTATAGCCAAAGATGAATATAAAAAATGTTTCGAACAGTGGAAGCACCGCTGGGACAAATGTATTAGTTGTAATGGAGAGTAATTTGAAGGGGATAAGGTCGTTCTGTGATTTTCAAAACAATATATGCTTAATGATCTAAGGCCGATTAGCTTACTATCTGTGCTGAGCAAGGTGAGGGTTGTCTACTTACAGCTCCATGAATTTGTTAAAAATAATGTCATCCTATGTGTTTTTCAACCGGGTTGCACTGGCCTTCTTTTGCAACTACTTGCAAAATAGAAAACAAGTTGTTGAAAGTTGGTGAAGTGGTATCAGGGATGCCTCAAGGATCAATCTTGGGGCCGCTATTATTTTTATCGTATATATTTGATTTGATTTGGCGATACCCAGCTTGTTTATATTTTTTATCCTTTTCATTATGATGGGGTCAAAGCAGATATTAATATCCATCTGCAGCAGGTTTTTACCGATAGTGAGAGACATGCTTTAAGGTTAAATGCGGGCAAAACTCAGGTGCTACTCTTTGCTCGCGACTCTGCAAAGCACTTCCTAAAAAGATGCCAATAAGCATTTATTGAACTTTAAAGTTAGGAAAAACTTTGTGATTATATCTGCATAGTCATATTGCCTCGTAAGGAACTAGGAGCACGAGTTCCCTAAATTTAAATTGTGGCAGTGGTTGAGAATAGACAATTTATTTTGAGCACATATTCGCTGTGCTAATATACAAGATCTTAAGTCTTCTAGCCCTCCTTAATTAAAAGATAGGCCAATTTTTACGCTAACTGTGCCTTAACACAGATCTGCTCTTTATGAGACCCTTCTTTGCCTTGCCATCTTTAAAACTATTTCGAAAGAATATTACAGGCGTGTTATTACATAAATAAAGCGATTAATTGGGTTTTTCATCTATTAATTAATCACAGAATTATTTTTATAATTACTTACTTTCTTTTCCTTTTGTTTTTATTTTATTTTTCTTTTCTTGTTGCAAATTGTGTTGTCAATATGGTGTATTGGTATTGTATTTAGATTAATTGTGTTGGGTTAATGTCGAGTAGTTGGCTTAGTCCGCTAGACTTTGCCCCTTAAGAATTTAGTATTGTATATGTATATTACGTATCTCAATTCTCAATAAAGACTATTATTGTTATTATGATTTAGCACGTTCTTTTTGTAGTTCCCTCTATTTATCACACATGGGCATGCTTACCGATAGACCCGTTGACATCAATAGCGTACTTGTAAATTTTCCTGCTGTAGGTTCCGACGTGGAACATGTGTTTGTTGTCTTCGGACCAGTCGATGCCGTTGGCGAAAGTGGCGTTAGCGAGCACTTTCGTGATACTAAATCGTTCGTCTTTGTGAAGAATGATGCGGTAGAGTGACCCCGCCCCTTCTACGAATTGCTTGTTCCCCTTGAGTAGGTAGGTGTCTACAAAAACGGTTGTTGGAGTAACCAGCATCGACTATCGAAACTGAATCCGTACTGATCCACAACCTTCCTTTCACGCAGACCCTGCCGTCTCCAAATATAGCTTTGTCTTTGAAGTTGTCGGGTTTCCTCAGCTTCACGATTCTACGGGTACTCCAGTGGACCGAGTAGAGGTCGTGGTTCGCTGCCACGATAACCTCACCTACCCTGCCCTTTATTGGTACTACGAGACTAACTGAAGTTTCCGCTGCAATACCACGCTTTCGTATAAGCATATACTCATTTTGGTGGATCACTCACGTATCTTTATCGAGGTTCTAATTTTGTTTCTTGGGTCGTAACGGTGTACTTGGGCGCCCAGCACATCCACATAGTACAATACGTGCTCGTCTCTGTCCCAGAATAACGATTCTGCTACTCTATCGGTACCTGGAAGTTGCTCGAAGTTCAAATCCAAGCTAGAAAAGAGGCCTCTTACGTTCCGGTGGTTTTACAAAGTGTTGTTGGCTTACCCTTGTACATATGGCAGTAAAACCACTGCCAAGGCCAAAATAGTTCTCATGGTTGTAGCTATGGTATGATGCCAAGGGCAAATTGTCGCTTTATTTATACCAACTGGGTAACTGATAGCTCGTTTTTTGGTTCATAAATAAATCCGATGTCACTGATAACATAAAATAACCTTTTTGTGTACCAATTATTTTCTGAAATAACAATATGTGACGCAGTAGCTCTGGCAAATATCATTTGTGATTGATGAAACCTGCATATATGTGCAATTAATGGCACCTTAACTGAGTGGCAATTAAAAATATACGACTAAAGACTGGGGAATAAAAGTTAAATACCAAATGTGTTTGACATTTTATTTTTAAGTATTTTTATGTATACAGAGTGTTGTCAGTTGTTATGTCAGGATAGTAACCAATATTTTTGAAAATTCTAATTCCCTTGAATTTGAGTATTTTTCTTTGGAAAAATGTGTTTTTCACACTTGAAAAGTAAAATACATGGCTTTTATTACAGAAAATAATAGTTTACCCAATATTCTGTAACAACCTATATAATATCCTATAAGTTTATTTTGAATATTAATTATTTACATTCAATATAAAATCAACGTCAGTGTCGTATTTATTGAGGTAAGCTATAATGGCATCCTCTGTCATATTTGTGCTATGTTTTTTGCCGAAAGGATCAACCGGTATCAAATAGTTGGTATAAGCATTTTAAATATCTGAATTAAATCTATAGACGTATGGTAACATGAATAAAAAACATTTCATAGATAGGGTTATTTTATTTAGGCTATTATTTAAGCTCGATCTTGTGCGCCTGTTCCCCAGACGTAGACAATTTTCTGACAACATAGATCGCCCCTGAATCGAACACCGAAGGAGCCTCTGAAGTAGGCGTGTCAGACTGTTCAGTCGCGATGCACAGCTGGTCATAACTTTGGCCGCACCACGTCACTGCTGTGGGGTTGGGAACGGGCAACAGAAGTTGCTTCTCCAATTTACCGGATTCGCCGTTGACCTTTAGAATCTTAAAACCAACAAATGTTATGCTGACATTGACTAGAAACAATGTGACTCACGGAGTATCCTCCATTTAGAGCCACGGATAAGCTGCCATCTTTGTTTATTGTTAGGCCGTCTGGATAGCCCTGAAGTTTAGGGTAGTCCTCGACTTTAAAAAGTACACTACTTTTACCTAAAAGCTCTTTGACCTTAAAACATTCCTTATGTGGACCCTAGATTAATACCCAGTTGTCCTTTTTGAAGATCGAACTGGATTTTGGATATCGTTCGCGGTGTAGAGTCCACTATGTACATGTATTCGTTATCTTTGGACCATGCTATACCATTGGGAAATGTGAGGTCACCTAACTTCTTTTCGATGGTAATAGATTTGTCCTTGTTCACGGTTACCATGTAAAGAGACCCACCGCCTTGCTTGAAACTCATCTTTGACAAGTCGATTGCTTGGTACGTATCTGCACAACACTGTTGTTATTGCTGATCTAAGACTGATATAAATCACGCACTTATCCATAATCTGCCTTTGGCATCGGTCGCGCCCTCATTGAGTACTTCGTTCTCACCGAAGACGCCATCTTTTCGCAACTTGGTCAAGTTTCCGGAACCATTTTCACCGTTCCATGTGAGATGTACGATATCGTGTTCCGCCCCAACTATGAACTCGTCCTTTTTACCTTTTATAGGAATGATGGCACCCACGGTACCCTCGGCTGGAAACCAAATTGAAGTGCGAGCTTAACCTCGAGATGGTTTTATATACTTACACACTTTGGTGTGAGTTGATGCGTTGGCCATATATTTGTGGCGGTACACAGTTCCTTTTGCTATATCCACGTAGTACTGCGCTTGTGCACTATGGTCCCAGTAAATTACGGTTGCATATTGAACCGGTTCTGTGATCTGCCGAATTAGGGTACCCAAACGGCTGAAATCGACCGAAGGTACTAGAATATGATCTCTCTGGATAATGTTCCTTACCATTCAATGTAAGGCAACAATGCGACGACTATCAGAACTAGCGCTTTAACCATGTTTTCAGTGATACTGTAATCAAAATAAGTACATACTGCTTAAATACACCAGTCCATTAGTTATAATGATGTTACCAAATTATCGATTGGCAAACATGTGTGTTTTTTTTGTCTAATGAGAATGATTTGCTTGTACTCATTATCTCATTCTTCTTGACGTAATGAGGCTATGAGAATATTTCTAAACTTCTTCTGCGATTTCACAGAAGAATATTTAGCGTGTATTAAATTAAAAACCTTTGATAGAACTGAATTATTTATTAGCCGCTCAATATAGCCTTTAATGGAGTGCAATCTTATACGCCTGTAAATTGGGAAAATGGCCCCCCGAGTAAACAAAAACTGCCTTTGAGTCATAAGGGTTCAGTCGTTTCTCTTGCTCAGTGAGTCTATAATCCGATGATGCAAAATAAGCAGTTTTGTTGTTAGGTCCACCAAATACTATAGAAGTAGGCAACGGTACCGGATTGGATACGATGTAGACTATTTCGGCGGTCTCTTGGTCGATATCGATAATCTGGAAACGAAGTGGTTTGAAGAAATCGAGGCACTCAGAAGGATACGTACACCGGTGCCGTTGTATAAAAGCACTGTGATGTGATGTTCCTTCATGGCTATGCCGTCCATACCACCTGTAATGTGTGGATGGTCCGCTTGACTGAAGAATACTTTGCCTTCTCCTACAAATAAGAAAAAAATACTCGCCATCGTGAAAGACGACGAACGAATATTACCCAAATTTCCACTGTCAAGATCGAACTTGTACTTCCTAATCTTCCCCTGCTTGGCATCTATGTGGAACATGATGCGATTATCAAAGGTCCAACCTAGACCACTGGGAAACGTCAAATTGGCCAATTTCCTTTCAATTTTCACCGAATCGTCTTTGTTTACGGTGATCATGTACAGAGAACCCCCACCTTCGACCCATTGGTATTTCTCCCTGTCGATCACCTGGTACGTTCCTGAAATCTCCCGTTTTTAAATGATTAGCTTGCACTAAAGCCAGTATGCCTACCAATCCACATTCTACCCTTGGCGTCAACTTTCGCTTCATAGAATTGCTCCTCTCTTGAAAATTCAAAGTTTCTCTTTAGTTTGGTCGCCTTTCCAGTATTGTTGGTACCGTCCCATTCGAGCCTCAGTAAGTCCTGATAAGCAGCCACTATAAACTCACCAGCTTTGCCTTCAATGGGTATCGCTGCACCTATCGTTTTCGATACTGAAACACGTTTTTTAGATCAGACCTGGCAGAAATATTTGAATCTACCAATTTTGGTGTAGGTGACTTCGTTGGATCCGTGGATGTGTTGGTATACGGTACTTCCTAGTACATCTACGAGGTATATGGCTTGCTTGTCGATGTCCCAAAATAGCGACTCTCCTAGTTTGGTGATTGGTGGAGTTATTTGTTTCACCCCGAAACCTAAGAAGCTGAACGGACGTTAGATGTCAAAATAAATTGGTCAATATTAACCATTGAATGTATGGTACCAGTAACCAAACGATGGATATCTTTAACATTTCCGCGATCATTTTAAGAAATATGTTTTTTGCCTTCGTGTATATGACGATGCATTGACAATTTTTTTGCAGCAAACGCGCGCAATATTTATAATGTATCATTATAATTTATCTGTAGGCCACGTACCAGTAAAATTGTCGTCGATAAAATGAGTGAACAAAAAATACTCGACTGGGTACCTTTCAGTACATGTACATGTACAGTTTATTTTCAAAATCTGTTATTAAAAGAAGTGTAGTCAAATTTATTATTTATGTTTATATGTATATATAAATAACACAGAGTTTTTTGCAGCTGTCGCCGTTCCTAGCTTCCAACGCTTGCAATCATTCCATTGTAGTTTTCTATACACCATTGCACAGTTTGCTTCTTGTTTTCACGATTTTCTTGCTCTACCTCTTTTTCTGCGATCGGTGGGGACCCATTGTAACAGTCGTTTTGGCCATCGCTGATCATTCATCCTTTCCACTTGGCCATACCATTTCAACCATTTACATTATATAGTTTCCAGGTTGTTAATATCTATACCCATTTGCCCGTTGCTCTCTATTTCTGGAACATGTCCCTTCTAGTTAGCTGGCAGCATCTGTGCCAACAATTCATTTCTTTTATTTTGGAGGGGTCTTTTTTATTTATTACCCAAAACTCTCAGCCATAAGCTGCAATCACTTTCTTTGATACTTTTATACATTCTAATTTTTGTGTTCCGAGTGTGCAATCCTAGTTACTATTTCTTTTGTATTATGTATTGTATTACACCAAGGTATTTGGAACTATCAGCGTTTTTAATTCGTGCGCCTCTTTACTCTAAATGTGGCCCTTCATTTCCCACTACTACATACTCTGTTTTCGATGGGTTAATTGTTAAACCACACTTGCTATATACTTCATCGATTAATCGCAACATATAGTAAACATCTTCCTCATCTGCTCCAAATATTTCTTGGTCATCTGCAAAATTAAGGCTATAAAACTTATGATCTTCATTTCGAATACCCATTTTCTGTTCCAGATTTACAAGAGCCCCTCCAACTAGAACTTAAAGAGTGTAGATGCTATGCAACAGCCTTGCCGAAGTCCTTTGGTCACCTTTACCTTTCTGGTTACTTTTTGCCCAATGTTTATTAGACTCGTCATATCGTCATATAACTCCTTGACTGCATTAATGTATATTAGTGATTGAAAACGCTTTTCTAATGAACACCAGAGCCGTTTTGATCATGGAGCGTCCTCCCAACAATCTTTAATTCTGCTTTTAATTATCTTCCCATACAACCTGCAAATTGAGTTGGTTACACTAAGCTCCTGGTAATTTGTACACTTTTATTCTCGTATATGTTGATGATATATGCAGTTTTCAATTCTTTGGGTATTTTTTCACCTCTCAGGAATAAGTTGTCAGGACTATTTTAATTAGTTCCATGGGTACTCGCCCCCTGTCCTCAAGCCTTTCCATTTTTTATACTACTGGCGTGTTATTATAATTATTTATGTTACTGCTGGAGATCTCGCTGGGGAAAACTGCAATAAAGTTTTGCGGCTCCAGTTTCTGTAGTATGTACACAATGAGGAATTTTTGACGACGTAGAAGAAAAGAAAAAACGCCCGATAATAAAATATTTATTTTTATACAAAATGTTATTTTAATGGACAACAATTCTGTACGACGGTGAGTGCGGAAAACTGTATCCCGAATAGGCAAAAACAGCCCTTGAATCGAAAGGGTTCAGTCGTTTCTCGAGCTCGCTAAGCCGAAAGTCTGATGATGCAATGTATGCCGTTTTATTGTGAGGACCGCCGAATACTATGGAAGTTGGCAATGGTACCGGGCTGGGTACGAGATGGCTTACTTCTGCGGTGTCCTGGATGATGTTTATTATCTAAAAGCGATGTTACTTAGGGTAATCGGGACACCGGTGGGGATGCTTACCACGCTTCCATTGTATAAAGGTACTGCGATGGCACCATCCTTAACAGCTATGGCGTTCAGCTCTCCAGTGATGTGAGGATAGTTGGTTAGGTCAAAAAATACCCTGCCTTCGTCTAAAAATGGGTTAAAACTAGTTGCAATAGAGGAGAGGTAAGGCGCTAGTACTCAATTTTCCACTGTCGATGTCAAATTTGTATTTTGTAATTTGTCCCCGATGGGCATCCACGTGGTACATGAATTGGTTGTCCAAGGACCAACCTAAGCCACTCGGTAAAGTTAAATTGCTCAATTTCTTTTCAATATTAACCGAATAGTCTTTATTTACGGTGATCGTGTCAGTGAACCCCCACCTTCGACCCATTGGTCCTTTTCTCTGTTGATCACTTGATATGTTCCTTCAAATTACCTTGGTTAATAAAGAGATTGAGGTAGTTTCGCGTTCCGTACCAATCCACATTCTACCCTTAGAGTCAGCTTTGGCTTCATAGAACTGCTCGTCCTGTGCAAATTCAAAGTCCTTTTTTAACTTGGTTACCTTTCCAGCATTGTTGCGACCATCCCATTCGAGCCTCAGCAGGTCTTGATAGGCAGCCACGATAAACTCGCCAGCTTTTCCTTTGATTGGTATCGCTGCACCAATGGTTTTCGAGTCTGAAAAACACTCCTATGATTATATCTATGAAAAATATTGCATTCTACCAATTTTTGTGTAGGTGACTTCGTTAGATCCGTGGATATGTTGATAAACGGTACTGTCTAGCACATCTACGAGGTATATGGCTTGCTTTTCGCTGTCCCAGAAGAGCGACGCTCCCAGTCTTGTGATTGGTGGAGTTAGCTGAATTACCCCAACACCTACGTGACTAAATGGGCGTTAGATTTGAAACTAAATTGTGTGTCCCTACCATTGAATGTACGGTACCAAAAGCAAAATGGCGGTAATCATCAACATTTTCTTAGTGACTTTGGGAATATGTTTCCGCACACGCTTATATTGCGAAAATTGGACGCGTTGTTGAAATAAAGAGTTATGGCGATTATATATCACTATAATTTATGTTTGGGCCACGCACTTAGATATTTTCAACATATAAAAATTGGAGTAGAAAGGTGATTTATGGCGTGTCTCTTTTAGTAGCATCAGTATTATTAAAAAAATCGTAGTCAAATTTTTTAGATTTTCTGTAGGACGTAGACAATCAGGAATTTTTGTAATGAAAAAGAAAACACCCTATAACACAATGTTTATTTTTTTATAAAAGGTGTTATTTTAATGGATAACAATCCTGTGCGACGGCGAGTTCGGAAAATCGTATCCAGTGTAGGCAAAAACGGCCTTTGAATCGAAAGGATTCAGTCGTTTCTCTAGCTCGGTAAGCCGAAAGTCTGACGATGCAATGTATGCTGTTTTATTGTGTGGTCCGCCGAATACTACGGAAGTTGGTAATGGTACCGGACTGGGTACGACGTTGTGTACTTCTGCTGTCTCCTCGTCGATGTGTAGTATCTAAAAACGATGTTATTTAGGGCAGTCGGGGCACCGGTGGGGATGCTTACAACGCTTCCGTTGTATAAAGGAACTGTGATGACACCTTCTTTAATGGCTAGGGCGTCCAGCCCTCCAGTAAGGTGAGGATAGTTGGCTAGGTCGAAAAATACCTCGCCTTTGCCTAAAAATAGGGGAAAAAAACTAGTCACAATAGGGTAGGGGCGAGTTTGTGTTACCTAAATTTCCACTGTCGATGTCAAATTTGTATTTTTTAATCTGTCCGCGATGTGCATCCACGTGGTACAGCAATCGGTCGTCCAAGGACCAACAAAGGCCGCTCGGGAACGTCAAATTGCTCACTTTCTTTTTAATATTCACCGAATCGTTTTTGTTTACGGTGATGCTGTATAGAGAACCCCCACCTTCGACCCATTGGTACTTCTCTCTGTTGATCACTTGGTACGTTCCTACAAACCACCTTGGTTATTAAAATGATTGAGGTAGCTCGAGGATCCGTACCAATCCATAATCTACCCTTAGAGTCAGCTTTGGCTTCGTAGAACTGCTCGTGCTGTGCAAATTCAAAGTTCTTCTTTAACTTGGTTACCTTTCCAGTATTGTTGCGACCATCCCATTCGAGCCTCAGCAGGTCTTGATAGGCAGCCACGATAAACTCACCTGCTCTGCCTTTGATGGGTATCGCTGCACCAATCGTTTTCGAGTCTGAAACACACTCGGCTGATTATAGCTCAGAAAAATATTGCATTCTACCAATTTTGGTGTGGGTGACTTCGTTGGATCCGTGGATATATTGGTATACGGTACTGTCTAGCACATCTACGAGGTATATGGCTTGCTTTTCGCTGTCCCAGAAGAGCGACTCTCCCAGTTTTGTGATTGGTGGAGTTAGTTGAACTACCCCAACACCTACGTGACTAAATGGGCGTTAGATGTGAAACTAAATGGTGTGTACCTACCATTGAATGTACGGCACCAACAGCAAAATGGCGGTAATCGTCAACATTTTCTTAGTGACTTTGGGGAATAATGTATTCGCAGTCGCTTTTATTACGAAAATTTGACGTGTGGTGGAAATAAAAAGTTATAGCGACTATATATCATTATTATTTATCGTCCAAAAAAATCTGGTGATGTGAACGAGGATTAAATAGAGGCATAAAAAATCTGCGGCTGTTAACAAGCACTTGTAAAATTTCCGATGTCTGTATTAATTTCGAGCAGGAATAATTCACTCATGTTAATCTTTTCAGCCTTGCATACAGGAGAAGCATAGAAAGAAAGAAAGAATAGCATAGAAAAAATGACCAAAGGACTAAAGGGATTGCTGGATTAAAAATATTGCTGATTAAGATGCTTTCTTTAATGGAATACCTAGGGCTACTAATACCCGCATATGCGCTGCAGAGCTCCCAAAACAAATCTTAAATAAATAGTCTACCTTCAATATTTTCTTTTATCAACAATAAAACTCATAATATTTCGCTTCGTCATAATGATAAAAAACAGTGAAGTCGCCTAGTTGTTATATAGTCGGGATTGAAATAGGAGAAGAGGGTGAATAGTATCAAATTTTCTGTTGGTTTTATAATAATAGTGTTTTGTGTGTATCTGACAATTCATTTACACTATGGAGGTAGTCTTTAATTTAATTAATGTGAAGAGATTTTTTAAATATTCATACGAAGAAAAGTGAGATTACCAGATATAGCCAAAGCTACTTAAGTAGAAAATTATATACGAAAATTTTGTAAAGACATTTATTGGGTAAATATACAAAAACAATATGAAAATGTTGTATTTAATTTTGCATAGCTTTTGAATTGACTCTTATTATTTTTTCTGCTGAATTAGATACAACTCTAAGTGAGCACAAAATTCTTCGGTATTTAAAGGCACCTTCAAATAAATTCAGAATGATCGGTTACAGTGCATGCTTGAAGTTTGTCCATTGACAGATTATTTAGAAAATCAGTAATTCTGAGTTTTTGGTTGAGACATTTTTTTTTGCAATAATTGCAAAACGCCTTAACATTTTTCCCACGAGCCGCCACTGTTAACCTCAAATAGATTGGTGAAAGACATTTTGTGATGCATGTGAACAAGAAAAAACGATTGATATTACTAAATATTTTTATTACGTTATTGGGTCACGGAACAAGTATATCATCAACGTAATGAAACTTTATGCGAAGCTACACCCCAATAGCGTAATCCTGTATAAGCAAACACGGCTTGCGAATCGAACGGGTTCAACTGCTTTTCGTCTTCGGTCAGCAGAAAGTCAGAAGACGCCACGTAAACAGTATCAAGATGAGGACCACCTACCACCAAGGACGTGTGTTGTGGTACCGGGGTGGGCACGACGTAGATTATTTTCCTGGTATCTTGGTCCACGTCTACCAACTGAAAGTGATCTTATTCAAGGTTGTCGGGGCGTGGGTGTGAGTACTTACAGCGCTACCATGGTATAAGGCAAATGTTACGAGGTTATTTTTCACTATTAATCCGTCGATACTACCTGAGAGGTGCGGATGGTCTGCCAGATCGAAGAAAACTTCCCAGTCGCCTGCCAAATTTTAAGAAATACTAATATCTGCAGAAGAAGTGGAGGTCGCGTTACCCAGATCGCCGCTGTCGATGTCAAATGTGTACTTCTTAATTTTTCTCTCCGTAATGTCGGCATGGTACATGAAACGGTTATCAGAGGTCCAATCTAAACCAGTCGGAAAAGTTAAATTGCTCAACTTTTTTTCGATTTCGACCGAATTTTCTTTTATGGTGATCATGTACAACGAACCCCCGCCCTTAACAAACTCATACTTCTCCCTGTTTATCACTTGGTACGTTCCTAAAACATAACGGTCTTAATCAAACGGTTAAGATATTTGCAGAGCTCCATACCAACCCACAATCTACCCTTGGCATCAGCTTTAGCTGAGTAAAATTGCTCATTGTTTGCAAATTCAAAATTTATATTTAATTTGGTCACCTTGCCAGTATCGTGAGTTCCATCCCATTCTAGTTTCAGTACGTCCTGGTTCGCAGGAACGATAAACTCACCAATTCTGTCTCTGATGGGTATGGCCGCTCCTATCGTTTCAGAATCTGAAACCAAGTGTTCTTGCCAATGCTACTGGTTAAGAATAATCTGTACTAACCGATTTTGGTGGATGTGGTTGCATTGGACCCATAGACGTGCTGGTATACCGTACTGCCCAGCACGTCCACCAAATATATGGCTTGCTTTTCGCTGTCCCAGGAAAGGGATTCACCAAACCTGGTGATAGGCGTTGTCGCCTGCCGAACCGCCAAATCTACTAAACTAACATGGCGTTCTATTTTCAAATTAAATGACGTGTAAGACTCACCAGTGGATGTAGGGCACTATTAGCACAATAGCAAAATTCCCAATGATAGCCATGTTGATAATTTGGCATGTCAACAGTTTGGGGTTATTTATATGTCCGTGCATGTTGTTTTTAACAACAGATAGTTCATTAGCATTTACAGTACTGCTTATCGTTCTCATATATCATCCAAAGCAAAACAGAGAAAAACAGTTATGGAATTCTCCAAATAGGGCATAACTTAAAGCATAATTAATCCTCTACAGCGTCACACAAGAATGATGCTTCTGATTAGCATAGTTTTTTCTTCAGAAAGCCGACGCAAAATATATATCAAATAAGATGTTACTAAATAGCAATTTCAATATATATATATATATATATATATATATATATATATATATATATATATATATATATATATATATGTATATATATATATATATATATATATATATATATATATATATATATATATATATATATATATATATATATATATATATATATATATATATATATATATATATATATATATATATATATATATATATATATATATATATATTGCTATAAAATGATAATTTATTATCGAATTTATCCACTGTATTTATTGTTAGATTTTATCATATCTATAGGTCAACTATTCATTCTCCAATTCCTCCATATGTTCAAAATTAGGTTTTCATTGATATAACTTAAAAGAAGTTCAGAAACATTTTATTTATTTATTCATTGATCAACGGAGATACTATAGGTTTGCACCCTTAATGTATCCAGAGAGTGTAAGGGGTGATTCAAGATGTTTGGTAGGTTGGATGTTTATTGTGAATGAAGCGAGCATCCTCCATATAGGTAAGTATTCAGAAAGTCAATTAAAAACCTCTTCAAATGAAGCATCATGTTATTATACCTAAATATTAAGAACTCCGAAATAAAAGGCAAGTTATTGTTGAAATTTTATTATTTGGATTGGATTAGTTCGATTGTACATTTAAAAAACTTCACAGTTAATGTATTACTTATCATTGGTTGTATTGTTAAAGTTTGAGAAAATTTGCTAACGAGAGAAATACTCAAAGTTGTGAGGAATTTGTCTATTTTTCAAGAGTAATTGTACAATAATAATTGCAAGAAAATGAATAACGTTTAATAAAATGTATTTTGATTTACCAATGACGGAGACCATGAGAAGTTTAGCAGTCACGCTAAATAACAAATACGCCATAACAGCATTAAATGAACATTAGTAACGAATGTGTGAATAGTAAATAAAAAAAAATTACAATCAATTCGCGGTTGCAAGTCTGCAAGCCTCTTGGTTCATGGGGTCGCTGAGAATCTAACGTTTTATAAATCACGACAAACAATAAAAAGCTTGTTATAATTAAATCTCTTTATTATCTCTCCTAGCAAGGATTCAATCAGTGTAATAAAATTTTGTGAAAAGCTATACCCCACGTCTTCAATCCTGTATAAGCGAAAAGTGCTTGCGAATCGAAAGGGTTCAACTGTTTTTCTTCGTCGGTCAGCAGAAAGTCAGAAGACGCAACATAAGCAGTATCAAGATGAGGACCGCCCACAATCAAGGACGTGGGTTGCGGTACCGGGGTGGGTAGGACGTAGATCAATTTGCTGGTATCCTGGTCGACGTCTACCAACTAAAAATGATTTTATTCAAGGTCGCCTGAGCGTGGGTGTGAGTACTTACAGCGCTGCCACCGTATAAGTTAAATGCTACGAGGTTCTTTTTCACGATTAATCCGGAAATACCACCTGAGAGGTGTGGATGGTGTGCCAGGTCGAAAAAAACTTCCCGTTCGCCTACCAAATGAACGAACCATTATTCGGTGTAGGAAAAATTGAAGTCGCGTTACCTAGATCACCGCTGTCGATATCAAATTTGTATTTTTTAATTTTTCTCTCCGTAATATCGGCATGGTACAGGAAACGGTTATCATATTTCCAATCTAAACCAGTGGGGAAAGTTAAATTGCGCAATTTCCTTTCTATTTCGACCGAGTCTTTTTTTATGGTGATCATGTACAAGGAACCCCCGCCCTCAACAAACTCATACTTCTCCCTGTTTATCACTTGGTATGTTCCTAAAAGCCAACCGTATTATTCAAACGGACGAGACGGTTGCAGGTATCCATACCAACCCACAATCTACCCTTAACGTCAGCTTTTGCTGAGTGAAATTGCTCGCCTTTTGCAAAATCAAAATTTTTCTTTAACTTGGTAACCTTGCCAGTATCCTGGGTTCCATCCCATTCGAGCTTCAGCACGTCCTGGTATGCAGGCACGATAAACTCACCAGCTCTGCCTCTGATGGGTATGGCCGCGCCTATGGTTTCCGAATCTGAAACCAAGTGGTCTTCCCAATGTTGCTAGTTAAAAAAATACCGTACTAACCGATTTTGGTGGATGTGGTTGAATTGGACCCGTGCACGTGCTTGTATACCGTACTACTTAGCACGTCCACCAAATAAATCGCTTGCTGATCGCTGTCCCAGAAAAGGGAGTCACCATACCTGGTTATCGCCGGCGTCGCTTGCCGAAGGGTCAAATCCAAAAAACTAAAATAACGTCGAAGGATCAAATCAAACAGAGTGCTATACTTACCAGTGGATGTAGGGCGCTACCAGCAGAATACCGATAATCTTCATTTTGTACATGGTGATGATTTAACTTACCAACAGTTTGGGGTAATTTATATGTCCGTGCCTGTTGTTTTTGCGTGGACAGTACGGCTTATCGTTGTAATATATCATCCAGAACAAAACATTCAGATATAAAAAGTTGTAGAATACTTCAAATATAGACATAATTTATTATTATTTTTTATTTTTTGAGATGTTTATTAAAGAACGGCTAATCTTGTACAGCGTTTATTCTTCAGCAGAAAGCAGGCAATTGGCTATAATGGCCAAATGTGGCTTAATAATAATTAATTTCTATAATAATACATAGGTACCAATAAAGATTTTGTGATGTGATATTTTTGGAGTAATAGGGACCAAACTAATAGAAAAAGAATTTTTTAAAGAAACTTTCACAGGCTACTGTAATACTTATTACAAAACTTCTGGATTCCTCCTGCGTCGGTTTTTTCTGAGTCGAACTGCTGACGTTTCGCCAATCATCCTGCTGGTTTCTTCAGGGCTTGACTGAAACTGGCTCGCATTTTACTCTCTACCTGCTTATATATTGTTTGAAGGGGGCGGATCTAAATGAGGGGCATAATCACCGTCTCGGATGACTGGTTCCCATATTGGTGACAGGTAGAGACCTGAGTCGCGGTTAAGATTGTTAGGTTGTTTATAGATTTCTATAGACTCTGGGATTTTTCGTTGGCAGAATTGCAAGAATTTTAGTTTTGTGTGTTCGGCAACAGCTAATGAGTTTATTTGTCTTAGTCGCAAGGCTCTTTCGTGTTCTTTGAGCCTAGTAGAAATTTTTCGTCCGGTTTCGACTGAAAATCTGGAGACATTTTTGGAGCAGTGGTAAATCTGGTTTTGACGTTATACTTCTTTAGAACTTTTGATATGTGGTTAATGATATTTTGAATGTAAGGAAGGACCACAGTGGCAAGTGTACGAGTGCCTCATTGCTATTGGAAGGTTGTGGTGTATTTTGTGATCGAACGCTTAATATCCTTAATGTGGAAATTATTAGAGAGGTGTTTTAATTCTGGGTTCGTGACTCGAGCTGAGAAGTATGTCAGGGTGTATAGAGTTTAAATGTCTAAGAAAAACAATAACAATAACATCATCGACGTAACGTTTTGGTTGTTGATGTAAGGTGTGTAGGGCTTTCTTCTCAAAATCTTCCATAAATATATTCGTGATGATTGGTGGTAAAGCCAATTACAGGGAAAACTGATAGTTTCGTACTTAATTACTTTCACTTCATTGACCAATTTAAAAGCATGACATTAGAAATACAAGATATTCTAGTTAGTTTCGACGTAGAAACCCTATTTACCAAAGTTCCTATTCCTGAAACTGTCAACATCATTTCAGATATATTAAAATCCGAGAATCTGGAACCAAGCCTTCTCACCTTAATCGAAACTCGAAAAACAAACGTCGGGAACAGCTATGGGTTCTCCACTGTCGCCAATCATCGCGAATATATTTATGGACGCCTTTGAGAAGAAAACTCTCGACACCTTTCATCCAAAACTAAAATTCTCGATGATACTTTTGTTATTTGGCCTCATGGTCAAGAAACCCTAGTAGATTTTACTAGACATTTAAACTCAATACAATGCAAAAATTGTATTTTAAATTAGGACTGATAAAACAGTACGTTGAAGCTTTAAATAAAATTTGAAATAACTATGGGGAAATTTTTCGTCCTCTCAGATGCAAAATTAAAAGAACGGCATTTTTTAGGTCCTCAAATAATTCCATTAATATGGGTTGAATTTACTGATATTATAAAAGGTTTTTTAGGAAACAAAAATTATCCTAATTACAAAGACATTGTTGAAAACATGTTAGAGAAATTTGAGTATAAAACTACACTTTTTACACTCACATCTGGACTACTTTCCCGAAAACCTTAGTACTGCGAGTGAGAAGCAAAGTGAGAGGTTCCTCCAATATATAAAAGAAATGGAACGCAGATAATAAGGTCAATGAAGTGTTGCAAATTTGGTAGATTACTGTTGGTAGATTAATGTCGATAAAAAAAATTATGTGACAGAGGAAAATGTTGATTACATTTATATTTAGGAAACCTTTCACCAAATTGACACCAAATTTTCGATTTGTATGAATTCGAATGAACTGTAAAAGATAACCCTATAGGTGCGATGATTTGAAGTATAGAAAGGATCGACTTATTGACTTACGTTCATTGGTACGAAATGTTCGTTTCTAGTACAAAAGTAACCTAAAATTTAACCTGGAGGGGCAGATGTACTTCAATGGTACCACCAAAGACAAAATACCAAAGAGTTCTGCATGACTTGGTCATTGTGATGCTCTCGCTAGTAGAATAAATATGTGACTTCTTCTTGGAGTATCAACACACAATAAAATTTTCAATAGATTTTTACCAGACTGCTGAGCATCATTTTGAAATTCACGTCCACAAAAACGAATTTGGTTTTACTAAATGTGTTTATTACATTTGTGACTCCCGTAATTAGTATTCGTTCAGTGTAATAAAATTTTGTGACACCTTCACTCCTGTATAAACAAAAAGTGCTTGCGAATCGTACAAGTTCAACTGTTTTTCTTCATCGGTCAACATAAAGTCAGAAGACGCAACATAAGCAGTACCAAGATCAGGACCGCCCACCGTCAAGGTCGTCGTAGCGTGGGTGAGAGTACTTACAGCGGTACCACGGTATAAGTTAAATGCTACGAGATTTCATTTTACCAGTAATCTCGAAATACCACCCGAGAGGTGCGGATGGTGTGTCAGATCGAAAAAAACTTTCCATTCGCCTACCAAATGAACAGAACACTAATCGGTGTTGAAAAAATTAAGGTCGCGTTACCTAGATCGCCGCTGTCGATGTGAAATTTGTACTTTCTAATTCTACAAGAAACGGTTATCATACTTCCAATCCATACCACTGGGGAAAGTCAAATTGCTCAACTTCCTTTCGATTTCGACCGATGAACTGATGATCGATGAACCCCCGCCCTCAACAAATTCATACTTCTCCCTGTTTATAATTTGGTATGTTCCTAAAAGCCAACCCTCTCATTCGAACGGTCGAGACGGTTGCAGGTATCCCTACCAACCCACAGTCTACCCTTAGCGTCCGCGTTTGCTGAATGGAATTGCTGGCATTTTGCAAATTTGAATTTTTTTTTTCAATTTGGTAACCTTGCCAGTATCCTGGGTTCCATCCCATTCGAGTTTCAGCACGTCCTGGTTCGCAGGAACGATAAACTCACCAATTCTGTCTCTGATGGGTATGGCCGCTCCTATCGTTTCAGAATCTGAAACGAAGTGTTCTTGCCAATGCTGCTGGTTAAGAATAATCTGTACTAACCGATTTTGGTGGATGTGGTTGCATTGGACCCATAGACGTGCTGGTATACCGTACTGCCCAGCACGTCCACCAAATATATGGCTTGCTTTTCGCTGTCCCAGGAAAGGGATTCACCAAACCTGGTGATAGGCGTTGTCGCCTGCCGAACCGCCAAATCTACTAAACTAACATGGCGTTCTATTTTCAAATTAAATGACGTGTAAGACTCACCAGTGGATGTAGGGCACTATTAGCACAATAGCAAAATTCTCCATGATAGCCATGTTGATAATTTGGCATGTCAACAGTTTGGGGTTATTTATATGTCCGTGCATGTTGTTTTTAACAACAGATAGTTCATTAGCATTTACAGTACTGCTTATCGTTATCATATATCATCCAAAGCAAAACAGAGAAAAACAGTTATGGAATTCTCCAAATAGGGCATAACTTAAAGAATGGTTAATCCTCTACAGCGTCACACAAGAATGATGCTTCTGATTAGCATAATTTTTTCTTCAGAAAGCCGACGCAAAATATATATCAAGTAAGATGTTACTAAATAGCAATTTCAATCAGGTTATATTGCTATAAAATTATAATTTATTATCGAATTTATCCACTGTATTTATTGTTAGATTTTATCATATCTATAGGTCAACTATTCATTCTCCAATTCCTCCATATGTTCAAAATTAGGTTTTCATTGATATAACTTAAAAGAAGTTCAGAAACATTTTATTTATTTATTCATTGATCAACGGAGATACTATAGGTTTGCACCCTTAATGTATCCAGAGAGTGTAAGGGGTGATTCAAGATGGTTGGTAGGTTAGATGTTTATTGTGAATGAAGCGAGCATCCTCTATACAGGTAAGTATTCAGAAAGTCAATTAAAAACCTCTTCAAATGAAGCATCATGTTATTATACCTAAATATTAAGAACTCCTAAATAAAAGGCAAGTTATTGTTGAAATTTTATTCTTTGGATTAGATTAGTTCGATTGAACATTTAAAAAACTTCACAGTTAATGAATTACTTATCATTGGTTGTATTGTTAAAGTTTGAGAAAATTTGCTAACGAGAGAAATACACAAAGTTGTGAGGAATTTGTCTATTTTTCAAGAGCAATTGTACAATAATAATTGCAAGAAAATGAATGACGTTTAATAAAATGTATTTTGATTTACCAATGACGGAGACCATGAGAAGTTTAGTAGTCACGCTAAATAACAAATACGCCATAACAACATTAAATGAACATTAGTAACGAATGTGTGAATAGTAAATAAAAAAAAATTACAATCAATTCTCGGTTGCAAGTCTGTAAGCCTCTTGGTTCATGGGGTCGCTGAGAATCTAACGTTTTGTAAATCACGACAAACAATAAAAAGCTTGTTATAATTAAATCTCTTTATTATCTCTCCTAGCAAGGATTCAATCAGTGTAATAAAATTTTGTGAAAAGCTATACCCCACGTCTTCAATCCTGTATAAGCGAAAAGTGCTTGCGAATCGAAAGGGTTCAACTGTTTTTCTTCGTCGGTCAGCAGAAAGTCAGAAGACGCAACATAAGCAGTATCAAGATGAGGACCGCCCACAATCAAGGACGTGGGTTGCGGTACCGGGGTGGGTAGGACGTAGATCAATTTGCTGGTATCCTGGTCGACGTCTACCAACTAAAAATGATTTTATTCAAGGTCGCCTGAGCGTGGGTGTGAGTACTTACAGCGCTGCCACCGTATAAGTTAAATGCTACGAGGTTCTTTTTCACGATTAATCCGGAAATACCACCTGAGAGGTGTGGATGGTGTGCCAGGTCGAAAAAAACTTCCCGTTCGCCTATCAAATGAACGAACCATTAATCGGTGTAGGAAAAATTGAAGTCGCGTTACCTAGATCACCGCTGTCGATATCAAATTTGTATTTTTTAATTTTTCTCTCCGTAATATCGGCATGGTACAGGAAACGGTTATCATATTTCCAATCTAAACCAGTGGGGAAAGTCAAATTGCGCAATTTCCTTTACTATTTCGACCGAGTGTTTTTTTATGGTGATCATGTACAAGGAACCCCCGCCCTCAACAAACTCATACTTCTCCCTGTTTATCACTTGGTATGTTCCTAAAAGCCAACCGTATTATTCAAACGGACGAGACGGTTGCAGGTATCCATACCAACCCACAATCTACCCTTAACGTCAGCTTTTGCTGAGTGAAATTGCTCGCCTTTTGCAAAATCAAAATTTTTCTTTAACTTGGTAACCTTGCCAGTATCCTGGATTCCATCCCATTCGAGCTTCAGCACGTCCTGGTATGCAGGCACGATAAACTCACCAGGTCGGCCTCTGATGGGTATGGCCGCGCCTATGGTATTCGAATCTGAAACCAAGTGGTTTTCCCAATGTTGCTGGTTAAAAAAATACCGTACTAACGGATTTTGGTGGATGTTGTTGAATTGGACCCGTGCACGTGCTTGTATACTGTACTACTTAGCACGTCCACCAAATAAATCGCTTGCTGATCGCTGTCCCAGAAAAGGGAGTCACCATACCTGGTTATCGGCGGCGTCGCTTGCCGAAGGGTCAAATCCAAAAAACTAAAATAACGTCGAAGGATCAAATCAAACAGAGTGCTATACTTACCAGTGGATGTAGGGCGCTACCAGCAGAATACCGATAATCTTCATTTTATACGTGGTGATGATTTAACTTACCAACCGTTTGGGGTTATTTATATATCCATGCATGTTGTTTTTAACAACAGACGTTTCGTTAGCGAGGCTTATCGTTCTAATATATCATATAAGCTTTCAGAGATAACAATAACATAAATAAACATAACATAAATTTAAGAACCGTTAATCTTATATAGTTGCAAACAATTATTTCACTTCTGATTGGCATTCAAAAATCAATCAATGATGGGTGAATAGATATACCAAATTTACAGACTCATAAATTTGTTTTTGTTGATATAGCAATTCGAATCAGAATGATCGCTGATCTAAGCAAGACAGTTGCTAAGTTGCTACGATTATCATATTTCTTTATATTGGGTTGTTCGGAAAGTCATTTCGTTTTTTTTGGGGAACATGAAAGACAGTTTTCGTATAATGAATAAATATTTTATTAAATTATATATTGGCCCTTCTGGTCCAACACCTTTTGCCATCTTTCTGGTAGTAACATAATTCCCCTCTCATAAAAGTTTTGGTCCTTGCTGGCAAAAAACTGGTTCAGGTGGTTTTTGACATCTTCATTTGAGGTAAAGGTTTTGCCATCCAAAAAATTTTGCAGGGACCGGAACAAATAGTAGTCGGAAGGCGCCAGATCTGGAGAATATGGTGGATGTTGCAGTACGTCCCATTCAAGCTGTAAAAGTTTTTGGCGAGTGACCAAACTTGTGTGAGGTCTCGCATTATCCTGGTGGAACACTACAACCTTCCTGTCGATTAATTCGGGCCTCTTCTCTTTAAGTGAATCATTCAATTTGTCCAGTTGATGTCAATAGACTTCTGAATTAATCGTTGTATTGTCCGGCAAAAGCTCAAAAAAAAACGATTCTTTTGACATCCCACCAAACGGAGAGCATCACCTTTTTTTGGTGAATGTTGGCTTTTGACACGCTTTGAGCCGGTTCATCTTTTCTGCTCCATGACCTCTTGCGTTTAACATTGTTGTATACAACCCATTTTTCGCACCCAGTAATAATCCGCTTCAAAAATGGATCATTTTCTTGACATTTGAGGAGCGAATCACACACGTCAACGCGACGACACAAATTTCGCTCCGTAAGGACATGGGACACCCACACATCGAGCTTCGAGGTTAAGCCCATGCCTTTCAAATGGCCATAAACAGTCGAATTCGACAAATTTAATCTCTCACCGATCTCTCGTGTGGTTATTCGCTGATTTGCATCAACTAATGCCTTTATCGCATCTTTGTCAGCTTCGACCGGCCTTCCAGACCGTGGTGCATCTTCGACATCAAAATTGCCGGATCGAAATTTTGCAAACCAGTTCTGGCACTGGCGTACTGTTAACACGCCTTCTCCATACACATCCGTCAATTTTTTTCTCGCTTGGACAGCATTTTTACCTTTTCTGAAGTAAAAAAGTAAAATATGACGAAAATGCTGCTTATTGCTCTCCATATTTAAAAGGGCACCAACCAAAAACTACTGCGTAGAATTAATAGAACTTTTTCACACATAAGCCGTGCAATATCAGCTCTCAAGACATATAATGGTTATGCGGCTTAAGTGTGAAGTTGGTTTCGAAAAAACGTAATTAAGTCCGCTGACGGGAATAAACGAAATGACTTTCCGAACAACCTTATAATTCAACAGGATTGAGTACTACATTTGCACCATCCAGTTTAGAAACTTTATCTATTAAGATTTTCAAACTTATGCAGAATATTTTCGAGAATTGAGAATTATTATTGAAACAGTTCTCTTCTATCTACTTCTTCAATTCAACTTATTACTCTTTGGCGCAGTTTATGTTTATTTTGTACAGCGATTGAACATATGTTTTTTTTAATTACTCTACAAAAATGGAATGATCTATCTGGTCAATTTTACGGTCCTAGAAGCCTGACCCAGCGATAGGGGAACATTTCCAACAATTTTGATTATTTACAAATCTTCTGGATTCCTCCTCAACTTAATGCTTTACAGGAAATTAGAAAATTTGCTATATCATCTTTGAGAAGACAGAAAACTTCAAAAGCAGTTAAATTTCTTTAAAAGCTTGCTGGGTGTGGTCAGAAGCGTATCACAAAATTGAATTCTATTTTGATAATTACCTTGTTACAGGGCTTCCTAGGGATAATTTATTAGAACTTAGAGGCTTCAGTAAATCGCTTTCAGTTTTGATGCGTAATTAATGAAAACTTCTGAAGTTAATTAAACTTTTCGTTAACTCCTAACTTTTCTAAATTTTTAATCGAATTGATTGATAATTGCATGTCTACCTAATGAAGATATTTCAATTTTATAGAAACTTACTTTTGGGATATTAATTGCTTTTTAAGAATAGTGAATGAAATATGGGGGTTCCTTTCAAAAAGATGAATTTTCAAGATTGGTTTCTGGAAAAATCTCAAATTTTAACAATAGTTAAAGAAACGATGAAATCAAACCACTGTTACTCTACTCCAACGGGGACGTTTATTTTTCAATAATTCTGCAAAATCAATCGGCAAGTTGAATCTTGAGCGAGGGCAAACCGACGCAGGCCATCTTGTCGAGCGTGAACACGGACCCCGAATTAAAAGGATTGTGGTTCAGTTCCTCCTCCGTGAGAGTGAGTCTGCCTGTTCCAATGTATATCGTGTTTGGTACGACCCCTTTTCCCCACGCCAGCGACGTAGGATGAGATACTGGTAAATGCACTCTTTCGATGACCGTGTGATTTCTTGCATCGATATGAAGAAGCTAAAGGCAAGCGTTAATGACGGATCCGTAAGCAGTTTTTCGTTTTCAAAGATATCAAGATGAATAAAAGAACAAAATAAGTAGCAAAGTTTTTTTTTGCTACAAGCGAACACAATTTTCTGAGATCTAAGCCTATTTGATACTTTCTTAAATGGAACAAACTGTATATTTTAAAAGAACATTTTTTGTAAGTTTCAATTGAATCATTAGTCCCGAATTGTCTCTTAACTGCAGAGGCTTTTTATTATTATTTGTGTCGACATATTTAGGCAGAGATTTCTGTATATGGTACTATATTGTGTTCCAGGAGATGCAAATAATGATCTCCAGTTACTTTTTGATGCCTGTCTATAACACCAAACTGTTAACCGACTGCTCCCTAGCATTATTCGTAGACCTATATCGCGTATTTTATCTATTGCCACTTTTTTTGAAGTGAACAAACTTTCATCGGTACGTATTTGAAGAGTACAAGGGAAAAAAATGAGGGTCCATAAAATTTAATTCTGAGTAATTGTGATTTTTATCTAGGAAGACTACTCTAGAACATGGTAAGCAAAAATAGGATTTTGGAATATAATTATTGCTAACTTGAACTAAAATACTTTTTGACAGAATATACCAAAGATATATAAATTGTCAATTCAAAAGTATTAAAAAGAAACTTTGATTCCAATACAAAAAAAATTGGCAATAAAAATAAAGGTACGTAATCTATTATTGTAACCTTATCAATGTGGTATTGCTGTATAAAAAAGCTGCGCTTTTTGAGAACAGAATCTTTTTTGATGCTGTAGGTCTTGAAATTTAGCTTAGATACAGGTTGGCCCATCATAAGCTAAAGTTGGAAGCAAAAAACACTTTCCAGGTAGCGAAAGTATTTTTGTTTTTTTTTTATGATAAGATTTTCAAGTTCTCGACCATTATAACTTTCCCTATGTATCATCTTACGATGGTAATTTTCGGTTACAGTTAATTCTTTGACCGGTCTTTGGTCTTTGATTCTGTTGATTGTGTTATGCCTTTAACGAAAATGAACAATATAATGTAACATTCTAAACACCATGAAATTTTTATTTTATTTTAGATGGTTAAAAATGTAATCCCATAGTAGTGAAGAAAAACCATTAGCACACTTTTTCCATTGCAATAGCTTCCTTGGGTGTGTCTGTTTGAGCCTCAAGCTTAACATATAATATAATAGAATGATTGGCGAAACGTCAGCAATTTAGACCGACGCAGGAGGAATCCAGAAGTTTCGTAAAAAGTAAAATAGTTTCAGACAATCAAAATTTTATCAAGATAAACTGAACCCACGCTACTTACAGTGCTTCCTTCCCACAAGGCGAGTATGACGTTGTCGTTGTACTTCAGAGTGATGCCGTGAGGTAAGCCGCGATACTTGGAGTGGTGATCCAGATCGAAAAACACCTCACTTTTCCCTACAAATGGTCAAACTAAAAGTTCAGATTTTCACGAAATTACATATTTTCACATGACAACTGTTTCGACAAAACCGTGATTAAGACACGGTGTTGTCGACAAAATTGTTATGTGAAAATATATAATTTCGTGAAAATCTGATCTTTTAGTTCTTATTTATTTTGTTAAATGGATATTCATCAAGTAAAAGCCACCTCAGTTCAAGTCGAAAATGTCCATTATATAGTAAGATGAACCTACCTAAACTCCCTTTTTCAGGGTCGAAATGGTATTTCAAAATTTTTCTTGTTGGAGAGTCCACGAAGTACAGCGATTTGTTGTCGTGGGTCCAACCCAATCCCGTTACTATAGTGACGTGATTAAGTTTCTTTTCCACCTTCACAGAGTGGTCTTTGTGTACCGTTATAGAGTACAAAGACCCACCTCGTTCGACAATGTGCCCCCCGTTTTTGTCTTCGACTCGAATTGTTCCTGCAATCAAACCACGGCAACTTGATTTTTCGTTCATTTTTCCTAGAAAAGGCTCCTAGCATTCGAAATTTGCAGCAATCCACCTAATATTTGACACAGATGTACATATTCACTTCTATTTTTATTTATTTTTTAAATTCTGTTTCCTCGAAAACTATTGGGTCTATCGGGAAAATAATTGGAACCAGAGGTGTGCAAGATCTGTTATAGGCAAAATGTTAATATCAAACGTAGATCACTGAAATACCGTTAGACATAGAAACAGTATGGTATGCCATGTCATTTTAATTCGCTATACCTATCCAAAGTCTTCCCTCCGGGTCAGCTTTGCCATGGAAGAGTTTCTCGTGTTTGTGCAATTTCAAGTCGGTCTTCAGTTTTGTGATGTTGCCGGAATCGTTTTCTCCATCCCACTTGAGTATGCCCAGGTGATGGTCGGCCGCCACCAGGAAGTGGTGTTTCGCTCCGTGGATTGGTATGGCCGCTCCCACCGACTCAGTTGCTAAACAGTAATCGAATATAAATACGAATTCAAAATTTTGCAGGACTAAATTCATGGATCAATAACTTGGTGTGGGATGTGGGGTCGGGCAAATGTTAACAGGAATACTTGCGGATTTTAGTCGAAGTCGTCTTTCCGGTGTGGTAAGAATGCTTGTAGACTTTACTGCTGATGACGTCAACGTAATATATGACTCCTTCCTCGTCGTCTACGAAAAGCGATTCGACTACGGTAACTGGGGGCGTAATCTCGCTAATGGACTGATGCAATATCCTGCGCGATAGGGGATGAATTATCTCGTGACGTCCTAAACACGTCCCGTACTTACCCTTCCACGTGAAAAGCCGCAAGAGCGACGAAAATTAATGTGAAAAGCGCCATTTTCATCAAACAATTGTGTTCAAATATTCGCGACCATCAATATTTATAGAATATCTGTAGCGACAATAAATAACTTTTTTGGTCAGTGCTTTTAAACGGTTTTTAAAATTTATGATATTTACTGACGCACTGCACTGACAGTAACGGTTTTTAGGAGCAATTAATTATAATTGTTATTTGCGTGAAAGGTTCTGCAGCGTTTAATAATCAAACCTACGCATACTATGTATATAAGGTTGTTTGTTTAGTTTTATTTCTATAGCGACAACTGAACTTATCTTTCGAAACAACGTTTGTTTTTAGGATTTTTTTTTGCAGTATGGAAGGTATTAAGAAGTTTACATTTCATTTAGTATTTCATAATAATTATAATAATAGACTTCTTTCAAATAATACACATTAAAAAAAAACTTCAATGAAAAGTCAAAATTCACCTCAATACTTGTACGAGATGTTTTTCTACTTAACCCAAATCTCTAACTACCGATGAGAATTTAATAAAAAAAATTGAGAGTAAATATAAAAATGTCCTCTTTCATACAAACAGGAAATGTAAGGGAAACAAACCACAAGCTTAAGGAGGGCTCCTAGGTGTTAATGTTTTGGTGATTTGATAATAAAAAGGGAAGTCTCAAAATTTTATATTTAAAGTAAGGACATCTGTTCTTTACTAAAGTCCCTATTCCTGAAACTATCAACATCGTTGCATATATATAAAAATTCGAGAATCTGGCACCAAACCTTCTCACATTAATTGAGGAATGCTGATCTGGAACATATGTTTCTTATAAGAGTCAAATTTTTGAACAAACGTCGGGAACAGCTAATGATTTCCACATTAAAGATATTAAGCGTTCCATCACAAAATACACTCCACCAAACCCATCCAATTGCAATGAATCCGAAAGTCCCACACTTGCCACCGTTGTCCTTCCTTACATTCAAGACTGACCACATATCAAGAGTTCTTAAGAAACATAACGCCAAAACCAGGTTTACCACTTATCTTATGTAATCAATTCTTTTACCAACGAAAAATCCGAGAGTCTATAGAAATCTATAAGCAACCTAACAACCTAAACCGTGACTCAGATCTTCACCTGTCACCAATATGGGAATCAACAGGTACAGTCAATTTCAGTTAAGTTCTGAAGAAGCCAAGTAATGCTATAGCATATACATGTTGTTCCCTAAAGAAAGAAGTACACCAGAAAAAAATATTTTTATGTCCACATGTGAATGGAGTTGTATTTTTATTACATGCTCAGCAAATATAAATAAAATGTTGGTAGGTGGCAATATATTCCAAAGGAAAGGAGCAATTGTTATATGTATTTTGTTGGATTTTTGTAACTAACAGGACAACTTGTAATGCAAATATCCGATATGGCGCCTATAGGAAAAATCAAAGTAGTTGAAACTTTTGGAAATGTAGTATAGGAATAACCAAGTTCTTAAAATTAAATAAAATAAAAATTAATGAAAAACAGTCATCACTGGATTTTTTTTTTGAAAAATTTCTAAAATACAAGCGGCAAATGCAAAACAATTTTTTTATTTGGTTAGGTTTTTATATTATTTGTATACTCTCTTTCCTTAATTATTTTCCCGATCACACGTCAATTACTATTTGAAAAATTTGAAAATATCATTGGTAAATTGGCTATCCAAGACATCATACTTTACTAATCCGTTTTTGGCAAATAATTTGAAAAATCTTTTTCTTAAAATCGGAGGAACGCTGGGAAAGCTGGGTAAAGGTGACTGAGCAATTAAACCTAATTTCAATAGTAATCACTTTCTATTTACACTTTATTAGCATCGGATTCAAAAAATGTTGGGTTAGTCAGCCAGACGAATTTTGAAAGATGGTACACCTGTGCAGTTAACCCGGTTCAAAAGATAAACCGACCCTGAATCGAATGGATTTTGGATTATTTCTTCCTCCGTCAGTGGTATTCTGGACGAGCCTACCAACACGACGTTTCGTCCCAACCCCTTCCCCCACGCCAAGGACGTAGGGACTTGTATCGGCAGCGTTACTTTCTCGATAATCGACCCATCATGTCCATCGATGAGAACCAGCTAACAACAAACAAATGCTTCGTTGCTTGCGATCAATTACCCACCCACTTACGGCACCCCCGTTCCACAGGGAGACCACCACGGCACCATTATATTTCACAGCTAAACCGTGGATGTCGCCGTGAAGATGGGGATGGTGGTCCAAGTCGAATAGAACTTTGCTGTGGCCTGCAAACACGAAAAATCATCGCATCGGAGATTAGGGGCACCAAGTGGTCTTACCTAGATCGCCATTGTTCAGGTCAAAATTGTATTTAAACACCTTCCTCTTGTACGCATCTACGTAGTACATGTGTCGACCGTCCTGCGTCCAGCCTAGACCCGTAACAACGTTCACGTTCGAGAGCTTTTTCTCGATGGTAGTAGAATGGTTTTTGTGTACCGTTATCGAGTAAAACGTTCCGCCTCCGCGGATGACGTCAGCTGGACCTCCTTTCCCTACCCGAAAGGTGCCTGCAGAAGATTCAATTTTAATAAGAGGCATGCCCAGCTCACCCACTAACTAATCCAGAGACGCCCCTTAGCGTCCGCTTTCCCTTGGAAAAACCTCTCGTTACTTGCTAGTTTGAGGTTCGTGTGCAACTTGGTTACTCTTTCGGCGGTGTCCTCTTCCGACCAATGGACCCGCAGGATTTCGTGGTGTGCTGCCACGATGAATTCGTTGTGTTTACCTTCGATTGGTATGGCTGCGCCTACAGTCTTCGCGGCTGCATTGGTTTTAACGGCTATGAAAATTGTTGTGAAAGAAGCGATTTCTTACGGATCTCAATCGAGCTCGTCTCTCCTCTCTCGTAGGCATGTTTGTAGACAGAATTTCCAAGGGCATCGACATAATATATGACTTTGTGCTCGTCGTCCACGAATATGGATTCCGTCACGTTAATAACGGGTGTGATTTCGACAATTGCTTTATTCTGCTCCCTATGCAACCGACGCTTCCTTAAAATGCCTCGAAGCGCTAGCTTTGCTTACCCGCTGACGAAAAGAGCGCCCAACGCCAAGACGAAATAGAAAAGTAATTCCATTTTGAAGGTTTATTAATACGTCGTGGAAAGGTTTGCCTTTATATAGTTGGTTTCCATATTTGCAATGTTTATCGCTCTGATTTATGTCCCTTTTTCTAGCATGTCACTTGTTTTTACGCATCCTGATAAAGTGGCCGTTTATTTGTTTAATTACCAGCGGTTTCTTTTTCTCGAGGGGTTACCGTCCAGATCTTTAACGGTGGGTTTCGTGTTTTTTTTTAGGCTATTTGTGGTTAGGAATGTTTCCATTTTTCCTCGACCCGCGAGTAATCGACTCATATTTTGTTTATTTACTACATTTTAAATGCGTTTTTTTAACATTTGTTTTTCATTTGGTGGCAATAAATTTGAAACGACTTGTGGGAGGCATTAGTTACAGGTAGATTAGAACAAAAAAATCTCTTATTTGACATGTTTAAAACTGTTTGTTTTATTTGTTTATATTTGTCTTGGTCGAAGCTATACAAATACATTTTGCAAAAAAAAACCGTTTGTTGCTGGGAAATTCCCACATATAAAATCATATTTATCTAATATTCATCATAAGAATACAAACAGCCGAAAGCCCATGTGCAACATATTTCCTGGATTTTGACAAATATTTTTTATTTTTTTATTTTGTTTTCCAACGGTTGTTAAGGCAACTAAGTTTAACAAGTTTCCCAATTCCATTTAATGGAATCAATATTGTATGTACTTCTATTAAAAAAAACCGTGCACAGAAATACACATAACAACAGGATCGTATACTTTGTGATATTTAAAATTTAAAATAACAATAAACATAATGATTACAGCTAAACAATTAATAATATAACTTGAATACAGAATGCATATCTACATGTATATATATATATATATATATATATATATATATATATATATATATATATATATATATATATATATATATATATATATATATATATATATATTCTCACGTATTGATTCACGGATGGAAAAATGTGATGACACTATATTCCGGGATATCATCCGTTCGCTCGTTGAACTCCGACTGGAATCCTGCATCCGACTGGAATCCTGCAAATCTTGCATCCGACTGGAATCCTGCAGACGTTTCGCCAAAATCTCACTTGGCATCTTCAATGCTCCGAAAACACTTCGAACGCTGTTCGAGGTGTTTTCGGAGCGCGAGCATTGAAGATGCCAAGTGAGATTTTGGCGAAACGTCTGCAGGATTCCAGTCGGATGCAAGATTTGCAGGATTCCAGTCGGATGCAGGATTCCAGTCGGAGTTCAACGAGCGAACGGATGATATCCCGGAATATAGTGTCATCATATATATATATATATATATATATATATATATATATATATATATATATATATATATATATATATATATATATATATATATATATATATTTATATATATAATAAAAAATAAAAAAATGAATTAAAACAGCCTCTTTTAACTCAGCTTCGTTGTTAAACCGCCGTCCACGTAAGTCCTCATATCTGGACTATCATATCTGGGGTCATATCTAGTTTATAGGGAGGATGATCTATCTGTTGGAACCCACACTTTAAAATGACAGCTTGTTCAACACCAGCCGTGTGGACAGGTGTTGGTATCCTGCAAAAGACACACGCCTCTGGTCAGTTTTTCTCGACGTTTTACACGTATGCACCCTCGCAATTTATGTAATAATGTTGCGTAAAATTTACCATTGACCGTGGTATTAGTTTCTTTAAAATCTATCAAAAGAATTCCTTTACAATCCCAAAAGATCGTGGCCATCACCTTTTTTGTTGACTGGCAGACTCTGAATTTTCTTGGAGGTGCTTCACCCTTACGACGCCACTCCATTGATTCTTTTTTCGATAGAGGGTCATAATAGAGAACCATAGTTTCATCTCCCGCCACCATAGTTTCTATCAGAGGCTTCGGTTCCGACCCACAGGGTTCCAAAAAAGACCGCGCACACTCGACACGGCGTTGTTTTTGAATAGCCGAAAGGTTTTTAGGAACCCATCTTGCACTAACTTTATGCATACCTGATCATGTAGGATGCGACCAAACTTGTATCAGAAAGCTTAATAATTTCTCAGATTTCTTTAATATAATAAATACCTCCTATTCGACAATCGCAACAATATCTTCCGTTATGACCTCTACTGGTCGACCAGTTCTTGAATCATCTTCAATGGACTCCTGACCCATTCGAAAACGTTTTGCCCATTATTTCACTATAGAATACGAAGGAGAACTATGGCCGTACACACCATCCAGCCTTTCTTTAATAATTTTAGGTGCTACCCCTTCTTTTGTCAAAAACTTTATGACTGCTCTATACTCAATTTGCGTTATTTGCGACATTTTTTCGGATACGTCTTGTTTAAAATGCTGTCAATAAAAAACTATTTGACGCAAGACTTCAATTTTTTTTTCGCAGCCTACTAAGATATATATTTAAAAGAAGACGCGTTATTGGAGCTGCATCTATGTCAGGCCGGGAAATTTTGCTTGTACTAACTAATTGCATTTTTTTCATTCTTAATTCCCGTCACTATTGCACTAAAGCACAAATCTGATTGCAGCTGGATAATATCTTTCTCTCTTATACAACTTCAAGTCGTCAGAAAAAGGAAGAAAATTTGTTTCAACATCAATAATGCATACGTTGAAGAGAAGTGGTATGAGATTGGAACTCTGAGAACTCCTGAAGAAACTTTTATTTCCCTGGACTAATTCACACTCTCAACTTGAGTCTCGGTTTGCCACACTTGTACAAAAAAAACGTAGGTGACCCTGTCGAAGGTATTGATAGTAAGAATAAGAAAAAAGAACGATCAGATCAGTAACTCCTCACCTCTGATGTGTTACTGCTCATTAGCGTAACTACCGTAAAAGAACTAGATAAAAAGAAATTTAATTGTTTGCAATTTTACCCACTCACTGAAATTTTTCCTCATTTTTCGTGCTTTTTAAATGTTTTTAACTAGTTAAACTACCAGAACAAATATCCTACTTTCAATTTAAAATAACAATGCTCCTCATAAATATCTTCCTGATAGCTGACATTTTAAAATTTAATGTGTTACAGGAGTAGCAAAATTTCAGAGGATTATTGTATTGGATTATTTACTTACTTATTTATTACTTACTTATTACTTAAGCTCAGTGATATGTTAGTTTTATGCCATGTCGTTTATTGCACTTCTATTAGCCAGCTATACTATTAGTTATAATCTCAGAAAGTATCACCACATTTCCCAGCGCCTCTCTGATTCGGGTTTTCTCAATCTGGAGGACCGATATAAAGTTCAGTTAGCCACCTTTGTTTTTTAACTAAACTCCAACAAGAACCCTCGTGCTTTTTTGATAAACTTTGCAGAGAAAATGATATTCATAATCCCGGCACCCGTCATTGTTTGAGATATTGCGTTTCTAGACACACTTCGGTAACTTTCTATAGATTTTTTAGAAAGAAACTAATTGGGTCATTGCTTTTACGAAAAACCTACTCATCTAGACTGATACCCTAATGCATAGTCCCATCACCATCCGGCCTAAAAATCATCGCTTATCAACTGTCTTGTTTACAGAGTCGTCTCAGCCCGAGTCACTACACCCAGAATTAAAGCACCTTACCTTTGCTCCTTTCTCTAATAATTTCCACATTTAAGATATTAAGCGTTCCAACACAAAATACCAACCTTTCAATAGCAATGAGGCCGAAAGCAATCCTACACTTGCCACTGTGGTCCTTCCTTACATTCAAAACACATATCAAAAGTTCTAAAGAAATATAAAGTGAAAACCATGCGGCAAAGAATGCACTGGATAGACCGGACGTAAAATATCAACTAGGCCCAAAGAACATGAAATAGCCTTAAGACAAATACACAATTAACAGTTGCCGAACACAATCACGAAGCCGGACATAAAATGTTATTCGATAAAACTTAAATTCTTGCATATAATCGATTCTTCTACCAGCGAAGAATCCGAGAATCTATAGAAATCGATAAGCAACATAAAAATCTTAACCGCGGCGCATTTAGCTCCGCCCCCCTCAAACAATATATAAGCAGGAACAGAGTAAAATGCCAGCTAGTTTCAGTCAAGCTCTGAAGAAGCCAACAGGATAATTGGCGAAACGTTTGCTAGTTTTGTAAAAAGTATATACAGTTCTTATTTAATTTTTTTTTCTCCGTTCCATCTCTAGCATGTTCGATCATCTACGTTTTCCACTGCGTCAATTATTTCATAGGGTAAATTCTTGTTTGTTTAAGGTTAAACAAGGGCTAGGGTTAGCAGTTAAGTGGAACGACTAACCCGAAGGATTGCCAAAACAATATTCGAACACATGGTGCATCATTTTATTATTTCTCCGATTGCCGAGTTAGACAAGTCTGATTTTATGCGATTGGAACCCAGAGCCTAGTGCGTCCGAGGCAAAAATTGCTCCGGAATCAAAGACTTCCTTAGCTAGGTCACTTGGATGCAAATTTTTTCGAGAACTGGCGATATATTTGATGTCTAAGTTTGGACCCCCGAACACCATACTGGTGGGATTGGGCACTGGAAGATCGACAAAGGCAGTGACCTCGCCCGTGTTAGGATTTACCGCTATAATCTAGAAAATAATTAATTGACTTTTGTCCCTTGAAATATAGTATACCTACTTTGCCAGAACCGAATAATGACACCCCTAACTCGCCATTTCCGTCTAAGATGATACCATCGGGATATCCGTGGAGGTGGGGGTGGTCGTTCAAATCGAAAATCACCTTCGAGGCGCCTGAAAAATTGTGGTATGTCATCTTAAAAGGGGTTTTAATCCATTGTTCACTGAAAATTTTTCAAAAACAAATTTTGTTCACCAACTTTGATTATTTCATTAAGTGTCCACATTTATGTAAGAGCAGAGTTAATCGCAAAAATACTGGGTGTCATATAAATGCAGGTGTTAAAATGCTTCGTTGCAGTGGTACGCCACTGTTTTAGTAATTCATGTAAATAAATGAGGGTTAAACAAAAATCGTGATATGTATGAAGTTTCTTGTTAGGCGGTTCTAAATAAATTACCAAAATTGCAATAAACCCCTCTCACGAACGCCTTTGGTTTAACAAAGCCAACTTTGACTATTGCAAAAAGTTTCCACATTTTTGTCATACAAATGCAGGTGTTAAAATGTTTCGTTTCCGTGGTGCAAAGTTGGTATGCCATTTAGATACCTTAATTAAAGTTAAACAAAAATCATGATTATCACTATTGAAGTTTATTTTTAGACGGTTCTAAATGGATTACGAAAATTGCAATGAACCTCTCTCACGAGCGCCTTTGGTTAAGCAACACTAACTTTGACTATTGCATTGCAATCGCAAAAATACTGGGTGTCGTATAAATGCAGGTGTTAAAAAGTTAATCAAAAATAAATAAAGTCAATATAAATTAATTATCACCATTGAAGTTTCTTGCTTTTGGTTAAACAAAAAAATTGCTTCTAGGTGACAATAATACTTGCAAAATTTAAAAGCGAATTCTAGAAAACTGTTTTATAAAATAGGAAACATCCTGTATCTCTAAAACTAAAGCATTATTAATTACACGTTTTTGGTTATTATTATCTGCTGAATATGGTGCGGATAAGTAAATTAATTTCAATAAAGTTGATCAGACATAGTTTTTGAATGTCAACATTTGAGGACACTTTTTGCACATACTTTCTGATCAAATTTTTTCAAATTTGCCATATCGTACCTAATTCCCCGGATTCGATATCCAATTCGATCTGGTGGATGGTTTTCGTATCCGACTCGACAATATAAATATGCTTGTCGTCGGCAGAGAACTCGATTCCGTTGGAGTAGGTCACATTCGAAAGTTTCTTTTCTATTTTCACCGTATCGTTGTGGTGAACCGTGATCAAATATATAGACCCCGCTCCTTTTATTAAACGGTATGGTGTGAAGTTGCTGCTTACCAAGGTAGCTATAACGAGGGACAAATGATTTAGTGGTCGACCACTTAGCAAACACTTCACCTCACCTATCCACAACCTTCCCCTAGAGTCGACTTTGCCGTCGGAAAACTGCTCTCCATCCCCTATTTGACCAATGGTTTTGAACTTGCTGACTACTTCTCGATCGTCATTGCAGTCCAGCTTCAAAATATCTCGATATCCGGCAACTACGTACAGCTTTCCCTTGCCCTCTATCGGGGCTACTAGAGATATCGTTTCTTGTCCCTCTAAAGTACACCTTTTACGTAGCTTCTAATATCTCACAGATGAACGCTCACCGATTTTGGTAGAAGTAGTGTTGCCGTTGAAGACATGTTCGTACACCACGGCATTGTATAAGTCGACGAATAACACCGATTGCTGATCCTCGTCCCAGAACAATGACTGAGATGCTGAAACGGATTCGGTTACCTGAAAGATCTTCTTAGAGGTGCTGGAAAGATAAAGAAAACGAACAAGGTGTTTGTGGTCTTCCATCGTTCAAAAATTACCCCAAAGCGCAGACCAAGTTCAGCCAGAAACAAATTAGCAGTTGTTTACCCATCGTAACGTTTTCGTAACTTGAGCATGAAGGTTACGCCTCATCGGGTACTTATAATAGCAGCCATTTTCTTTTTGTACGACATTGTCATTCATTTGGACGATATGTATGATATATTAACCTCCGGTGACTTATGGTTACTACTTTTGCTCAGACTCGTTCGAAAAAAGTCAGCAAAAGATAAGGACAGCGTTTTACGTAAAAGCGAATCACATTATTTAGAAACTTTGTAATAAACGGCATTTAGGAGTTTATTGTGTGTGCGTGTGTGTGTGTGCTTTGAGCGAGCTTTAATCGTCACATTTGGTTTTGGACTCGAATTCGGCAAACCCACACATTATGCGAAAATTATTGTAAAGTTTACACTTGAAAAGTCCCACATGCTAAAGAGCCTATTGCTGCCACCAAACCATTTAATATTACGAATGGTATGGAAAAAAGGCAATACAGGCTTGAATGGATAATCATTACCTTTATATATGTTTGAGGGTTGGGGGCGGGGGGGAGCTAAATGAGCTCCATAAACATCGTCTCGGGAAATTTTCCACATATGTGTTTAAAACATGTTCCATCTTAATTTAAAGCTTTAACGTACTGCTTCATCTGTTCTAATCTAATATGCAATGGTGGTAAGAGAATTTTTCGTTTACCAATAAGACTATCGTGAAGAATATTTTTTATCCGGGAGTCAAATTAACCATTTTGGCCACTTCTTTTTCACCCAATGTTGTGATCTGTTCCTACTGTCCCACTCGCACAAAAAAAGGGTACTTCGTATATCCGGACTGCTGACCAGGTCGAAGTTCCACTTTTAGGCCACCACAACTCATTGAACTACAGTATTTGTGTTTCATTTTCTCCAGAAGTAGTTCCAGATTTACTTAACTTAACTTTCATTTACAGGTTCAGAAGTAACAGAATAGGCTTAAGGCTTCTCTTGAATGAGATAATAAAAATCCTCCAGCCATGAGAATTGTAGTCTGTACCAAGTTTCTTTATTAGATGAGGAATATCGATGCAATAAACAAGTGAACCTCTTAGGGTATCTTTATTTGTGGATCAAAGAAATTGGATCTTTTAAATTGGGTACATTTTCAGAGGACATCTGAGCCACGTGACACTACAGACTTGATGTTCGGATAAGCAATATTTCATGGCGATTGTTGGCTCTCTCCATCTTATTATTCCAAAAAAAATCACCTAGTTCCATTATCCCAATATCTTAGACCTCCTTCATATACCTTATAAATACTATATGGCGCCCAAGGTTTGTCTTGATCACCAATTTCGAGTTTAAATCAAGCGTAGTATTGTTTTTTAAACCACAAAAGAACCACACGCGTGCTATGACTACATATTTGGGAATCCGAGACACCTTAAAAATTAATTCACAAATGTTGCTCGAAACCATCACTAACACCCAGTTTCCCATACTTGTTCAAAAAAGAAATATGATTGGCACTGTCGAAGGCCTCGGAAAAGTCGGTGTACGCACTCTATCCATGTCTTCCACAACACAAGCGATAAAGAGAAATTGCTGGTCGATCCGTCAGATTTGCGGACGAAGCTCTCAAACAATTTGGGTGTGGCACTCAATATAATAATAGGTCATTCGTCACCCCTGATATGTCTCCCAATTTGAGGATAGGAGTGTAGATTTTAGTTATTTATAAAACTTAAAGGTCAAAATTAACGAAAACTTTTTTGTTGCTGCTCATTAGCGTAGCCAGCGTAAACGAACTTGACAAAAAGATAATAATATATAATTTTACCCACTCACCCAAATTATAAACCAATTCCGCATTATCGGGCTTTTCAGCTGTTTTTAACTAGGTAAAACAACCGAAACAAATATCCTACTTTCAATTCAAAAACAATCTTCCTTAGAAATACCTTTTTTGACGTAAAATTTTGCTTCTGGTAGGGGTAGTTTGTTTTTGTGGAACAACACGCGAGCTACAATCAGACATTGTCGCCTTCTGAGGCTTTGTGGTCATAGGGAATTGATAGCCCCAAAGGGTGGTAGGGACCGTGATAAAAGTGACTTTTTGCTTTATTCTAAGCGCTTAGATGATGAAATAACGACCAAAGTTATTGGTAAACTGTTCTTCTGATATTCCATAGTTGGCACTCGCCACGTATTTGATATCCAAGTCCGGTTCACCGTATGTCAGTCCGGTGGCATCGGCGACTAGCATCTATACCATTTAATTAACTTCGCCCTTGTTTGGATCTTTCCGAAATAGCTTGACTTTGGTTTTAATTTTCGAGATATATCCTACTTATCGGTCCTGAACCGTATATCGTTAGTTAAGTTAATTTTTCTGATAGTTCTCCAGTCTCGATATCCAGCTCGATCCGGTTGACGGTTTGATAAACTTTGCAAAGGAAATGATATTCATTATCGAGACACCAATCATTGTTTCAGATATTGCGTTCCTAGACATACTTCGGTGACTTTTTCTTTTAGCTATAACGCAGTTAAATTATTTAATGAAATACCTTATGCTATAACGTACCTCCCCACAATAAAGTCCTTCAAAAAAGCGTTAATATTGTTTATTAGACGTGCGTCTACTGCGTAATTGTAATTTTTTGATTTTGTTTATTATTATTATTATTATTATTGAAGATCGAGCTAAAATTGGACATGTACTCATGTACGTAGACGTGGACGTACAAAAGTGATTCTGGTCTGCGTCCTCAGTAACTGGTTGGGTTACCTGGACGATCTTCCTCTGAGTGCTGGATAGACAGATATATAGAATCGAGATCGAAATGTAGTTAATATTCTAAATCGCAAGGTACGCCTAAAACGAACTAAATTAAGGTTTCCATCATGGTGCCATCTGGGTCACTAAAAAAACTTTTGGTGGTCAACTGTATTTTATAGTGGTTTATATATTTTTTTCTGCCGATCATGGTAATAAAATGATTTATGGACCCATTGACGTTGCTCATGTAGCCCCGTGACTTATCAGCGTTGCTAAAAGTGAAATCGGTGCGAATGCAATTGTTTTCCTTCTCCACTAATCTTTAGCATGTCGAATTTGCTACGCGTTGTACTGCGTCAATTATTTTATAGGGTCCGTGGTTTAAGCACAGTTTAGCGTAAGCAGTCGGCGAAAACATCCGAGCCGAAGGTTGTGAAAACAACAATTGGACACATGGTGTATTATTTTATTACTCGTACGGTAATGAGTTAAACAAGTTTAATTTTATGCGATTGGAATCCAGAGCCTAGTGCGTCCGAGGCGAAAATTGCTCCAGAATCAAAGACCTCCTTCGCCAGGTCACTTTCGGGCACATTACTTCGAGAACTGGATATATATTTGATGTCTAACTTGGGACCCCCGTACACCAGGCTCGTGGGATTTGGCACCGGAATATCTGCAATGCCAGTTACCTCGCTCGTGTGGGGATTCACCGCAATAATCTAAAAAATAGTAGAGCCGATTTTTATACTTTGAAATGCAGGGCACCTACTTTGCCAGAACCGTACAACGATACTCCTAATTCATCGTTTCCGTCTAACACGATACCAGACGGATATCCGTGTAGATTTGGGTGGTCGTGTAAATCGAAAATGACCTTCGAATCGCCTGAAAAAAAGTCAGTTTTGAATATTAAAAAAAGTTTTTGTAGTATTTATGAACATCTTTCAGTTATCATATAAATGCAGGGGGGTATTCATTCCTTCATGAATGAATGATGACAAAATGGGTTTGGTTAGTTGGTTCGGTAATGTACTCAGGTACCCTAATCAAAGCTAAACAAAAATTATGTGTTGCATATTTAAAAATAAATTTGTTACCGAAATCGCAATAAACCATTGGCGCACCAAGTTTTTCATCATTCAAATTAATTAAAACAAGACCAAATTTCTATAGCAGAACGTATAGGAAAAAACAATTTCTTGGCACACATTGAACACTCTGTATACCCGAAGCCATACGATACGAAGTCAATTAGCTAAAATAAACGTTAGTTACTTATAATTGCGCATCAGACCTATTGTTTTAATATCAACATTCGGAGAGAAAACTAACGAATATCGTTCTGGGTATAGAGAATTTCTAAATCATACCTAATTCCCCTGTTTCGATGTCTAGTTCGATCTGGTGAATGGTTCTCGTATCCGATTCGATAATATAAATATGCTTGTCGTCGCCTGAGAACTCGATTCCGTTGGAGTAAGTTACATTCGAGAGTTTCCTTTCGATTTTTACCGTATCGTTGTGGTATACCGTGATCAAGTATATAGACCCCGCTCCCTTCACGTATCGATAGGGGCCTTCGTCGCTAACAACCAAGGTGGCTGTAACGTGGGACAGATAAGTTGGTGATCGATCACTGAGCAAACGCTCCACCTCACCTATCCACAACCTCCCTCTAGAGTCGACTTTGCCGTCGGAGAATACCTCACCATCCCCTATTTCACCAATTGCTTCGAATTTGCTGACTACTTCTCGATTATCGTTGCAGTCAAGTTTCAAAATGTCCCGATGTCCAGCAACGACGTAAAGCTTTCCCTTACCCTCTATTGGGGCTACTAGAGATATCGTTTCTTCTCCCTCTAAAATACCTGTTTTATGTAGCTTTTAGCGGCTCACAGACGAACGCTTACCGATTTTGGTTGACGTGGTGTTTCCGTTAAAGACATGTTCGTATACCTCGGCATTGTATACGTCAACGAATAATACCGATTGCTCGTCTTCGTCCCAGAACAATGACTGAGAAAGAGTAACGGATTCGGTCACCTGGAGGATTTTCTTAGAGGTGCTGGAAATATAAAGAAAACGATCAAGGTGCTTGTGGTCTTTCGTTACTCAAAATTACCCTAATGCGCAGATCAAGGCCAGCCCGAACCAAATTAGCAGATGTTTACCCATCATAGCGTTTTCGTAACTTTAGTGCGCGGGTTATGCTTCGTCGGGTACTTATAATAGAGCCCACTTTCTTTTTGTACACCACTGTCATTCATTGGACGATATGTATGATATATTAACCTCCGGTGATTTATAGTTACTTCGATGTAGCATTTGTTTTGCTTGAGCTTAACGAGGACTACTTATTGTTGAAAAAAACTCAGCAAAAGATACGGAAAGTATTTTACCTAAAAGTGAATCGCATTATTTACACACTTTGTGATAAGCTGCACTTAGGAGTTTGCTGTGTTTTGGCACTTGATAAATCTTCTCTTGAAAAGCAACGAATTCTAAAACTGTTAGTGGTGCTCCGAAACTTTTTTAAAATCAGCATAGTCACGTATGCCTATTGCCTATGGTATAGAAAAAAGGCAAGAGTAGTTTTCTTGAGTGGATATACATTACTGATTTTAATAGAGTTTTAACTGTCCACAGGCTACTGTAATACTGTTTTAGTAAAACCTTTTACAGTGATAACTGACAGTTTCGTAGTTAATTTCTTTCTCTTCATCGAACAAATAAAGAACATTACATTAGATACACAAGATATTCTAGTTAGTTTCGACGTAGAATCTCTTTTTACTAAAGTTCCTATCGCTAAAGCTCTCACCATCATTTCAGATATATCAAAATCCGAGAACTTGGAACCAAACCTTCTCACCTCAACATATTTTTCTTATAACGGTCAATTTTTTGAACAAATATCGGGAACAGCTATTGGTTCTCCACTATCATCAGTCATCGCGAGTATATTTATATATTTAGCCTTTGAAACGAAAACCCTCGACAATTTCCATCTAAAACCAAAATTATGGAAACTCTGCGTCGATGATACTTTTGTTATTTGACCTCGTGGTCAGGAATCCCCAGTAGATTTAAACTCTATACATCCTAACATACGTTTTACCATTGAAATAGAAACTAATATCAAACTCCCATTCTTAGATATTCTTATCAATAGACCTAACATTGGGTGATTATGTTACAGAAAACGTATGCACAGAGACCGATACCTTAATGCATTGGCACATTACCATTCGGCCCGAAAATGATCGGTTATCAACTCTCTTGTTTACAGAGCCGTAAAACTCTATCAGTCCGAGTCATTGAACCCAGAATTAAAACACGTTATCTCTATTCTTCTCTCTAATAATTTCCACATTAAAGATATTAAGCGTTCCATCACAAAATACACTTCACCGCAACCTTTCAATAGCAATGAAACCGAAAGCAATCCCACACTTGCCACTGTTGTCCTGCCTTATATTCAAAACGACACTGACCACATATCAAAAGGTTTAAAGAAATGTAACGTCAAAACCAGATTTACTACTTGTCCAAAAATCTCTCTCAACATCTTATCCGTCAAAGACAAAATTTCATTTGAGTTGCAGGGAGTTTACAGCATTCCATGCATATGCGACAAAGAATACATTGGAGAGACCGGACGAAAAATACCAACTACCCTCAAAGAACATGAAAGAGTCTTAAAACAAATACACAATTAGCAGAAAGAAAATTTTATTAGATAAAACTAAAGTCATTGCATGTAATCAGTTATTCTACCAGCTAGGCTAGAAAGAGCCTTACGACTTAGACAAATAAACTCATCAGCTGTTGCCGAACACAATCACGAAACTGGACATAAAATTTTACACGATAAAACTAAAATTCTTGCATGTAATCAATTCTTCTACCAACGAAAAATCCGAGAGTCTATAGAAATCTATAACCAACCTAATAATCTTAACCGCGACGCACAGGTACAGAGTAAAATGCGAGCTAGTTTCAGTCAAGCTCTGAAGAAGCCTACAGGAAAATTGGCGAAACGTTAGCAAGTCCGACTGAGCAAAAAGCGACCCAGGAGGTATCTTGAGGTTTTGTAAAAAGTATATACAGTTCTTATTTAAAATGTTAGCTAATTCGAGTCAACAAAAACCGACGCAAGAAGAATGTAGAACATGTATAAAAATTGTTTTAACTGTTTTCGGTTCTGTAACCTCTAATCACAGAACGGTACTTTAGTTAAATAAATATTGTTGAAATTTACCTATGGGCATAAGAATCAGCTTCAAGGAAACATTATCTTCGCATTTAAAGTCTATTTTGACTCTGACAAAGTAATAGGATCAGAGATATCATTTCCTCCTCATCTAAAAAGCCAGTTTGTATATCGAACTATAGTTCAACGCTTCCAAATCTTGCTGGAACAGGAACATTCTTCTTCGAGGTCTATTAGATTTGAACAGAACAGGCATTTCTGTGACGGGGAAACAAAAAGGATTTTGCGTATTTATAGATATGTGGGTGATTCTCTTTTAACTGCGATTTTTTTATGTCTTGTATTGTTTATTCTCACTAGCGATTAATCAATAATCTAATGATGAAATTTTTGTATTAATTAAATATTTATGAACATATTCTATCATATTTTTATAAAATACAATTTGCCCCTCAGAGAGAACCTTCAACACATCAGCTAAACCGTGTCATGTCCATTTTTAAAATTTATCTATACATTTTTACTTTTTTTGTTGCAATAAATGATTTAAACTAATTATGTCATGATGAAGTATATGAAGCCTATTTTGCTTAATGCTCCATGTTTTTACTGAATTCCGGTTCAAAAACTTTTGTCTTTAACGAATTTTTGAATTTGGAGTTATATGACTCGAGCGCCATCTACCTTGAGATTTATGAAACGTCTAGTGAATCATGGAGTTGATGAAATACTGTAAAGAGTTTAAGTGATTTTAGAACTCAAATCTATTTTATGTACTTTGGATAACTGAGTCAGTGCCGTTTCTTGTTCTTGACTATTTGAAGTTGTAGTAAATTCCTTTCAGGTTTTTATTTTTATAGTAACATAGATAAATAATATACATAAAGTATAATTTTAGAATCTTAGAAACTTTAATTAAAAAAAGAAGAAGTTAGAACGGAGAAAATGCTGGAAATTACACCATTTACAAAACTTGTGGATTCCTCCTACTCTGAGTCAAAGTTGCTAACGTTTCGCCAATCATCCTGTTGGCTTCTTCAGAGTTTAACTGAAACTGAACTTTCGAAGCGAAACGTAGCAAGTTCGACCCATGTAAATAGTATAGTAGCCTGTGGAAGATTTTTTGAAATTTTTAGAACAGCCGCCAGGGGGCGCAAACGCTTTCTTGAATTTTAAATGAAAATTTGAGAAACACTTTTATATTACAGACAACTAAATGAACATCGGGTACTAAACCTGTTTTCGATATTCGATGCAATCTGCTAGGACATTTATAGCAAGCAGAGAAGGAGACGATTGGCACAGCCGTAAACACTTTTAGAAGGACAATGAGACATTTTTATGACGCATAAGGTTGGCGAATCGCGATCGGAGCAATTGAACAAAGTACCACCATACTCTCTGTAAAATTATCGGGAAAAATAAGAAGACATTTTAATGCTAACGATTTTTGGGTGCCACTTTTGATGTCACGCAACATTGTTGAAGTAAATTGCTATTTTAGCGTCTATAATTATCATTATTATGCCGATAACGTTTAATTTAAAACATCCGGTGCAAATTGTTTTGCCATTGTTGTTATTTACGGGTATTTCGCCACCACATCTGAACGGAAAGACCTGCAGTATGAAACAAACAGAGAAATCACGAACAATAGGAAATGCAGAAAATTGGTTTCTACTTATTTATCAATATCAAATGCTGCCTGGAGAAAGCATTTGAATTTGTTACTTTATCAAAAACCGATGGGATCTGTTCTCCGTTCTTCATATGGACCAAAATCACTATAACTTGACAAGAAATCCAGCTTCTAAAAATGAAATATGATCTGACCACGACAGTTCTGATTTTTTGTCAATTTTGCTTCAATTTTTCGACTTTGGTAAGAAACAATGTAATTATTCCAAATTTGAAGCTATCGATTTGAAACTGAGTGGGTCCTTGGCAAAATATAGTGATTTTTTTAAATTTAAAAGCCTTTCATCAAGTCGAACAAATTCTTGAAGGACAACATGCAAAACATCGTGGGATTCAAACCTTTGTTTTTGAAAGTTTTTCAAAAATGTACCTGGTACTATAAGCACTATTATCCAGTTTAGACTGTAGAGAGAACTTGTATGTATAATTTTCGAACATTATACAGGGTGTTCGAGATATATCGGTTATGTAGGGAAGTCCATTCCTGCATATCATATCTCAGAATCTTTAAATATTTCAGACATTTTTTCGAATATGTACAGGGTGTTAAAGTTATAGGCATAAAACTAACACAACGTCTTTGAAGTTGGGCAAGTGCTTATTTGATAGACACTCATTTTGCGAAAGTTCCAGTTCCAGTGGTCCGCAGGAAAACGGTACTTGACTGTGCGTTAATACGCTCACCTTTTGTGGAAGGAACGCTGAAGAGATAGGCAACACACTTTAAAATGTATTTTATTAACTGTATTACGGAAGTATCACTGGGTACGAGGATCTAGCCTGTACACCTAAACGTTCTATTGAGAAAACCGCCCCCGAGTCGAAAACATTCTTGTCCAAGTAAGCCTTGGATAGGCCCGTCGATGAAGTGGTGTAGAACGCAATGTCGTTATGGGGTCCGCCCCATTCGAAGTCCGTGATTAAAGGCGTGGGTGTCGTTAAAAAGTCGAGCACCTCCCCCGTTATGGTGTCAATGTGGAGAATCTGAAATTTAAATCGACGTTGATATCGATGACGTAGGTGTCACACAAAACTTACGGCACTGCCATTGGACAAAGTCAAACTCAAGCTGTGATTGGGTCCATCTGCGAGCCCGTCTGGTTCTCCGTTAAATTCTGGATGGTCCTCCAGATCGATAAGAACGCTGCTAGTTCCTAAAACGATACCACTGTCATGATAATTCTTAAGGGGTGTGAAGAACTTACCGAGTTCTCCTTCTTGTAAGTCGAAAGAGTATTTCATCACTTTTTTCGAGGGGTAATCGACGAGGAAGAAATGATCGTCGCCATGAGACCACAATAAACCCGTCGGGTGGGTCAAATTGTCAAGCTTCTTCTCTATGTGGGCAGTTTGGTTTTTCCCAAAAGTGACGCAGTAAAGGGCTCCTTCTCCTTCCACGAAATCCACGGCGCTATCATTGCGAACCTTATACGCGCCTATAAACGAAAGCCTCTAGTCACAAATTGCTTCTCAAACAAGTTTAGCTTGAATGACGGAGGAGCTTACCAACCCACAACCTCCCCTTAGCATCGGCTTTACCATGGCCGAAAATTTCTCCTGCTTTCAATTCTCCGACCTGCGGTATGATCTTGAGCCTCCCGGTATTATCTCTACCGTCCCAGTCCATCAGCAAAATGTCTTGTCCAGTAGCTACTACGAAGTGTGTAGGGTGACCTTTGACTGGGATCACAACTCCGATGCTCTCTTCGTCTAAAAATTACTAGGTTAGATCAGTTTTGCTGGAAAAGCTGAAATTACAGATTTTGGTGGACGTGGTGGCTCCGGTGCGGTAATTCCACTGGAATACGAGTCTGTTGTCCAAGTCTAGGTAGTAGAGGACTTGCTTATATTTATCCCAGAACGGTTCGTCCGACATAGTAGTCGCATCGGTAATCTGCTTAACTTGCAGCAGCTTTGAACTAAAATACATCTCACAAGTGACATAAGAAGTACCAAGAACTCGCATGTCATGAAGTTTATAGCAACATAATAGATAGCCTACAGAAAGCTGCTAAATACAGAAAAGGAGGAAGATTTGACACATTACAGGGAAGCAAAGAGAAATGCGAAGAAATTGGTACAAAAGGAGAAGCATGCCCTCTGGGACCGAAAGTCTCAGAAAATTAACACATATATTGGAGGAAGGAAAAACACGGAAGCTTGGAAATTTAGTGTAATAACATCAACAAGGAAAATACTCATATGCCATGGAAACCAATTGATTACTACAAAGGATTACTGACCTAAATGATTTATTTACGGAGGATATTAAAATACATGGTGAACAAGTTGAAATCAATATAGAAATGACCAAATCCGCAATAAAGAGTCTAAAAAATGGATTAGCACCAGGTCCAAAACTCATGTACCTTGAGCTGCTCAAAAATGGAAGCGAAACATTGCATTACATTAATGGAAATCTAGTTCCCGAATCATGGAAAACAGCCTATATCACCCCAATTTACAAAAGAAGGCATTAAGAAGCATTGTGCGAACTACAGAGGACTGTCAGTGACTAGTAGGATGAGTAGGTTATATGGACGACTACTACGAGACTTGATAGAGTCAGAGGTTAAAGAACAATAAAAAGAAGAACAAAGTGGGTTCCGTTCTGGAATGTCTTTTAACAACAACTTATTCTGCCTCAAGCAAATCATTGAGAAGAAAATGGCCATAAACAGGAATACACATATAACATATGTTGATCTTGATCTGACAACAAGACTTGACATTTATCATAAATACATTGCTGCACTGCATATTAAATGATAAAGAGGATATGTAGTATATGATGCGTAAATTGATCGAAGAATATGGGAAATGAGGCCTTGCAGTTAACATAGAAAAAAAAATCTATGTGTTGGTGGAGAACCTGGTGATATACAATTACATTAAATATTAAACATTGCCAAGAGTACAAATATCAGAAACAGACAACAACAAAAAAAAACATATATTTAATCACACATCATCACAGATTCAAAGAAATTATGGGCATCAAACGAACCATTGTAGATGATATTAAAAGGGAACAATTAATTTGGTATGGGAACGTGCAACGAATGCCACATACAAGACTTCCCAAGCAAGCCAAGGAATGGCAACCTAAAGAACACTGGAAAAGAGGAAGACTAGAAACCTATTGGAAACAGCTCGTAGCAAAAGCGATGAGAGCAGGATCCTGCAAGATATCGATTGGGATACAGGTGAACGCAAGGTGTACACATTACATACATACAAGTGGCACACTGACAGAGTCTGAACTCACCATTGGATATAAGGCACCAGCAGCACCAATGACACTATTTTGAACATCATTTCTATTGAACTGGTTTCGCAAGCTCTAATGACGATTTTTATACGAAGCTGTCTCTATGCGGACTGTACTTTTTTATATTTTTGCATATCAATATTAATAATGGCATCATCCATGTTGATTTATGAGCAATATATGGTGACATTTATTATCCGGTCTAATGGTTTATGCATTCGAAAAAAAGCACGCATTAAACACTGCGATAGTAAGTGAACTAATAAATACGAGAATGGTTTGAAACTCATTTCGTATAAGGACGCAAACAGTTTCATAAATAGAACTTTATTAGGACAAGGAAAACATTTTCATTGGTTATTTGTGATCAGTTAATTTTGAGCCTCCTGGATGAGAAGCCAGTAACACCCATGTTTTCGATAGCGTATATCGCGCCCGAACTGAAAGCGTTCAACTCCAAGTACTTCTTCGGCAGGGAGTTGGTAGAGGAACCCACGTAGAGGGTATCGTTCTTAGGCCCGCCCCACTCCAATCCCGTAGGCAGATGTATAGGCAGGGTAATGAAACTTTTCACTTTGCCTGTATTTGAGTCAATATCCAGTATCTATCAAGTAGAATATGTTGTCATCCAGGAAAAATGATGTCAAAGATACTCACCGAACTTCCGTTGTATAAACTCAGCGAAAGACTACCATGTGTTCCCACTACGATGTTGCTGACTTTGCCACGGGCTTGTCGGTGATCGGCAAGGTCAAACAACTTTTCACTCTTCCCTGCATTCGACCGTTAATAATCCCTTTTGACCGAAGTCGTACAATAACACTCACCCAACTTGTAGTTTTCCTTATCGAACACGAACTTTTGAATGGTATTCGATGGGTAATCTACTAGGTAAAAGTGCTCGTCGTCTGGCGAAAAAGCTATGCCGGTCGGGAACGTCAAATTGGAGAGTTTCTTTTCGATTGTCACGGTATCGCCTCCTTGGAACGTTAACGCATAGAGAGATCCTTTACCTTTGGCAAAATTGTAACCAGGACCTTCTTCCAATTGATAAGTACCTACACCACATAGACGTCATTTATAGAAACTTTTTAGCCTCCACCAATCTGATTGCAACTACCTAACCAAAGCTTCCCACCCGGTCCTACTTTCGCTTCCGCAGGTTCATCTTTTTCTTCGAAGTTTCCATTTTTCTTCATATTTTGAATTTTTCCTGTGTTGTTTTTCTTTCCATCCCACTCTACCTTCAATACGTCACGGTCTGCGAGCACTACCAACTTGTTGGAGCTACCTTCTACTGACACGACGGCACCTATAGACTTTTGAGCTGGAAACTAGGGGCTTAGTCTGGAACACGTGGACGTCTATCTGGCGCTTACCCAACTCGATAGATGTTACGTTTCCGGTTTTGTAGTCCCATTGATATATCGTGGGCTTGTTTAAGTTCACAGCATAAAGTACTTGCCTGTCCTGGTCCCAAAACGGGAGATCAGTGTTTTCGGCGCTGCCTGTTATCTGGCGAACATTAAGAGACTTGATGCTAAGAAGAAAGAGAACTTTCTTTAAAATGCATTGGAACATTCTCCATTGGTTTTGGTTAGGACCCAATGATCGCTACACCAATCAATCAAAACTAACCAAAACTTACCAATAGCCATAAGGAAGCACTAGCAGGAGGATAGTCGGCAATATCGATAGCTTCATTTTAGAGCCACGAAGATTTTGAATGTCATATTTTTGACACCCAACCATATATAAGTCCACTGCTGGATCACGTCACACGACAAGCTTTAAATCGCCTGCGGCCATACTTAATCATGGTGATTAGCTATGAAAACCTATCGTATGTTATCTACAAAAGTCATTAAGGATATCAGTAGGTTAACAAGCTTTGTGTTGCTATGATATTTGAGTTGTTGCAATAAACATTTTCGCTAATTATAATTGCTACCGGGTCTTAAATCGATAACTGTGAATTTAAATGAAACCCAATTTATTTAGTTTGTAACCAAGTTTGCCAACAGTTAAATATTTCAAATTACCAGATTGTTTTCAGTCATTTATTAATTCACTACTGCTAAAAGGTCATGGTCGCTGACACCTCCAAAGTAAATAAAAAAAATTGTTCTTAAGCAAGTTTTATTCGCTATCATCTACATTTTTATAGGTCATATTTATTTGATTTTAATCTTCTTCGATGAATAACCGGTCACATTCCCTAAGTTTTCGATGGCGTATAATGCTCCAGAATTAAATGCATCTATCCTCAAGTACTCCTTCGGTAGAGAGTTGGTAGAGGACCCGACGAAGAGGATATTGTGTTTCGGCCCACCCCACTCCAATCCTGTGACCAGCGGCATCGGCAGGGTAATGAAACCGTTCAGCTTGCCCTTGCTTGCATCGATGTCCAGTATCTATCGGGCCAACCAAATCATCAGCCAAAAGAGACTAACTCTAAAGATACTCACGGCACTTCCGTTGTACAAACTCAGTCCCAAACTGCCTGCTGTCCCTACGACGATGTTGTTAGCTTTACCTCGGGCTCTAGGGTGGTCGGCAAGGTCAAACAGCTTTTCGCTCTTCCCTGCGTTCAAACATTAATAGTCGATTTGTCCAAGTTCGTAGAAAAACGCTCACCCAGCTTATGATTTTCCTTGTCGAACTCGAGCTTTTGGATGATGTTCGACGGATAGTCCACAAGATACATGTACTTGTCGTCTGGCGAAAAAGCTATGCCAGTTGGGTACGTCAACTTCGAAAGTTTCTTTTCGATAGTCACGGTGTCGCCTCCTTGGAACGTTAACGCATAAAGAGATCCTTTACCTTTGGCAAAATTGTAACCGGGACCTTCTTCCAATTGATAAGTACCTGCACCACATGGATGTCATTTATGCCTGCCTGATTGCGTACCTACCTAACCAAAGTACTTTGCACAAAACTTCTGGATTGCTCCTGCGTGGGTTCTTTTCTCCAATGACTGATTCCCATATTGGTGACAGGCAAAGACCCGAGTCGCGGTTAAGATTGTTAGATTGTTTATATCAATCTAGTTGGTATTTTTCGTCCGGTCTCTGTAATGTATTCTTTGCCGCATATGCATGGAATGCTGTAAACTCCTGGCATCGCAAACGGGATTTTGTCTTTGACGGATCGAAAATGTTGAGAGATTTTTGGTCAATCTGGTTTTGACGTTATATTTCTTTAGAACATTTGATATGTGGTGACGTGGACGCGATGACTGGTGATAATGGAGAACCCATAGTTCAGGCAATCATTTTCCTATTAAGGTGAGAATGTTTGGTTTTATATTCTCGGATTTAAATATATCAGAAATGATGTTGAGACTTTCATATATAAGCAAAAAGCCAACAGAATGATTGGCGAAACGTTAGCAAGTTCGACCAAGCAAAAACCCACGCAGGAGGAATCCAGAAGTTTTGTAATAAGTATTACAATGGTCTGTGGAAGTTTTTTTGAAAAATTACCTAACCAAAGCTTTCCATCAGGTCCAACTTTCGCTTCCCCGGGCTCATCTTTTTCCTCGAAATCTCCATTTTTCTTCAATTTTTGGGTTTTTCCGGTATCGTTTTTCTTCCCGTCCCACTCTACCTTCAACACGTCACGGTCTCCCAGAGCTATCAATTCGTTGGAGCTACCTTCGACTGACACAACGGCACCTATAGACTTTTGTTCTGGAAACAGGTTTGCTTAGTCTCAATTGTGTCGACTTCTATTTGGTACTTACTCAACTTGATGGAAGTTACGTCTTCAGTTTTGTAATTCCATTGGTATATTTTCGCCGTATTCAAGTTCACGGCATAAAGAACTTGTCTGTCTGGGTCCCAGATGGGCAGATCTGTGTTTTCGGCGATCCCTGTTATCTGACGAATGCTAAGGGATTTCATGCTAGGAAGAAAAACAAGAGACTTTCTTTGTGCTGAAGCTTTGGAAAGATCATTTACGGAAAAATCTAGGTTCACGTATTATTGTAATAACTTACCAGTTACCGTAGGGCAGCACTAGTACGACGACCGCCAAAAGACCAGTTTGCTTCATTTTAATGCCGATAACTCTTTGGGCACTTTTTTTGTCAACAATATATAAGCAAGCGTAATTAGTTTTAACAAGGCAATTTAATTACTATTTTGTGGTATAATCGTCAAATTGTTTCCATTGGCCTAATAGCTGGTCTTACCACCAATTTCTTTGTAGATAACCTCGCATTTTAATTGGACTTATAATTAGGTGCAATTCATTAACAGTGGTTCGAAAATTCATTTATTTTTATTCTTCCACATTTAGATTTCACGAAACAATTACAATACTAATGGAGTAATTATAAAACATTCTCTTTTAACTGCACTTCATTTGCCCTGAACCCTTTCACCCCCAATCCGGATATGGCGAAAACAGATCCCGCGGAGGGTTGCTTCGCCAGCCCCTCCACGTCCAGGTGCAATTTTGAAGTTGTGGCGTAAAGGACGTCTATCTCAGGACCACCGAAGCATACCGATGTCACGTACTCCACTGGCATCCTCAGGATCTTCAGCAGTTTTCCAGTGTACGAATTCACTTTGATTATCTGAATAAAGTCGACTTGATGCAGGTTAGCTGTGCTAGGGGCGATACGTACTGATTGTCCTCCAAAAAGGGCAACCCACAAATTGTCCTCCGTATCTATCGTCATGCCATCTGGTATGCCTTTAAGTTCTTGGTGACTGGCCATGTTGAAAAGCACCACTCTGTTGCCTGAAAATTTTTAATGAAATCATTACATCGCGTCTATCAGTGGGTTCGATTTTCATCTGGAGGGCAATATGGTAGTCTTTTTTTGTTGTAACAATTTTTGAATTACCAGCAGCTCTACAGCTGCTGTTGATCGAAGAACATTTGCCAGGTGCTCTTTCGTTTTGTGGACTTACTAACACAGCCGGTGCCGACTACAAAATCGTATTTGTAAACCACACGCTCTTGACTATCAATGAAGAACATATATTTATCATCGCTGCTCCATGCAATGCCGTTGCTGATACTCGTCCTGCTCTGCTTTTCTTCGTACAAAGTCCGTTTCTTCAGAGCGACGCGAACCCGGTAGAGGGAGCCACCCAGTGGGGTCACGCCGAGGTCATCTCGTCTCGTCAAAGTTCCTGCAAATGTAACCTGAGCGTACAACACTGGTCCCGCCGAGCGTAGCGACAGAAAAATGCTCTATCGATTCACATACCCAACCACAAATTTCCATTAGAGTCAGCTTTGCCGTCGTTCGATTGATTTTTCGGTTTGTGGTCCTCTATTTCCAGCAACGGGGTGAGAGTTCCGGTGTCATTCTCCGTCCCCGCCCATCGGAAATGGTACAGGCGCCTATCTGCGGACACTACGAATTGGTTTGGCGCATTTTTCATCGGTATGACGACACCGACGCTTGCGGATTCTGCGGATAATATTCAGTGGCGTACAGGATCGATACCCCAAGAGGATTTTCTCACCTAATTTATGCGAGGCGAGATGGTCAGTTTTAGAGTCCCATCGGAGTACTTTGGCTTGAAAGGTATCGACGAAATAGAGAGAGCCGTCCCGGTGATCCCAGTGGGGGGCTTCGGAGTGCTCCAGGGGCGTCGTTATTTGTTTAATTTCGACCGTCGTTGTGCTGAAATAAAAAAAATCGAATTTCTGTGTTTATTATGTTTTTTTATTTATGGATGACGTTAGGTGCACTGACATAAAGTTGACAATTTTATTAATACCAAATTGAGTAATAAGCTTTAAAAACATGGTTGATTTTGAATACATACATTTGATTATAAAAGCGTAAATAGCAACAAATAAGAAGTAAATAGCAATATTCTTCTAGTTTTTATATACATCAAAATTCATTATTAGAAAGTAAAATGCAAGAATCAATCATCTCATATGCATCGAGTTTTGACATTTTGCGTTGATACTTGCCAGGAAGTAAAATATAATCAGGAGTGATCGAAATATTAAAATATTGACTAGACGTTAATGAATTAACCCTCAAGTAAGTTGCATTCTGCTTACCGTAAGCAAACTGGACTTTAATTATTTGAAAGTACTAGGAACAGGACTCGAAATAAATAAAGAAAAGACTATTAAATACTTTGGTTAGGTGTAATAGTTATAGAAATTTAAAATCCTTGAATGTAAATTTAACGAATTTGACTTTATAAAGAGAAAATTAGTTAGAGTGTACGAGGTGTGTTCAAAAAGTAGGTGACTTTTGTAATTGGGCCTGCTACAGTTTGCAGGTTTACTTTTTTTGTGAGGCAAAAGGGATAGACGTGTACTACATTGAAGTTATGCGCCATTTGCGAGAAGCAATACGAAGTAAACGTACGGAATTGAAGGAAAACAATTCATAGATTTTGCATCACGATAATGCACATGCTCACTCACAACTTTTTGGCTTTATGGTCCCCTGCGACTTTTTCATGTTCCCAAAACTAAAGAAACCCATGAAAGGAAGGAGGCTTAGAACGATTGAGCTATTCCAGAAAGTACTTACGAGAAGTAGCTTAGAAGATTGGAGAAAACGTTGGCATCATTAATTTTGATGAATTAATCAATATTTTTTGATAAAACTTAAAAGTCAACTTACTCTTTGAACACAACTCGTATATATAACGCGTTGATTGAAAGTTTATAAAGGTGTGCTGTGGTCTGCTCGAATCTTTAAATGACGTTTAAAATTATATATTAAAAGTCGTATTTCTTTTTAGCCTACTGTGCTTCAGATACTCCTCTGTTTCATCTTTGTTTTACTGTTTTCTCTAATTTAATATTTTTATAAGCTATTTCAGAAAGGCCTGGAATAATAAAGTAGGACATTCCGTCCAGTTCAGTTCCGTTTTATTTCGGTACCTCTCGTAAGTGTATTTGTCCCATGGACCAATAATATTACGATTGGGTGTGTATTCCTGATAATTTATTTTTAATATAAGGTAAGGCTACCTGATACTAATTTTTATTCTGTTAAAATAAAATTCTTTGCCTTTTGCCTTAAGTACACCGTTTTCAATGATGGTATATAGGCAAAAGTCATAAATTGACCCATTATGGTCTGTAATACGTTCAAAGATTTACGAATTAATTTAGTAGCCTAGATCCTTGCACTTATTGTTTGCGATCTAGGAGCACTTAGTTTCTATTGACAAAATTCTCGACTTAATCTTATCAGTTTCTAATAGTTCTCGCTGTGATGGTATTCCACGCGCAATTTTCAAGTAAATACTTGACTTTCTCACTTCGTAATTAAATTTCACTTATTTTGAACTAGTAGCTTCTCCATCTCCATCGTTAATTCCTGTTTAATTACTGGTGTAGTCTGAAATAGGAGCCTTTTAGTCAGACAGGGCAATAACTTGTGGAGTGTACATTATAAGAAAATATTTTACCTATTACTACGTCATTAAGAAACAGTTTTCCATAGATCTCTGACGTTTATATTAGTTTTTAGCTGTTCATGCATACCTGTATGTAGGGGTAATCATAAATTGCAAAAGCGAATCCTCTGTTAATTTTTCTACGTAAACAATGTAGATAAAAGAAAATATTGGTGCTTATAATCATAATTTAGCAACTTTTGCACTAATTTGGCCACTTTTGCAAGTCTAAATGGAAATAAAAGGTTTTTGAATATTGTTATTTGTGTATAAATTAATAAAATAAATAAAGGGGAGAGTAGTAGTACTCTTTCTTTATAGTGCGGCAATATTTTGGTATGGACCAATAAATTTTGTGATGTTCCGCCTGGCATAGTCCCGTTTTCTATACAAAAGTTTTACAACTAAACGCGAAACTCTGCGGCGTTCTCTCCGTAAATTGAAGGTGGAAAACAAGGCGGAAAATCGGAAAAGTAGCGGCACGCGCTCCTCTAGTTATTTTCTTATTTCCGAGTTTGACCTATTTCCCTCGGGTCAGCGGAGTCGACTTGGGAAATATCACGGCATCGCATCTTAATATTTTATACGCGGCATATTAAATCATTAATAAAAAAAAACTTACCGGGCAGGCATTTTGGACGTGAATTCGAACTACGCGGCGAATACCCTGGCACGTCCTTTTAAACGAAACCAAAGGATCGTCGGCGAGGATGTCATCATCCTTAATTGGCCCGTTAATCTTTTATTTGTTTACTATTGCCCTATTTACGCAGGATATATTCCTGCATCGTTCGTTCTAAATCCTTTTACCATCCTTGGAGCGTGCAAAACAGATTACGCTTATCTTTATTGTGACAAAAATGGCCGGAGTTGCAATTGCAACTGGCAATTGACACGAGAGTCTTCCTCGCTTTTAATTTTGCCACAAAGAGATGAAAAATTTGTATTTTTCTCAGTAAACCTAAAAAATTGAATGCACCCGATTGATTTTGCTAAATAAGATCAATAACGGTGGTTGATACCATATTAAGATAGGAAACATTTTTCAAAGAAACTTCCACAGGCTACTGTAATACTTTTTTTACAAAGCTGTCAATCGCCTCAGCAAAAACCGACGCAGGAGGAATCCAGAAGCTTTGTAAAAAGGTTCGGAAACATTTATTGGAAAATACCAATTTCACTGGCAACGATAGTTTTTACCGTTAACTGTTAAGTAGGCAAAGTTGTTTTGACTATAAATTACATAAAAATCCCCTTATAAAATAACACGTTTGGTTGACAACAAAAATTATAATAAATGATTTTTATATTTCCTAATAGGTCTTTCAAAAAACAATATAAAAAATCTAGAGCAATCTAGCTTGGTACAATAGTGCAAAGTAAACGTTAAAAGAAAACATTAACTTTTAAGTAGGCAAAGTTATTTTGACTACAAATGAACATCTTTTGCTGAAAAATTCCTCTCAACATTTTAAATATTAATAACAATAACGATAAATTACTTTTATATTCACTAATAGGTCTTACAAAAGACAATATCCAAACTATTTGGGTATGCTATCGTCTGGCGCAGTATAGCTTTTAATCAGCTACTCCACTGATGCAGTACATGGCACAATTGTGCAAAATAAACTTTAAAAGAAAGCAGTCATTTTAAACAGGCAAAGTTGTTTTGACTACAAATTACATAAAAGGTCCCTTTTGCTGAAAAATTTCTCTTAATATTTTAAATATTAATAACAACAATTATGATAAATGACTTTTATATTCACTAATAGGTAAACCAATATCCATACTTATTAGGTATGCTATCGTCTGGCGCAGTCTAGCTTTTAATCTGCTACTCCACTGATGCAGTACGAGGCACAATATTGCAAAGTAAACTTTAAAAGAAAACAGCAATTAAACCCCGAAGGTCATAATATAAAATTTGACAAGTACTTTTATACTGAGTCTTAAAAGTGTTTCTATTTATGTTCAACAATTTGTTAGGTGCTGAATTGGAATATTTCACTTTTGAAAGTTGACACTCCGATTGTGAGGCATTGCTAAAAACTCTCTACCTTTTACACTCCTCTGATGGACCTCAGGCCTAAAAGCTACTCGTTGTGGAATCGTTCAGAGTATATCGGGATAATCTATAGTTTTTATTACAATCGTACAAAAATGGAATATTCAACGATTCTCCATTCTAAGACATTCAATATGAATAAAATTGCGAAATATGATGGATAATTTTCAAACGTCATACACAGAATGATTCAAATCGACAGGGCAATTCGGAAGTTGTAAAATGTAGATGATTAAGAAAAAACTTTCGTTATACAATTTTATTTAATCGTGTCTGACTACAACTTGTGACTAGAAATTATTAGATATTGTTCATATATCACTCCATTTTCATTGCACGTCCACGCTAGAAGGTGCTTCATTGTCTGGGATTCTCCACATTCACACGTTTCTTCTTCCACGTATCCCCATTTTAGGAGGTTGTTCTTGGATCTCCCCATTTGGCACCGAAGTCGGTTGAGGATTTTCCAGGTACCCGAGTCTAATTCAGAGCCTGCAGGAAGTTTTTCTTTTATATTCCAGGTTGGGATGTCGTTGATTGCTAGGCGCTGTTCCCATTTTGTCTCCTTGGTAGCAGTTTTAGAGGCTGTGAGCGGCTGTGCAGATTGCATAAAGCCTCGCCTTGATTTCAGTCTGGCCGCTGCCGGAATACCTTGGTACATAGGATGTCTGGGGTCTTCACATTGTCTGCTTCGTTCGGCCATGGAACGACTGGGTTTGCTCAGTGTTGCAGTCTGACTGAGTTCCATTCTATTTGTAGTTCCCTTCTCGCCTGTCAGTTATTGAGATGGAATAGCGTTTTCGCTGGATTTGGGCGGAGCTGATTTGATCTGTAATAATCATTCAGTCTTGATAGGGATTCTGTTATCTGCTTCTCTATCTCTGTGATGTTTTTTGACTGGCAGGTGATAGCTACGTCGTCGGCATATATAAAGCTTCTTGTTAATGGGCCTATTGGTTGGTCGTTAGTATAAACATTGAAAAGCACTGTTAGATAGCATTGTTTTTATCACTTTCGTCAGTTGGTAGTCTCCTGTCATTCTTAAAATTTTTTCCAGTAAAATTTTATGATTTATGATGTCATATGCCGCCGTTAGATCTATAAAGACGGCCCCCGTTGTTTCCTTTCTCTCAAAGCCGTCCTCAATGTGTTGGGTGAGGCTTAGTACCTGACCGGTACAGGATTTCCCAGGTCTGAATCCTGTTCGCTGCTCAATTAGATGGTTCTCGATTTGGGGCCCATACTTGTTAAGTATAAGGCGTTCGTAGAGTTTGAAAAGGGAGCACAACAGTGACACCGGACGGTACCTTTTAGCAAATATTTCTAGTTTACAGGGTGTAGAATTTTTTTTACTACAATTAAAAAATTGCTACGTTTATAATAAAAAAAACACGCACATATTTACCTAAAATTACTTTTAAAAAAAATTATTTTCTCATTTATTTCAAAAATATAACGGCATGAATGAATGTGATATTTATAATTCAAAACTGTAATTTTAGTCACTAAAATAATTTTAACAAGTTGCAAGTACTTTTAAACACTGATTCTCCCTATGAGGCCCTTATTACCAACCCACAGGAATGCAAAAGCTAATGACTAAATACTTGAGAGTAGTTCCTGGCCCGTACAAATCGCCAACTCTCAACCGCAATGCATGCAATCTTCCGCCTTGCAGATTTAATTAAATTTTCAACCTTTGACGCCGGAAGGCTCCCTGAATTTTCTATTTCCGGTGTGCCTTGTTTTAATCGAAAACGTCCATAGGGAGAGGGCCGTATGGTCTTGTTCGTCAATATAAAATAGCGTTCATAGAAATGTAAACTTTTGACTTAAATTCCATTTTTTTTAGAAACTACTGATCAGATAAAAAAAAGATGCTGTTTGAAATTCAGTTTAATATGCTTTAATACGAGTTTAAATTGATTAAAATTGCACGAGTCAAATTAACTTTTTTTATTACTAACAGCAAACAGGGTTATAAGCTCTGGGATCGAGGTTAGGGTACGAATTCTCCGTTTTAGCTCGTCCCATAAATGTTGGATCGGATTGAGGTAGGGGCTGCATGCTGGCCACCCCATAACTCGAAAACCGACTTCTGTAATGCATTCTTGCCCTATCCTTACGGTGTGCGGCATAGGATTGCCATGCATAAAAATAAAATCTTCTCCAATGTAGTCGACATATGGTATTGGTATTGGTATTGGTATTAAAGGGGGGCGCCCTCGCGGGCGTCCAAGCACTTAGGCCACCAGATGGGCCCGTTGTACCCCCAGGCCGCTCTAGAGGGCGTCCAGAATGCCGCCCCTCCTGTAGAAGGTCAGCAACTCCTTTAGCCCAATACCGTGCACTGAGTCCGGATCGATCAGGGCCGTTCCGAAGACTCCCAATCTTGCCCATGTCAAGGCAGGGCACTCGGTGAGCAGATGATACGGGGTCTCCTCCCCTTCCATGCACCACCTACACTCCGGGTCGTCTCCAATGTCGACATATGGTACCACGTGGTTTCACCTGTTAAACCTGCTGCCCCTTGTTCACGGGCGTCCCTAGGGATGAAAACAGGGTCGGTCCCTGCGTCCATAAGGACTCCGTTCTTCATTGCAATATTCTGCAAATCGCTCTCATGGTGTTCGGGACACTTTTTTCGTAGGTCACTACCAAAAAGGCATATTCTGGTCTGATCTGAGAACAGAACAGACCCCCAATGGTCCAATATCCAATTCAGGTGATCCCGTGCAAAACATAGGCGTGCTTGTCGATGAGCTGGACCAATTGCAATTGTTTTTGGGGCCAGGTTATTTTCCTTCAGTCTTCTTCTCACCGTTCACTCATAGCCACTCTTCGAACGTCAAGAAGCACTTGAACCGCATTAAGGTGACGATTTCAATAAAGCGGTCATCACGAGCCGTTGTAATTCGCCTTCTGTCTGTTCCAAGACGCCTAGCGCGTGTCATATTCAGTTGTCGAGAAACAGCTCGCTGGCGAAGTCCACTTTAGATTAAAGCGATTACTTGAGCGGTTTTTTGCGGTGTAGTATAAACGCTATCCAAATGGTTAAAAACGAATAATGTGATAATTTCAGTTTGCAAAGGCGATTAATTTAAGTCTATAACAAGTATGTTACTATCACTATAGCTATTGCATGAACACATTCCATTTGTTTAAGCGTAGCTACGCGTATAAAAGATCAGCATTCTTGACAAATTTAAACTAATACTAAAGCGTATTCCTCCAAGCAGCATGTCAATTTTTTGAGTCAGATGAATAAAAATCAAAAATTTACAGTGGGCCGATTTAAATGCACCCAAGTTTAGTTAAGCAAAATGAACAAAAAATCTAATTTTTTACCATTCGAACTCTACTCTATCACGTGTTTGGCGACGAGAAAAGTGAACGAAGTTCAAATATACTCGTAAAATATTCAGCAAGTAAATGTCAAATTATTATCTTGGAAGCGCCCGTCGATCGATTTAGTACGTCCGTAAACAGTGAAGGCGGAAACTTTCTCTCGCGTCAATCAGTCAGCCGAAGTGACTTCGTTAGCCATTCACCCTACTATGCCGAGTGAAACGCCAGGTGGACCAGAATTGGCGAAACCCTAATACAAACCCGAAGCTCGGGATAGTTAAAATATGTTTTTGTCTCCAGATGGCGTTTTAAGACCCAATCGCAAAAGAATTATTGGAGACTTTGTTCCCTTATTACATACAATGAAACCCAACAATCAAGTGAAAACCGCATCTCAATGTCTTTGTCCTAATCTAAAATATGAAGAAAAGAAATGAAAACTCACGCGGTTTCGTGTGGTAAGGGAACGCAATGTTTTTCTATCGTACTCCTGCGGACCACTATGAAACTTTCGCAAAATAGATGTAATTTAATTGTGTATGCACCTTGCATAAATTGTCCTTCACATCTGGTCGAAGTTACAGTAAACATCGCTAAATATTAAAATTTGCACAAATAATACCGTTGTCGAATGATAATTTTTTCAAATAACTCGCGCCCTGTATAATTGACGAAACCTGAACACAGTTTACGATACTGTTCAAATAAAATTATCCCATCTTTAACGATTTTTCATTTATCGCCAATAATTTACCCAGAAAAACGGTAATTTTGGTCTTTTACATTTTTTGCCCATAAACGACACACCCTGTACATGAGTCAAACAATGTTCGAAGTAGAGGTTATAGCCCTGGATCTTCCACGTTTCCTGGTAAAAGAATTTTTTGAAAATAGTAAATGGTTTTCGAGAAAATAAGTTTTTTCTGAAACCATGCAGTGCCCAGTAATAATTAATGACGTCATCGCGTCTTGACAGCCCCCGAAATAGCGATTTCAATACGTATTTTTTCAAATATCCCGAGCAGCGAAAACCGCAAATACTAAAACTGTAGCTCTGAATGCGGCCTATGACACTGAACCTATTAGCCATATTTTTTAAGATTTTTATAATTTGAAAACCCTGTATATAATTTTGCCGATAATGTGGACACGGATTTTTACTTCTCCGTTAAGTTGATATCTGCCAATTTAGGACACTTAACACATTTCTTGTTTAGCACGGAATATCGGGGGGGAAAACCTTTAATACAAAAGTTTTTGCTGTCTATACGAGCTTTATCGCAATATAAAAGAATGTGAGATCTGAATCAGTCTTTCAGTTATAACCAATTTTCAATAATAAGGGGACCCATTTTTCAGTTTGTTTGAATTTGCGGCGCATCCTGTATATTTTTGAAAAATTGTGAAAAATAAAAGTTTGTGGGGCCGTATCTTCTGCGTCTTCTGGCTCAAGATTTTTTTTTGGTCTCGTAAACGGTTTTTGAAAAATGATGTTTTTTGTAGGCTCTTGCACACGCGATTTTTATTTTTTTTAGAATACTTCCCGACCTTCAGCCCCCACATTTTCAATAGCATTGGGTAAAGCTGCACATACGTACCAAATATGAAGTCGATTGCTTCAAATTTCTGACACTTATCGTGTTTCATGGCAATGTCCAAAAAACAGTCGAAAATCGCGAAAAAAAGATGGATACCGGCGTCGGATCAGCGCCATTTCTCATAAGCTTATGTGCCTCGTGGAGGGTTAAAAAGGAGATAAATTTCAATTTTGTAGCTCCAACGGTTCGAAAGTTATTCAGGAAAAACCAAAAAACGAGAACGGAGAACGGACAAACAGACAAAAATAAAAAAAAATATTTCGACGGTGATCATTTCTGTACCAACGGCGATCCCATAGGACCTACCGTTACCGAGATAAGAAATTTTTCTACGAATATAGATACTTTCGAAAAATTCGATTTCATCGATTTTCGAAAATAACAAGACGCTACTTCTCCACCAATTGATTAATTTGATTTTTCGACTGCCTTTCATAATAACTTAGCGTATTGTTTGGCAAATTATGAATAATTGGACATTAATTCTAACTCATAAAGTGTAAATAAAACTGACCAAAATTCATGTTTTTATTTTAGTTTAAAAAAAAATTATTCATATTTTAGGTTAAGCTAAAGATATTTATGAGGCTCGTTGTATTTTCTATTGAACTATGTTCCAATTTTACATAGACAAAATATTTGGTACTCCCTTTAGTTACATTAAAATAAGTTAACTATTTCGATTTCTCGTTTCAAAAACCTCCAGATGTCGATCTTCACGTTGCTACTGCCAAAATTATTGAATACTTTCACACCCTGCGCCTCGTAAACTAGCAAGGTCTGTATTAAGGTCGTTTTCAGTCACCCTATATTCAAATTACTTAAAAAAATCTGTTAACAAAGGATCAAATCTATTAGCAATCGTTAAAAATAAAATAAAAATTGACGACAACTCGTAAAATTCCCAAAAATTAACATTTTAGACCATTATTCTTTTTGAAATTATGTCAACGCCAAACGCCATCTCTTGGCAAGGTAAGCAATCGCAATCGCCTCACTCATAATAGAATTGATAGAATAGAAAAAAACCTTTTTTAACTACCCCCAGTTTATTACTACGCGTTAAGTCTTTTTGGAGTTATCAATATTTATTTTCGAAAATGTTCGAACACCCATCACAACTCTCCTTTCAGTACTGAAGCATGAAGCATTGATTTGAATCTGTCTTTAAAACATTACTCACACTTACTCTTTGCCCTTACTAGAACACCCGGTAAATTTCGATTTTGAGATTTTTTCTAACTCTCTCCTAAACGCCCAGATTCGAATACCAACATTTTCTCAAGAGACCATTGTCATCTTTTACCTGTATTAACATGCATAAATTAAAACGCAGTTCTATGTTTAAGCATTTGTATATTTTAAAATAAAACCATTAAAACTACCGGCGCTCAGTTGTTTAGCACGACTTCGAAATCGGGCCTGCCCTTGACCCCTAAACCTTCGATGGACAACACCGAGCCCGCCGAAGGTTGTTGTTGCACCCCTTCTTCGTTCAAATGGAGCCTCGAAGTCGTAGCGTAAAGAATTTCGAGTTCCCCTCCACCGAAACAAAGCGAGGTCACGAACTGCACTGGCATCGGCACCACTTGGAGGAGGTCGCCGGTAACCGGGTGCACTTGGATGATCTGCAACGCGAGCTCAACCAACGTCATCGAAACCTATCCCCACCCCATTTACCGCTGATCCGCCGAATAACGCGACCCACAAATTTTCGTCCGTATCTATAGTCATACCGTCAGGGATGCCGCTCAGCTCTGAGTGATCGGCCAGATCGAACAGCACCCTCTCGTTGGCTAAAATTTATTAAGTCAATTTGGTCCTTCGAGCCGGATGCGCGGCACCTACAGATTACGCTGTCGCCGTCAAAGTCGAACTTGAAGACCTTCTTCAGAGCGCTATCGATGAAGAACATAAACTTGTTGTCCGAGCTCCATGCGATGCCATTGCTGATGCTGGTCTGGTTCTCTTTCGCTTCGATCTCGTCGTGATAGTCCAAGGAGATTTCTATGCGGTAGAGGGAGCCTCCGAACGAGGTCACGCCAAGGTCGTCGTTTCTGGTCAGAGTCCCTATCGAGAGTAGGATCTAGAGTAAATTCTGGTAGCACCATTGCCGTACCTATCCACATGTTCCCATTAGCATCAGCCTTGCCGTCGTTGAACTGGTTATTCGGTTTCTGCGGCTCCACCTCAAACAACTCAGTGGCAATACCCGTATCGTTATGGAACCCGTCCCATTGGAAATAGTAGACCAACCTGTCTGCCGCCACTATGTATTGTTCCGCGGTGTCCTTAATGGGGGTAATTACCCCAATAGATTTTCGATCTTCTGCAAGGCGATCGTTAAACCAAAGTTAACTCCAAAATGTCGACTTACGTAATTTGTGGGATGTAAACAATTCTGTTTTGGGGTCCCACCTCAGGATGGTCGCTTGGAAGGTATCCACGTAGTACAACACTTGGTCTACCGGATCCCAGTGTGGCCCTTCAGCGTGCTGGACCGGAGGGGTTACCGGAGTAATATCTAGAGCCAATGAGGTCGAAGTCACAGCGACCAAGAAGATAATGCTGATGGTTTTCATGACGGAAAATGCTGTTGAAGTGGGTGTGAGATTAGTTTTAGTTTACTTGTTACGTTTATTATTGTTTCTAATTTGATCAACTAACAACACCAACTGCATGTGGGATGTTATTAATAAAAATAGAGCAATCCGTACAGGAAAGCCCTCATCAGATATCATAACTATATCCATCGTCCCATTTTACGCTTGCTGAACTAAGTTTTAATGAAGTTAGGGAAATCATAAATAGTCTCAAAAATAAAAATTCATAAGCACGCGGTGAATAAAGTCAACACTTTTTCAAACATTTCAAAAAAACCTCTAGTAATATCAGTATTTAAAAAAGGTAACCCTGATGTTGTTGAAAATTATCGACCTATATCTCTACTTCCAATTGTTCGAAAGATTATAGAGAAATGTATAGCTAAACAACTAGTTCAATATTTTGAAATTAATGGCATTTTTAATAATAAACAGTTTGGTTTTAGAAGAAATAATAACACTGTGTCGGCCATTCTCAATTTAGTTTCAGACAATGCAGACGCATTCCAGAATTGGCAATATAACACTGTATTATTTTGTGATCTCACTAAAGCCTTCGACTGTGTCGATCATGGAATTCTTCTGCGCAAGTTAAAGGCTTATAATTTTTCAAATAGCAGCCTTAGTTTGACGCAATCTTACCTTAACAATAGATTCCAGGTGATTAAGTACTCTGGGGTGACATCAGCCAAAAGTGAGGTGAACATTGGAGAGCCCAAGGCTCAATTTTAGGCGCATATTATTTTTAATATATATAAAAGACCTTTCCCATGTGGTTTCTAAATCTGTTTACACACTTTTTGCTGATGAGACAACTGTGTTTGTTTGTGATGATTCATTAGGAGACACGTGGGAGAGTTTCAGGATCGCACAGGAAAAGGCTGAACACTGGTTTAGTGCAAATAAATTAGTTTTAAATAATGATGGTAGTTTTTTCAATGAGAAATTTAAGTACAATTAATTTTAATAAACTAAATACCAGATTTCTTGGCATCTATATCGACCCAAAACTTCAGTAGGACTCCCATCTAGATTTTGTTGCTCAGAAACTGACCACTTTTTCATCCACACCTCCTATATGCGATCTTAACATGGGGCCATGATGCTGGCAGGCACCGTTTGTTCAGATTACAACGAAAAGGAATTCGAATTATTAGTGGACTTGGTTATCTGCCTTTCGACACTTGGAAATTCTTACATTGCCCTCGTTGTTTATCTTAGAAAATCTTTTATTTGTAAAGAAAAATCCGCATTTATTCCCCACTTGTAAGGAATTGCATGATCATCAAACCAGAGGTCGGGACAAGGTGGTTATGACCTACTGCCGCTTGGAGACGTGTCTGACTGGTCGAAATTATTGGTCTGTTAAGTTTTTTTATGCGCTTCGAAATGCTCTTCGTAATTTACCATTTGAAATTCAATTATAATGTACCAGGTGCATTTTAAGTATATGTTATTTTATTCCTTTTTGTTTGACGTATGTAATAGTAAAAGTAATGTCTGTAATAGTAACAATAATAAAGTATTCGTATTCGGATAAAGTTGATTTACCAAAATAATGATGAAAAACGTCTCTTTAAGTAAGGCGAATATTTAAATTTCAAACATGCTTTTTTAATAATAGCGAATATTACGGAAAAACGTGCATCGCTACGTGTAAAAAAGAAAGTGGTAGATAGACAATAGATAGAAACGATACAGTAGGGTGTTTCATTTACAAAATCATAGAATAGATCATTTCAATTTCATCAAGTTAACCTCTAACGCGTATGATTATATTAACGTCCACTTACAAATATGAAGAGTTGTAAAACAAAACAAAAAAACGCTTTTTGAGATATCTTGTATTTTATGAGTTTCATTTAAAAAATACATATGTTCTTTTATTCTTTTTATTGCATAATTGATAATATTTTAAAAATTTTCGAATTGTGCTAGATAAGGAGTCAGTCAGTTAGTCACGCTATTGCTTGGAATGAAATATTATATGAGTTCTTTGATTCCGAATTATCAATATAAATTATTATAGTTTTGGTTTAATCCCGTTTAAATTTTTAATAAATAAATAAAATAGATTAAAAAAATAAGTAGCGAAAAAAGTTAAACAAAAATTACAACTTCGGACATTTCAGTTATTTTACCGCACTGGTTTGGGGGCAATCGGATGCTTTCGGAGATATTTCCCACGCTTTGAATTTTGACGTTTGTCATGTCAGTGAACGTATTCGTGTTGTTTTGGGAAAATGTACCCAAATACGCTTGATAATGAGGTAAACGGCATTTGACTCACGAGTTTTTTTGACACGAGCGGAGCGCAGCGTGGGAAATATCTCCGAAAACATCTGATTGCTCCCAAACCCGTGCGGTAAAATCCCGGAAATGTCCGAAGTGGCTCGGATTCGTGGGAAACGAAACTGACGTGGTAAAGCGACGCTTCCTGCACGCTAGATCGGTGCGTAATTAGGTATTTTATAGGCGGCAGCAGAAAAACTTTTTAAGTCACTCGTTTATTAAACACAAAATCGTGAGTCAAATGCCGTTTGCCGCAGTTGTTGCATAATGTACTATTCCATTTTTATAATGAAACGATATAAACCGCCTGAAACGCCTATCTCAAGATTTTAATACTCCAAAACTATATCTCAAACGCAAAACATCGTTAAATAAATGCATTTTTAAAACCTAAGTGAGTTAAAACATTCAGGGCTATATTAAGTAACACTTTAGGCTCTTCAATAACAATTATAGGTCAAAAAAATTAATTAAGGACTAAAAAAATTTCGTATAGCAGTACACGATACAATCAAATCATTACTATTACTATTATCATTCGCCTTTCAAATTTATTTTTTATTGTTAGTTGCATGATGTCCATTTTTAAAAAAAGCACGAGATATTGAACTGAGGTGGCTTTTACAAAATTTTATATTTTGACATGACAATTGTTTCTCGATCCTACAGAGTTATATCAAAGACAAGTCAAGGAAGTAATTACTAACTCCACACTATTTAGTGACAAAGACAAATATTTTTTAACCATTATGAATACACAACGGCCGAAATTATATTCTTTAGTTAAATTACTTAAACTCTCAACAAAATTAGTAAATATTTTAAAGTTCCACACAGATTTTAATCCAAAATTTGCAATAAAAAATTCTTTTGAATTAATCAACAAAATTAAAGATATCAAAATCCCTTCTAACGCAACACTATTGTCTTTTGATGTACAAAATTTATTCCTCAGTATTCCCCCTATGGATGTCATAGGTTTTGTAGATTTCACCCTAACTCGGAAACATGTTAACCCATTGGTGAAACAAGATTGATTAGATTGCTTAATCATTTATTTTAAATTTAATGGACAGATTAACATCTCTAAGGGAGGTTTGATTATGAGAAACCCACTTAGTCCTTTGTTAACCGAGATTTTTATGGATAATTTGGAAAATATCATACTTTTTCTATGGTGATATAGATACGTGGAACGGACAGACATAATTGTATAAAATTCACTATCGAGATTGAACAGCATAATTCTATCAATTTTTGAGACTTAACCATTTGTCATAAACCTTCACACATGGACACAGTCATACATAACAGCCCAAATCACCCTTATGCACAGAAAATGGCTGCATTTCACTCTTTTATAAACAGACTTCTTAATACGCCACTCTCAACAGAAAATTACAACAAAGAACTTAATATTATAACTTAATAAAAAACAAATTGCACTGAACAACGGCTACAATCCGTCTATTATAGATAAAATTATAAATAAAAAACAAATCCAGACAACAGTAAACACTATTTATCCGAAACCCTAAAACAGAACACGAACAATTTAAGGCAATTACATGCATAGGAGAACCTAGTGAAAAAATTTCAAAACATTTGTCAAGATGTGGTTTAAAAATAGCTTTCAGGACTAACAACACAATAGGAAAATTTTTGAAAAACAATAAAACGATATGTCGAACACATTTTTGACGTCAATTTTGATATTTTACATACAGCTACAAAAAGTAGAAAATTAAATTTATTGGAAGCCATGGAGATTAACAAAATGAGACCTTCAAATGTATTGCTTAACGATCAATTAAATTTAAATACCTCTCCTTTATTGAACTTAAATTCTCACAACAACATTAATTAAGGTTTTATGGTCATTTTTCGGTATATGTAGCATCTAGTTTGTAAATATTACATTTGGTAAAGACACGGTGTTGTCAAACAATTCTCATGATAAAATATATAATTTCGTGAAATTCTGAACGAAATACGCAATCTGGTCCTAGAACGAATTTTTACATTAATGATTAATCAATGTAATACTTACTTTGTGCGTTGTATACGAGCTAATTTTTCTTCTCGTCAGGCGCTATTTATAATATATGCGATAAAAATTAGATTACCTTATTTTTGAGAGCCCCTTTGAGCACCGCGCACTCAAATTTTGTTATTTAATATCGGTTATCAGCCTGTAACCAAGCTGGATTAGCTGCAAACTTTTTTTCCTTGCCTGGTAGTAGCTAATTTAATTTATTTTTTAAGTGCCCTTACATTCCCCTATATTCCTATGCGATTGATTAAAAATCAGGTCAAATTATTATTTTAAAACAGCTCGTTGAGACCTTTTTTTTTCTATTTTCGTACGCCCTCTCGACTTCCCCACTTGGCCCCCAACCCTTACCGCTCCTGTTCGAGTAATGTTTTAAAACTCGTTTGTAGGGAGTAAGAGGAAACCCGTCTCGATCCGCCCCGCAAGCTCGCCAAGAGATTCAAGGACGTGCCTAAAAATTGATTTTAATTTTTAAACACAACAGGAAGGAGGCTCGTCTCTTATCTGGACGTCATGTCGTGGGACTGAATTTTGTCACCCAACGGGGCAGTCAGGCGAAACGAATGCGACGCTACAGAACTAGAAAGCTCATCGTTGTTATTGCCAAGGTAAATTAACTTTCCATCAAACGAAAATTTTGGAACAGATCCAGAATAGCAGCCCGCGACAAAGCGTTCGTTTGTATTTTTTCGAAGTGCAATGGCGGAATTCCTCGAATTGCTTATCGCCTCCTCATTGTACAATTTAATAGGAAACTCTCGAAAACAATTGCTTTTTTATGCGTATATTTTGGTGAGCGTACACAGGAAGATCGAAATAACTCTGTCATATAAAAGAAATTGGAGATAGACTACTCCAAAGGCAAAGCAATTTTTCTTTTCTTCTCTAGTTTTTGAACCGACATGTATAATTTTAACTGGATCTGCCACCATCTGTTGCATCAAAGTTTTTACAGGTATCATTTTGGAGCTGAAAATATTTCTTTTAGATGCTTTAGTCATTTTCATTTCTAAAAAATATTGGGTTTGAGTAAAAGCTGGGAAGTTTACTAATAGATTTGAACACAATAACAATAATCTGTGTCTACCGCTGATTGAGGCTTACTCGGAGGGCCATCTCTATCACGATGGCGTAGAAGTATTGTACCGTGAGTTAGTACGAGATCAGTTACTATTATTTACTATTATACTATAATATTATTTTACTTGCTTTACTTACTATTACCTGTTTCGCTTAAATTATGATCGACCGTTTCACGAAGTAACAAATCTTCTACTAACCCTATAGGGATGCATGTAGAGTTTCTTTTTAAAAGATAGAAGGCTAAAAGATTTAAAACAACTTTCGGCTCTGTCACAACAACTGTGGTATCAGGCCCGTTTCTGACTTTTCTGAAAATGTAAAACATCCACTTTAGTTAGGTTTTATCAGTTTCTATGGCCAATATAAAATACAAATTGGTGCAGTTTGTATTTGTGACAAAATAAGGTTATGTTTACCTCTACGGTAAGCTCCCCAGAATATACTATAGACTTACCGGTTAACCTAAATAATCCATCTGAGAATTATTCCTTGATTTCTTATGGGCAATGGGCGACCACTATTTTGTATAAATCAAGGGTTCTGTAGTTAGTCCTACAACTTGGAAAAAAAATATTTATCGGCCAAGAGAAAAAACTGGAAATTATTTTCAAGTTGATAAGATGGCCGCTAGGGGGAGTGACCTCTACTGTAAAATAGACAAAACGGGTATTCTCAAAAATATTCCAAATTAACCTATATTAGTTTTAACGTAATCTACTCTAGATAAGGAAACTTTTTTGTTTGAACTATTTTCTTCGATCTCGTCAAATTAATGGTGGTGGAAAGGTCAAATATTGGTTTAGAAAAAGTTGCAGAGCTTAAGTTTAATTTTAAAGAGTATTTATAGGAGCTTCGGCTGGCATGTCAATATCACAATATTAATTCTTTTACGAGTCGTTACGAGGCGCTTCATGTCAAAAACAGCAATTTTTATGATTTTCTAGAAAATTTAAAAAAAAAACACAGCAAATATGGGAAACGCCGTGGCAATATATTTTTCCCTTTGATATATAAATAAAATGGTTTTTATTAAATATATTTTTGAACCGTAGCATAGTAATGGTACCAGAGACGACAGACATGACGTAGGATGGTTATATTTTGTAGAGTTAAATTCGATTTGGTTCTAATTTGTCTATAATAAGCGCCAATAATCAACAAGAGCTAAAAAATGAATGGTCAATATATTTATTTACAAAACTTCTGGATTCCTCCTGCGTCGGTTCTTGCTGACGTTTCGCCAATCATCCTGTTGGCTTCTTCAGAGCTGGGCGAAACGTCAGCAATTTCGACTCAACAAATACCGACGCAGGAGGAATCCAGAGGTTTTGTAAAAGGTATTACAGTAGCACGTGGAAGTTTCTTTGAAAAAATAATGGCCAATAAAATTTATTAATATATTACCTGTATTGCCAATATGTTTTATATATAAAATGAAATGAAAATGATATCGAATGTTCCCTATAAATTATCATTCCGTCATAATATGTCATCTCTTGGTTATCTCTAATACTGTTTCTAATATACCTACGTAAAAAAGTATTTTTAAGTTATTTATTTATATCTCAGAGGGGAATCCTAGCTAAAAATATTTGTACCATATTTGAAATTTTCGAGAAACTCATAAAAATTACTGTTATTGACATGAAGCGCCTCCTAGCAACTGGTAAAAGAATTAATATCGTGATATTGACAAGCCAGTCGAAGCAACTATAAATACTCTTTAATACTAAATTAAGTTCGTCGAAATCGGATTAGCCAAAGAAAAGTTATTCAACTTTTTCAAAACCAATATTTGAACCTTTGAAATTTACCTATCTAGAGTAGATTACGTCAATAGTATATCGTGCAACAAGTGATATGGATTTTACAGTAGAGGTTATGCCCCTCTAGCTGCCATCTTATGACCTTGAAAATAATTTTCTGCTTTTTCTCTTACCTATAAATATTGATTTTTCTAAGTTGTAGGACCAACGGTACAATGTTTAAGAAATAAATAATTTGAAATTATTTACCGCAATATCCAATATAACACTCTAAATTCAGTGTTGTTTCTTTATCGTCGCCGCTTTAACTATTTATTTATAATGTTTCATGAGCCTTCCAACATTAGTAGCACAGTTTGGTATATCTACACGTTTCTATTATGAAAACCATATAGGGCGTACCAATCAGGAATGAACATAGAAAAATTTGTTGAACGGCAAGTGGTGAGAGTGTTCGAGCAATTTTAGAAACAAATGTCGTGCTAAGAGTGAGGGGATGTCGATTGTTTTTTAATATTATCACAAAAAATAATTTTCAATCGCATTTCAATATCAGCAAAATTCAAAAATATGAGTTATCATTTTAATTGACATTTGAATCGATAAAAAATTGCAATACTTTCGAAGGGCTGTTGAAATTATCATTAAATTTTTATATACCGTTTTTAATTATTTCTTATTATTAAATTACGGTTTTTTGGACACTAGCTTTGTCGCTAATCAATTGTTGTTAAATTATTGACGTAGTTTAGTAGTACAAGATAGTTATGAAGGATTTTTTTGAGAAATTTGTGAAACCTTACTTACCCAATTTTTAAAACTTTTCTGAAAAGTTTGTTTGTATTGAAAATTATTGCGTATGACAAAAGACGAAAAGAAAAAAACAAAAATTACATTATATTTCGAGTTCTGTGCATTTTATCGTAGCAAAAATACCATAACCAGCCCGTCCCATGCGGGTCTGGTCAATATCTAAGGATTTACAGCTGAAAATAACGCCACACTGATTGCAACTAAGAGAGACGGTGGGATATTTAAAAAACAAACTTAAATGGCTTTACTGGAAATATTTATTTCGGTTGAATTCTAGCTCCCATGGCGACTATTCCCATAGGCTGTCCCACTCGAGGCAACTGCCCGTCCCCCACTTCGACTCCGGAAGAGCTGGAACGCCGGGCGATCATCCAGAGGAATGACCTTTTGCTCCACGAAGCGGTCATCAAAAACGACACCGAAGGTGTCAGGAGGATACTCAACGACCCCTGCGATGTCAATTCTCGAAACAACGTAAGTGCATGTTTTTGTCTAATATTCCAGGTTTCCCACAAAAGCGCATGTCCTCCACAATACAGAGAAATACGAAAAAACATAGAGAGGTGCTTCGTTTTTTTCATTTTCGTCAAATAAAACCGGAAATTTGAAATACATATTATTATTAAAATAATATCACGCTTCTTTTTTCACATTTCATCTTATCTAGGTGGGCGTTACACTTGAACGTCATATCGAAGTCCCGGGGTGCGAGGGGATTTTTTTTTTTTCGATTGTTACGGTGCTTCCCTTGGGCGGGTCGCCGGGATTAACTTCCACAGAAAGTTTCACTAAACTTCGGGCAAATTATGTCCCTTGAATGACTTTCTGCGTTAAATCATTATTCGAAAAACATTCTAACAAAATTGATGGTGGTTTCACATAGCCAGATATATATATGATGATGATGATGGTGATCATTCAGGCTGAAGCGGCAGGCAGTTTTAGTAAAAAACTAAGAAAGCCTATCGTAAAACTAAAAGCAGAAAAGTCTGCTGAACAGCTTGGCATTATCGATTTCAAGGCTTCGGAAGGATGGTTGGGGAAGTTCAAACAGACAGGGTATAAATTATGGACAGATAAGTGGCGAAGCCCGTCAAGTCGACAGAAACATCACTAACGATTGACTGGAGAAGACGTGGCCAAAACTTGCAGAAAAATACCCCGCTGACGACATTTTTAATGCTGACGAAACTGGTATTTTTTACAAAATAACGCCAGATAGAGCTCTTAAATTTCGAAGCGCAAAGTGTGTGGGTGAAAAACTTTCTAGAGAACGTATAACAGTGTTAGTAGCTGCCAATATGAGTGGGAGAGAAAAAACAAAGCTAGTCGTAATTGGAAAATCAACTAACCGACGATGTTTTAAGAACATCAAGCATTTGCCGGTCCCTTTCAAGGCAAACAAGTCTGCATGGATGGCATCGCAAATTTTTGAAGAGGAGATACGGAAATGGGATGCAGAACTAAAGGAGAGGAAAATATTACTTCTCTTCGATAACTGCCCTGCACACCCCCATATTCCAAATCTACGGAATATTGAATTGGCCTTTCTTGGAACTAAAACAACAAGTGTATTACAGCCGATGAACTAGAGCGTAATAAAAAGTCTTAAGAGTCGATACAGGAAAAACATTTTAATTTAAATGATCTAGTCCGAAGACAAATTTTCCATTAATATACTAGGTGCAGTCAACTTTATTAGTAAAGCTTGGAAAGAGGTGATAGCAGAAAAAATTCAACACACCTATCGTCAGGATTTATTACCGAGACAGAATGCGAACAGGACTTGGAAGATGATCAGCCACTAAGCGATTGGATAATGCAGTTTCAAACAACAATTACGTTTACAAGTGAGGAGTTGCAAGATTCTATGGTGATACAACAAGCAAGAAAGGGTGAGGAAGAGCACCAAAGGGAAGAAGGAGATGGGGAAGTTGATCTGGGACCACCACCAACCATTCAACAAGCCCTATATTCAGTTAAGCTGCTACAGAATTTTTTTATGTATCATGGGGAAGAAATGGTGAAAATACAAGCCAAAGTACAATATTATTACGATTATTTGAAACATTAAATGTAGTTTGTGACTATAAATTAAAACCCTCTGTTACCAGCCTGAGCATACATGTTAATCAAAAAGACCATGTTGTCCGTTATAACTAACTATTTGTTTTGGATATTAAACGAAATAGTCTTCAGAGGAAGTTGCTTTATTAACCAGTGTGACAATGCTATCAATCACAAAAAAGATGTAGAGAGTTTGAGTAATATCTATACACACTTGCTTTGTCAGAACCATACGAAAAAATTTAAATTTCTCGATCTCTACCGAAGGAAAGTGAATGTAATGGTATCGTGATCTCTGACATGTTTTATGGTCTGTCAATTTTACGGGTTTCTACTTTCTGTGTTGGAACACTTCTTTGGTCTGGTGTTTTTGGTTCTTTGGTTTTTTATTTTTTGTGTTGATGCCTTGATCATGTCAACTATTTACCTTGGCCCGATGTGATGATTTTGAATTGTTGCGGGATTCTTCTTTAATCCGCTTAGTTGAATAATATGTATTGCGTTCATTGTGGTTGTATTTTATTAATATCTAAATGAATAAGTTATCCATTGTTAGTGATGTATGTTGTTGTTTGGGTTATGTTTCTGCTTTTTATGCCGATGAAACACCTGTTTGTACCCCTCATTATTAGAGGTTGTAAGTTTTTTTTTAACTAACCACTGTTCTTTTGACACAATGCGAAGGAATGTTTTCTCTTTGTCAAATCCCGATGAAGCTTGTATACACAGGCGTTAGCTAGATTACTAATTGAAAAAGTCACTATACATTGAGCGTTGCCAACTTTTATTGCTCCTCTGTTAATAACAACAGGGGCGATCCCGAGTGATATTGCTGTAAAAAATGCTATTATTTAATAATTTCTATGTTCCTTATCATTTTAAATAATTGTTTTAATATCTAGGTTCTCCTTTTAGTTTATCTTTTTTTATAATATATAGATCATAAAGCTATGTGAAATGTTACAAATAAAATGTTAATATTAAACTACGTTGGCTTCATGCAAATTATAAGTATTAATAAATCCGTTTCCAAGGCCCAAATACTTTCATGAAAATGTTTAAAAAATCATTTATAAAAATAACCGCATACTGATTTTTTCTTTCAAAAAGACAAAACCATTTAGAAAAAAATTCACTTCGCCTCTGAATTCTACGTGAAAATCTATATCGGATTCGCTTTTCACTTCAAATTTCGAAAATCAGCAAGTCATAAAAATTTTGTTAACGTCATCTTCCGTATCATAAAAAAGTGCCAAAGGTTTGAGAAAACGCCAGGCTTTATCTTCATTAACAACGAACATATCCCTCAGTCGCGACGAAAATGGGACACACTGTACATAGATAGACAAACAATAATAACAAAATTGTTAAACACTAACTGACAACACTTAATGCTTAATGGAGTACTGTTTGAGTGATACAGGGTGTCTTCGGAAAATACACATCTAAGATAAATCGCTGAAACTTTCGTGTTATGGAAAATTTTGATTTGGATTTAGTATTTGCGCATTAATTTACACGTTTTAAGACAACAACAAAGACAGGGCACCGAATCAGAACGCTAAAATTCTCTGCCATTCTTTTGCAGTCAACTTCGAAAATAATTGATTGATAGCTAATCAGGTTGGGGACTGAAGAACCTTGTTTTCAAATACCAGTAAACATATTTGTTTTCTGTATTATGATCGCGCCTCCAAGGCGTACTTGTTCCATATAGGCACACTTTAGGTAGAGTTCTCCAAACTATATACCGTTTTTACGGCACAATCCGGTATTTAACTTTCTTTAATTTTTATGAAGGTCTCACCGCAGGCTTACCTCGCTTGGGTTTCTCTTTGCAGCCCTCAATAAATAAATTCGCAATTATACATGACGTTCCAGAACCGTACTTCGGTACTTCGTCCATGCAATTGCTGAAAGCTGACGGATTTGTGTAAAGTTTCATCAATGAGATCCCTAGTAGTCCATGCAGTGAAAAATCCATTCTTACTTTTAAATCCTACTCTTAAAATACAACAATCCGCACGGCACAGTTCTTGTCTTGTGGTACACGTGCTGAAAAGAATGGCCCTTTTCGCTTTTGCAACGGGCGGGTCTAAAATTTATTCCGAAGTCAAAACCATAAAAGGTTGTAAAAACGGTATATCGTTTGGAGAACTCTGACCCTGTATATCGAAGAGAACGCTATATATTTCGAAATGTAAATGTAATCTTAAGTCCTCAAACACATCCTGAACTACTTTATGTTGTTCCGGTAGAAGCGACTCACGCGCCAAACGGCGAGAAAAAAAGAGAAACGATAAAGATCCGGAATATCGTGTAAATTTGGCGTAATTAGAAAATATCTCGGGAGCGTCGTGTTGCCGTCCGACGCGCCGGAAAATCCGGCGCCATTTCTAATCTCGACAGCACAAAACCCCAGTAATGCTCTTGTTGGGAAGTTGCTGAACGATGCGTTATTAAAACTTGAATAAATCAACAACAGCGCTCACCTAACTGATGCGCAATTTTCGTTGAGATCGCAGTAAATTTAAAGAGCTGGTGCGATTTATTATTATTAAATAATGTCAGTTCCCGTTTGAATTGTATTGTATTGTATTTGTAATTGTATTTTGAAATATCTTTTTAAATTTAGGTACATCTTACTAAATAGAGTTCGGTATGGTTTTACTTTTGAGCGCCTAATCCTTTTTTATTTTTTGTAGTTTGAAGTTTTTTTTTTATTTACAAAATTGTGATTTGAAGTTTCATTTACAAGATCTTTTTTCTCGTCTGCTATGTTCAACGATTTTTTACAATTGTGGTGTTAACTGAGGAGCACAATATACATTTACAATTTTTGTCTAATTAAATTAATTAATCCTCAAAAATTTAAGTTAAATAAAAACCTACAAATATGCATTTCAAAAGTTAACTTTTACGCCCTGTATATCGAAAACAAAACATTTTCAAATGTAAAGCGGCAAAGCAAGAGACTATAAGGTCATTTGATAATTTTTTTCGTGAAAACTAATCTAAAAACTAGATTTTTTCATTTGAGAGAAGGAAACTTGTACTTCGTTTTTAAAAATTGACCAAATTCCTTAAATCAATTATTTTTTTGTCATATTTGTTATTTTATCTTTTTTCTTTTGTATAATAAAGCGCAAATTCAAATTGTAAGTTTTTATTTTCCCTTAATTATAATGTGTATTTTTTTTCATTGCGGATACTGTTATTTGTGCATCGTATTTCATTCATTTCATTTTTATTTCAATTATTCAATTTTCTGTTTTGTTTTATTATTTTCTTCCATTTTTTTTATAAGTAAATAAATATTTTCCCCTAACTATAATTTGTTTTCCTATTGTTATTGTTAATAACGTTTTTTTTAAATGAATTTTATTTTTTTTTTGTAGCATAATCAAAATTTGTATTTTTTTTTAAATTTTGAAATGAATACTGTTCTTATGTATTTTCCAACTTTCATTTCATTGTATCCATTTTCTGTTTTATTTGATTTCTTCCTATTTTTTTATTAATTTAATATTCCGCTAAGTGAAATTATAAGTTTTATTTTCCGATAATTATATCTTACTGAGTGTTTTGATTTTTGTTCGTGTTTGTTGCATTTTATATTGTCTTACACTTAACATATTCGGTTGGGGTTTCTGATGCTTTGAAATTTATACTTCCATACAAACAGATGGTCAATGTCACGGACTACGATAATGACTTCCAAATGGCCTCCAAATGTCGAATATAATGACCTCCGGGGTTCACCTCATTACTAATAATAATGCAATATATATCTATGGCAAACAACAGATATCGTTTAAGATACCGCTGTCGTTAAAGTTAAAGCATAAAATAAACGCTCCGAACATTTTTCAACTGTAAATATGACGAGCAAGCGCGGAAAATCGATTGTGTATTTTGCACAAAACCCGCCGAAATCCTACTTAATGAAACGCAAATATTATCACGGCAACGACCGCGTTCTCTAATCTCGCGTCAATGACTTAATCACGTTATTACCCCTTAAATCCCATTGTTTTGATTCTTTTAAATCTCTCGGGATAAAGCGGGGCTTGGCTCTGCACACTAGCCACGCCCCGCGACGATCGCGCCCTCTCACGTCGATTCGTTGCAGTACGGACGAGCGCCTATTCACTGGGCTTCGGCTCGGGGCAACCTGGATATCATGGAGATGCTGGTCGGCGCCCATTGCGACATCGAAGCTAGAGACAAGGTAAACCTTTGTGGGCGTGATCCGATATGTAGTGTAACCGTTTTATGTTCGTGCCCCACGCCAGTACGGAATGCGTCCGATCCATATGGCAACGTGGCATGGTCATCCCGCAGCCGTCCAAACGCTAATAAACCTGGGGGCTTGCACTAACGCTACGACAAAGGTATTAATTGGAATCGGTCGGGGGTTTGATGACGTCCGTCAAAGGCTTTGTCATTCAAATTTGGAAGGGTCGGGCAGGCTAGACTCGGCGTCCTGTGGGACGCGGGATATAATTTTTCAGAAAATCAGTATCAAAAAACATGTCTCTAGGCTTCAATAAATTGATAATATACTAATATACAGGAAATCCGGAAACTTGCAGGAAAGTGGAAAATAATCTCAGTGAGTCATATAACAAAAATATTTTCCGAGTTATTACTTGTAGGAATTCATTTTTTTTTAAATTTTGTTTTTAACGCGGTGTGCTTAAAGTCATCGTTACCAAATAAGAGTGTTTCAGAAATCTGTCACTAGGGGACACTTTACTTAGAACATTTTTTTAAATTTTCCCTGCATTCTGAAAAATTGTTGCTCTAGTTTTTTTTTTTATTCTCGGCCTCTAATTTACTAATATACTGGATATCGCGATACGCATTCCTGTTACGGAAAAGCAAATGGAAATGCAGGCTTTTACTAAATTTTTCAGAACAGTGTGCTACAAATTAAAAAAGTGAAAAAACGGCATAGGTCAATGCAATAACATGTTCAATTTAAGTAACATAAATACTGTTTAATTCATATTAATCGGGAAATAAATAGTATACAACGCTAACTACAATTCATTTTCAAAATGCTCACCGTTGTCATACATTTTAAAAAATGCTATCGACCAAAATCCGCCTAACTTATTTCAACCGTTTTTTTTTGTCGTAGATCATTGGTACCTGTTATAGGTCTTTCATACACTAAAGACTTTAAGTGCCCCCAAAAAAAGAAGTCAATCGGATTAAGGTCTGGCGGGCGACGCGGCCAAGCTGATTTAAATACCTTCTTACAGCCAATTTAAAATGGTTTGGAGCGCCATCTTGCATTAACCACATGTTTTGTGCCGCAAAGGTGGTAGTTCCTCTTGGAGAAATTGCAAATACATTCCTCCATTAAGCGATCCGTTAAAGAAATGAGGTTCTATATATAGGTTTAAAGGAAACTGATGTTTTCCCAATGTTCCACTGATGCATATATTTCGAAAATTTACAATCATGACTGAATGCAGTGAACAAAATGACAAAATGGCAAAATGACAAAAACCCTTTGAACATGAAAGGGCCGAAGATCATTTTCATCCAAAACTTCCCAAACTGTAGGGAAGCAATTCTTTCCCAAGCAGCAAGTTTTCTCGTACTAGTTGACGGGTCATTTTGGGAATTCTTTCTTCTCTTGCAGCGATTTTTTTATACCTAGGTCTCCCTTTATTCATGTTATTAGGTTTGAATGATCATTTTTCACCCAGTCTTCTGAGTATATTGATAATGTCTGAGTAGATGGAACGTTTCTATTGGAATAAGCATCGATATAAAGCCACAGTGCTTGATCCGCATTTCCATTTGCTCTTCCGTAGCCAAAATGCATATAGCGATATTCAGTATTTGAATATTCCGGATTTTTAACGGATTGTGACAATGACTTTTTTAAATTTCATTAAGTCCTGTTAGGATGACAGTTAAAATTCGAACCGAAAATAAAAAAAGTCGATTTGTTGCTAGACGATAACACTTATCGACTAGAAACAAAAGTAACAATTTTTGAGTATTTGTGATTCTGCTTAAGACAATCTATTCTATTTTGCAATGTCAATCTAAATATATAACATATTAGGTACAGTGCCCTCTAGTGACAGATCTCTGAAACACTTTTATTTTGTAAAGATGACTTTTACTACATCAGGGCTGTGTGTAAAATATTAGCTTTATCAGATCAGCTTTATTACATTTACTACGATTATTTTACCACGTTCAATATTTCATCCAAACTTCCGAACTCAATGTCCGAACACCCTGTATATGTCTGATCAAACCACCCACAATGGGCGTGGTTAGAACTAACCAAAACCATAACCGAGTCTGGGAACTACTCCCCTGCGGCTTATCTATTAACCCCATATTTGTTCTAATATTAAAAGCCAAGGCGGACGATCAAACTCCCCTCTTTTAAGCTAACCGCCCGCCGCATAACACGATTAACCGCAGACCCAGTACACGCTGCTCATCTGCGCCGCCAGAAATAACCGCTGCGACGTGGTGGACTACCTCTTAGAAACGCTAGAGGACGTCCACCTAGACGCCGTCGACGCTGAAGGTCAAACGGCCATCTTCCACGCCGCTTCCAACGGGCACGGTGCGATAGTCAGACGTCTGGTGGAGGTGGGCGCCGCCACAGACAAAAAAAATAAGGTGCGCGCTAAATCCGGCTCGCAGGACCAAGCGGGGATAGGGAATCGAATTTAATATGGCGTTTTCGTTGAAGGATTCGAGGACCGCACTGCACGAAGCGTGTCAGAACGGGCACTGGGAAGTGGCCCAATATTTGTTAGCGCACGAAGCCGACATGGAAGCGCGAGACAACCAGGAAAACACGCCACTTCACGTGGCCGCCCAGCACCAACAGACGCGATTGGTGCAGGTGTTGTTGGACGCCGGGGCCGATCCAGATATTGAAAATCAGGTAATTAAAATAATAAGCGCAATCAACGTGCAAAATGTTCATTCGCATCCGCCGCCCAGTGGCGCAGCCAACGCTAAATGTCAGTAATTAAACTGAGGTGACGGTGAGCGAAGACAATACGTATAGCTATTAGATAATATAGTGGCCCTACTAAAAATTGATGCTTAGCAGACGGCATTGATATTCGCGTAGGGAAGGTAAATTATTTTCTGCCTTATTGCCGATCTGCCAGCGGCCTTGTTGCCGCAAGGTCATTGGTTAAAAATCAAATTTTAAACCTTGCCATTGCGCACGTTGAATGGACCTTCTCAGAATTTTTTTCATAGTTACTTCGTAAGTTTCTGGATTATTTGAATAGCCAGGGCCTCAATATCTCTAGTAGCTGTATGATGTAACGATATAAAAATGTTCGTAATTACATTATAAACAGTTAAATCAAACGAGCGTAACACATATGAAGATAATTGAAACCGATGAACCTGAGTGCTCATTGAACATCTGCAATAGATAATGCTGATGCCACGTAATATTTTTTAAAATTGCTTCAAAGTGCAAAATATTACTGAGTTTAAAATCGCGGAGGATATATTGGGCGGGTTAATCGATAGAAATTTGGGCATGTTCTATAAATCAGTTGCAAAATATATAATTAGAGTCTTTTGTAAATATTCAGATTAAAAATACTTTATTTAATGGTTTGGGGCCGTTATGGTAGATAACACGAAATTTCTGTATTGTTAAAAAAAATCGAGTTGCAAATAAAATTCACGCCTTGTACATCTTCGAATGTTTTCACGTATAAATTTGAGCCTTTTTCAACATCTGTATGCGATTATGTAATGAGTTAATATAATTTATAAACAATTCAATTTTCTTTGCGTTCCACCAATGGAAGCAAAGACATCATCCACGTATCTGTACCACCATAGAAAACTATTACTTAAAGGATAATCTAGTATAATATTCTCCAAATCGTCCATAAAAATCTCGGATAACAAAGGACTATGTGGGTTCCCATATTCAAACCTTCCTTAGAGATGTAAATCTGTCCATTAAATTCAAAATAATTTTGTTCTATAGTTCTAATAAATCTTGTTTCACCAATTAACCATCACCATTAACCTGTTTCCGAGTGGAGGCGACATCTACTCAATCTGTCACATCCATAGGTGGAATACTGGGAAATTAATTTTGTACATCAAAAGGGATTTTGATGTCTTTAATTTTGTTTTGAAATGTTTTGGTTTAAAATCTGTGTGGAACTTTAAAATATTTACTAACTTTGTTGAGAGTTTAACTGCTGGAGCTGTTACATAAACAAGAGACCAGAGAGACCATTAGACCAGTCGTGTCTAATGGGAAAATCTAAACTTTTAGTTCTTATTTATTTTGCTAAATGTCAGTGTTTATCTGACATAATACAGAAAATTACCGATACCCCTGTTTTTGCTTGCAGAAGGGCTCGACGGCCCTGCACATAGCCGCTAGCCTCGGCTGCAGAGGCATCGTGCAATTGCTCCTCCAGCACGGAGCTTCTTTAACCAAACAGAACCAGGTGAGACGCAAGCATATTTTCTAGCCGACTCGAGAAATGTAAACAATCGTTCGCTAGTAACCATTAAATCGCTATAATTTTAGATAAACCACGTTACGGTACAGAGAGCGCATTTTTTTGATACCCAAAATGTTTATTTTACTGAGAAGTATTAAAAATTTTTATCTCCAACAGCTGAAATTTTGATCGTAAATATATTTTGGAGTGCTCAAAGTTGCGATTAATCGAGGAAAGGCATATTAATAATCCTTTTTAAGATTGTCAATCTTTCAGTACCAATTGAAACTGTTATCAAACAGAAATGTAAAGATTGCAGATAAGGGTCGGCAATTTGCACGCCATGGGCGTGCGCTTCCATCTTTTCAATCAATTGATTTTCCTTCACTTTTTGATACTCGTCATTAGAACATTTATTTGGCAGTTCATTTACTACTATTTTCTGGATTCTTTCTGAGTCGGTTGACCTTTCGCCAATCATCCTGTTGATTTCATCAGAGCAATTGTCTGGTTTTAACGTTATATTTCTTTAGAACTTTTATGTGGTCAGTGATGTTTTGAATGTAAAGAAGGACACCAGTGGCAAGCGTGGGATTGATTTCGGCCTCATTGCTATTGGAAGGTTGTCGTGAAGTGTACTTTGTGATTGGACGTTTAATATCTATAATGTGGAAATTATTAGAGTTTTAATTCTCAGTTCACTAAAACAAATATGTTACAGACAAGCTTTTTTCAGTTAAGATAAGAAGGTTTGGTTCCAGATTCTCGGATTTTAATATATTTTAAAATGATGAGAGTTTCAGGAATAGGGATCTTAGTTAAAGAAGGATTCTACGTCGAAACTAACCCCCACAATATTCTGTGCCTCTAATGTAATGGTTTTTAATTGTTCAATGAAATTAAAGGAATTAAATTTGCTCTCTAAAGGTTTTTAATGTAGAAGCTAGATATTTTGCTAGAGAATATGCTGGAGAATAAGTGGTGCTTAGAATAGGTCGAAGTTTGTGAATAGCGACTCCGTAGAAACGAGGAATTTTAGAGTCATAAGGGTTTACAGATTTTTCACGGGTTCTGATAGAGAAGAAGCATAAATAACAGATTTAAGGTTGCGTTTCATAAATGCGTAGGATATTTTTTAAGTTGACGATACGATCCGTCTGTAAGAATATCTTGAACATTTTCCTGATATTCACTTCTAAACCCGAGAATCTGAAGAAATCTTTAAGCAACCAAACAATCTTAACCGCGACTTAGGTCTTTACCTTTCACCAATACGGGAATCAGCCATGCAAGACAATGTCCACGCCCCTCCTTTAGCTCCGCCCCCTAACAGGATGATTGGCGAAACGTCAGCAACCTCGATTCATCAACAACCTACGCAGGAAAAATCTAGAATATTTATAGTGTTCAAGTTTCTTTGAAATTTTTTTATAAATTTCATCACATTGATTGTATCTTAAAATAATTAGATTTCGACTGAAATCAGTAAGAAATTGTGTAAGAGAAACAAAACATCAAAACAAAAACAACAAAAATAATCAGAAAATAACAGAGGAGAAAAATATAGAACAATATACATATTGCTCCATTAATATCAGTCCACTAATATTCCATCAACACAGATTATTCAGAAACAACCGTTGTCGGTTGTGTTTTTTCTTTTCAGAATTTCAAACGACCTCAGACGTCATTTATGTTTTAGTGTGGAAACACCCCTCTCCACATGGCGTGCCAAGCCAACGAGGTGGAAACCGTCGAGATCCTGATAAACAAAGGCTCGGACCCCAACTGCCTAAACAAGGTGTGCTTCCTCAAATTATTTTGCCTTCTACCAATCAATTTTCTCGGTTTTCGCACCCTTGTAGAGGCTGCAGTCGCCTATCCACATCGCTGCAGAAATGGGCTACACCGACATCTGCAAGCTGCTGCTCAGCGCTGGTGCTGACATAGAGCAACGAGAGCAAGGAGGTCGCACTCCTCTCTATATAGCGGCCAGAGGTAGCTTCACCGCCATCGTGGACATGATCATCAAAACTGCCCGGCTGGACTACCCCAGCAAGGAAGTCCAAGCGGATACCAAGAAGGAAGTCGGACTGAAACCCAAACTGAGCAGAAAGTGGAGGTCCACTTCCAAGGACGAAAAGTGTCTAAGGGAGAACGAGAGACTGAAGGAGATACTCTACAAACTGGCCTACAAGCACCTGAGTCACGGCGAATGGAAGAGACTAGCAACGTACTGGGCTTTTACGGAAGATCAGATCAAAGCTATCGAGCATCAGTACAATGGTGAGCGAGGCTTAAAGCTTCACTGTTAACGTCAATATTCGCCTTATTCGTAGGTCCCCAAAGTTACAAGGAGCACGGCTTCAGGATGCTGCTAATCTGGGCTCACGGTCTAGCTCCGGACGTTAATCCATTCAAGGAGCTATACGAGAGTCTGGTAGCTATCGGAAAAAGACCTTTAGCCGGTAAGGTACCTCTTGCTGCCACGTGGATGGTAACTTTTAGCTTTTTTAGACACCCTGAGGAGGAAAATCGACCAGGAGAACGAAACGAGGAGGAAAGGGCGCAAGGATAAGTGCAACAGGTGCACCATCAGTTAGAGGTGCTTTTTTGTAATTTAGAGTTTTGCAACGAATTCCGGCTTATCGGCGTTTACCCTCCCTTTTGTTGTTTAGACGTGTAATATCGATACATATCCCTGGTAGACCAAACTACTAACGTCTTCGTATCCTTGCCGAAAACTTCAAGGTCCAATTATTGTAATTCGATGGAATTGCGAAATGTTTGTATTAATATGTTAGTATTCGTTTATTTTCTATACCGCTAGCGCTGTTGCAAATTGGAGCCAATTACGTTTTTAGTGTGTACGGTTCCCTTTTAGGGGTACGGAGTTGAATACATCATACGATATATTTTCTATTCTATTTTCCTAATCGATGTACGCAGAAATAAATAACCTTAAGCATAAAACGTATTTTATTTTGCAATTAAACTTGTGTGGTTGCTTGTTTGAGTACACAAAATCACAGCAGGTGGGGGATGATCTTGTAATCCCTTTATAAATACAACTTTTCTGATGGCAAATAGATTTAAGAGTATATATTTTTTTAATAAAATAATTTAAAGTACTTTGTGTGATTAATAAGTTATAACTTATAAGTCAGTCAGTAAATAAAGTAAGAAACAATCTCGTTCTTGCCCACACGTGTGTGGTTGCTTTTTTCTAAATTTTGATCTTACAACTCCATTTTGAAGAATGGGCCACCATAGGAATTAATGGTTTGGGTGTAAGTTCCGCGTAGCATTAATTGATATTGAACGTTTAGCTGATAACGATTTTTCACCATCAACCGTTCAAGTACAAATAATCTAGGTAAAGTTTCTCGTGATAAAGTACAAGTTCTTTGTAATTCATCATACAAACAATAATTACCTGACTAACGTAGTTGATTTTCATATACTTCAAATTTTGCTTGAGTTTCATTGATCACTTACGATCGTAACCAATATCGATAAGCTGTAGTGGAAAATGATTTAATTCAGAAATCAATTATCCCATATGAGATTAATTAATTAGGCAATATGTGGTAGGAAATCAATTGATTGAATAGTAATAATTACACTAGCTAAATTTAATTTAATTTAGTATATAAACTACTAACTTGAAGGAGAGTTCTATGTTAATTGATTGTATATGATCAATCCCACAATCAAGAGTTAAGTTGATAAGTTTAATCATTCAAGTAACAATTAGCTGACCATTTGAGTTGAATTTACTATGTATAGTGCAAGTTCTGTGAAAGGTTGATTGATCATAACTAAGTTCAATTACTATTGTAGATGGAACATGATTTAATCAAGCAAGAATTTAGCAGTAAGGTATTACTGTGGTTGAAAATCAATAATTCACGCTAAACGCTAGTAAACTACTTATCTAATCATGAGAGTTGATTTTACTACATTGCAAGTTTTGAGGTTATTGATTAGCTGTGATCGTTCCCAATATAGAGGGCTCAGTTGATATGTTGTTGCGAATATAAAATGATATAATCGCAAAATCATTTATTCATGTAAAGATAAAAATGGATTAGTTCTTCCGCAAGGAACTTATTAGTTGACCAATCAATTAAAAAAAATCAACTTAATACGTGTCGAATGGTGCTCGAATTGCGTTGATCAGCAAATTAATTGATATCGGTGCGATTACGCGGTACGTGGTACGGGAAGAAGGGTTTTTTTCTCATCGATATTCAGGCGGACCGCCTCTGTCAGATAAAGCCCGATAATCCCATTCTAATCCCTTTAGTTCCATTAGTGTTCGTATCTTGATGGCTGACGCGGCTTCGCAGGACAATAAATACCAATCTGTGGGAGGTCCGGAACCGGAGTAATCCGATGTCGTGAATACAAATTTAATTGCTTTCTTCGACTGTTTGATCGGGCGTTTTCGCACGAAGCGAATCTAGAAGAAGGTCGTCGCTGTCATCAAATTATCCTCACCTCATTCGATAAAACCGAACAACACACCGACTAAGTTATATTCGACGTCGGCTTGCGTATGAATCAATTTTACAATGATTGTTCCATGCGGGCGAATCCTTTAGCCCCCCTCCCCACCGCCATCGCCACAGCCAACTTCGAAGCGCCGATTTTCAGTTTCAGACCGGCGGCTGAAAAGTCACTCTCACCTAATTGACGCAACCGTTTGAGGCAAGAAACGATGATGAGCGCGAAAATCGTCGAAACGTTGTGCCTGTTGTTCCTAGCGGTGGGGCGGGGGTGCGATGCGGGGGAACTCGTCGTGAGGGTGGAGGGAGGGCCCCTCGTAGCGGAGCTGATAGCCGCGGAAACGGGACACGCGTTCAGGGGACCGGTGAGTTTGAGTTAATTAATTAATAATTTCGATTAATTAATTGATTTTTTTTTTCTAATAAAATGAAATACAAATAAGTAAATTAAACGTAGCTTTTTATTTTGAAAAGAAACCACTTCGAAGTTTCTTGTAACAAAGGGAGACATTTTTATTCTATCGTGCTCCAGCGGACCACTATGGAACTTTCGCAAAATCGATGTAACTTTTTTGTGCATGCACCCTGTATAAAGTTTTGCACAAATATTAGCGATTTCAAATGATATTTTTTCAAATATCTCGCGCACCCTGTATAATAGTCGAAACCTGAAACTCCCTCTCGACATAATTTTCGAGACTATTTCATAGTTTGTTATTAACGGCAAATAATTAAGCCAATTTTCAGGATCTTTTTGTTTTTTACCCATAATCGACACACCCTGTACATAATCCAAAAAATTCCCAAAGTAAAAGTTATAGCCCTAGATGTCCCACGTTTCTCTGTATATGATTTTTTTTAATAGGATAAACAGTTTTCGAAAAAAGACTTGTTTTCTGAAACCATGCAGTACGCCGTAATATTCAATGACATCGCGAAAACCGTAAATACAAAAATTGTAGCTCTCGATGTGCCCTCTAACAGTGTTTAAACCAATTGTCCATATTTTTCACGAATTTTGATTTACGGTTAATAATTTATTACAGAAAAAAACAATTTTCATGGACTTTTAGATTTTTGTTCGCAATTGACAAACCCTGTACATAGTCGAAAAAATACCTGAAATAAGAGTTGCAGTCTTTGACATTCCGCGTTTTACGGTTTTGCAGATCGGTTTAATAGTTTTCCAGATATGAATTTTTTTAAACAGCCCAAAAAAAATTGTAAAAAATATTTGGCGATGCCCAATTGCACCTAGCTTTTATAATTTGCATGCAAGGGTGTACTTCTACCAACGTGCGCAATGTGAAGTCAATTGCTGCAAGTTCCGGGCACTTGCTGCGTTTTTCAGCATAACACGTTATATCTCGAACACCCTGTACAAAATTTTCAGATTTTCGGTAATACCAGCGCACCCTGTATATTTTCAGAAAATTGTCAAGAATATGGGCGTCAATATTCCGCGTCTTCTCGTTCAAGAATTTTTTGGATCCGATGAACGATTTTCGAGAAATAGTCACTTTTTGGTTTTTGAAAAAAAATTAGTTTTGGAATTTTAAAAAATACTTCCTATTAACCGATCAATTTCAATATGTTTCGTCACGGGCTCAGGCTCTATACTATCGCAAAATTTCAAATCGATAGATTCAAATTTCGAACACAAAAAAGAGTCAAAAATCGAAAAAAAAATGGACGCCAAGGTCCGATCGCGGTCATTTTTACATATATTGTACGAATCGTGCACGGTAAAAAAAGAGTCAAATTTCAACCCCTTACCGTAATCCATTTGAAAGTTATGGCCATAAGTGGGCTCGGTCTACAGAGAACGGACAGACAAAAAAATTTTTTTTTCTGCCCGAATTCGTTATGTACCAATGGCGGTCCCCTAGGACTAACCGTTGCCCAGATCTGGAGTTTAGTGAGGAGCGTATGCTTTGGAAAATAATCGATTTTTACAAAGTAACAAGGCAGGATAAGTTAGTAGCGCGTAGCGCCAAGCAGCTTTTTATTTTCAAAAAGAAGCCGTATTGCGGTTTCTTGTCGGAAAGAGACGCATTGTTTTTCTATCGTACTCCTGCGGACCACTATGGAACTTTCGCAAAATCGATGTAATTTTATTGTGCCTGCATCCTGTATAATGTGTCTTTCACATCTCGTCGAACTTGAAAGTTACGGCAAACTTTGGAATAACAAAAATTTGTATAAATAATAGCGATTTCCATAGACTTTTTTTTAAAATATTTCGCGCACCCTGTATGACAGACGAAGCCTGAAACTCTCTTTCCATCCAAGTTGTGATACTGTTTAAACCAAATAATTCCATGTTTTATTATTTTTTTAACCATGTTCGATAGACGAAAACAGTAAATACAAAAATTATAGCTCCTGATGCGGCCTTCATTGCTGTATAAACCAAATACAAATATTTTTCACGAATTTTGATTTACGGCTAATAATATAATGACGAAAGGAACAATTTTCACAGTCTTTTAGATTTTGATCGATAATTGAAAACCCCTGAATATAATAAACAAGTGCCAAAATTAAAAGTTATCGTGCTGGATCTTGCGCACTTTTTGGTTCGATAATGTTTCAGATTTAGAGAAAATAATTTTCTTTTGAAAGCCAAAATCTCTCCAAAATGTTTTCAAATCTCTTTAAAAAATACTTGTCGATATTGAATGGGGCCCAGTTTCATCATCTTAAATGTAAGTGTGGACTTCTATCTCTTTGCCAAATTTGAAGTCGGTAATTACAAATTTAGGGCACCTATTACGTTTTCTAATATTGCACGGAATATCGCGAACACCCTGTACAGTAGGTGAAAACTTTAAATACAAAAGTTTTTGTTGTGTAAAAAAAGCTGATATCTGAAACACAGTCCTTTAGTTATCGCCAATTTTCAATAATGGGGGTCCCATTTTTCAGAATTTAATTTAATTCCGAAAAGGACAATTTTCAGTTTCTTTTAGCTTTTTGTCTAGAATTGAACAACCGTGAATATAATAGAAAAATAGTTTTGGAGAAAGCAATTTTTTTCTGGAAGCCAGAAAAAAATTCAAAATGTTTAAAAAAAATACTTCGCGAGATTTAAATGAACCCTGTTTCAACAGTATATCTTGAACACCCTGTATAACAGGTGAATATCTTAAATACCAATGATTTAGCTGTTTATGCGGGCTATATCGTCATGTAGAAGAAACTGACAACTTAAGCACAGTCTTTAAAAATTATTAAAAATTATCAAGAATACGACTTTATAGAGCGGTATCTTCTTTTCGTTGAAGAATTTTGTCGATCTTGTAAACGGTTTCCTAGAAGTGTTTTTTTGTCTTGGACCTCCGCAAACGCGATTTTTAATTTTTTTAAAAATACATCCCGACCTCCCAGCCCCTCCAATTTGAATAGGTTTCGTAAGGGAGGTAAGCTCTATACGTATGCAAAATATCAATTCGATAGATTCAAATTTCGAAAACCTATCGTGTTCCATAGCGATGTCCAAGAAGCTGTCAAAAATCGCAAAAAGATGGCCGCCGAGGTTCGATCGCGGAAATTCTTAGATATCTCGTGTACCCCACAGGCTGCTAAAAAGGAGCGAAATTTTAAATGCCTAGTCAATAAAATTTATTAGCTTATTTTTTTATACAGGGTGTTTTTCAAAAGAGTCTGATATTTCACAGTGATTTAAAAAAAATCGTATAAACATCGGTCCGCTTTTCATGTATAGGGTGTTCGCCATTCAAAGAAATTATGGTCGGGGTCCTTTTCAATAATTGATTTTACTAAGAAATAGTCAAAAACTAATTTTAGGTAGAAAACAACATACCATTATTTCCACAGATGCCTTTGGTAATAATTTAAGAGATGTATAATGAATTTGACTACATAAATTATAGTAATATTTGGAAGGAAAGAAGGAAAGACGGTCAAAAATTTAAAAACAAAAAAATTTTAGATGCAAAACAACATTAACAAAAATTTAGCCGGTTCATGGCAGACTAAAATAAGGCATCTTCCACCCAACCATTTTTGGACCCAGCATGGAGAATTATTATGCGTTTTCACACGATCCTTTTTATACTGTGTAGTGAATGTCGAACAACATTCCGTCTAAATAGACCATTGGAGTATTTTGCTCTCGAAATTGTTTAATTGTATTTAAATAATCCGCCCTGCATTTCGAAATTCTTTGATATTCCATTGGCACTTCAGTTTACTAATTGCTTGGAACTGAAAATCCGTTTTCTTCAAAAAAGTACGCAACGACTCTTTGGCACAACTAATTTTTAAGGCTGTCAGTATTTGTCTTACAGAGTATTGTTTACAAATCGAAGAAGTATGTAGACGACACAAAAATGCTAGAAGAAGAATGTTGTTACTCGACAGGCACATAAGACAAAAATGATTATTTTCAAACTTAACTGTAAGATAAATAGAGACAGGTATTTATCTTTTCCCTGAAAACAGCATCGCAGGGTCAAAGTTCGAGAATCAAGAATGATATTAAAATAAACGCTTCTATTTATAGAAAATTATTTCTAGAAATATTCATTCATTCGTTGATTCAGAATAAACATTTCTGGGATGGTTTTACCACGGCACTGCGAACGTCTGAGGTTAAGGGTACTGTAAAATACTTTAAACGTCAAAGCAACAAATGCACTATATTTTTGATCGTATTATACCTCCACCGAGCTATTCATGCTGCCAATAAAGTTGGAATAACGATGATGATCTCCAACATCCGAAACGGATAAGGAATGAGAAGAAGAAAAAAGACAATATCCTAGAAATTTACCTTCCTGTCCATTTTTCTTTAAAAGGCTGATTCCAGTGTTCCCAATAGATAAATAAACAAATTTCCTAGCTTTAAAACGTTTACCAAAAATACTTCAAAATTATTAGGGTTTAGGAGTTAAAATGAAACATTAATGAAGTTAGCCAAACATGTAAATAATAATAATGTTAACGGTAACGCTTATTTGAAACTAAACGTATAAAAACCACATTCAAATGAAACGAGGCATCAGTTAACTTAAACCGAAAATTAATTTAAGCCTTAAGCACGAGTTAACTAAACGGATAAAATTATATTCCAAACATTTCTCGCAAGTCGAAACGCGTAATTTATAAACTACATTATAGAAAATGCAAAGTGTAAATAAATAAATTTAAAAATTTCAAGAGAAGAATTTTGTATTTATAATTTGTTGCGACTGCGACGTTATAAACGAACATCCGCAAAATAATTAAATTATGTAATAATTAATAAAAAATATTAAATTATTGCACAATTTTTAATTAAATTGAAAATGAAACAAAACGTTTTATATCTATACAGAGTGTGCGCATCAATTTGCAAACAGTTGTTTCTTAAAGCGCTATCGTTTATTCTAGTACTGCATTTATTACACTGTATACTAGAACTGCGGTGGCTTTTACTTGATGAAAATCCATTTAACAAAATGAATAAGAACTAAAAGTTCAGATTTTCACGAAATTATATATTATGACATGACAATTGTTTCGACAACACCGTGTCTTTATCAAATCAATATCAAAAATTTAAATCTAATTGATCCCTAAGCAGTACATTTCAAAAATTTAATTTTCTACTTTTTGTGCCTCTATGTAAAATATCAAAATTATCGTCAAAAATATATTTTTCTGTGTTTAGGTGTGTAGCATAATTAGAATCTAGACTATTGCTTTTAAACCCTCTTTTATGTTCGTTAATGCGTTTCTTGAAGGATCTACCTGTTTGTCCAATATAAATTTTAGGACAAGATCCGCATTTCAACCTGTAGACGCCTGATTTTGGACATTTCGTTTTATTGTTATTTAAACATTTTCCTACTGTGTTGTTAGTCCTGAAAGCTATTTTTAAACCACATTTTGACAAATGTTTTGAAACTTTTTTACTGGGTACTCCTATATAAATAATAGAGTTTACTCTTGTCTGGATTTGTTTTTTATTTATAATTTTACCTATAATGGACGGATTGTAGCCGCTGTTCAGTGTAATTTCTTTAATGATATGAAGTTATTTGTTGTAATTTTCTGTTGAGAGTGTCGCAACAGCTCCAGCAGTTAAACTATCAACAAAATTAATTAAAATGTTTTAAAGTTCCACACATATTTTAAACCAAAATTTGCAATAAAAAATTCTTTTAAATTAATCAACAAAATTAAAGATATCAAAATCCTTTCTAACGCAACACTATTGCCTTTTGATGTACAAAACTTATTTCCGAGTATTCCACCTACCGATGTGATAGATTTTGCAGATTTCACCCTCACTCGGAAACAGGTTAACCCATTACATTAACTCATTACGCAACCGTATAAAATTCACTATCGAGATTGAACAGGATAACTAATTTTTTAGACTTAACTATTACGAAAACGCAAAACAAATATAGATTTTTTCCATTTACCATAAATCTTCGCACACAGACACAGTTATATATAACAGCTCAAATCACCCTTATACACACAAAATGCCTACATCTCACTTTTTTATACACAGACTTCTTAATACGCCACCCTCAACAGAAAATTACAACAAAGAACTTAATATCATTAAACAAATTGCACTGAACAACAAAATTATAAATAAAAAACAAATCCAGACAACAGTATAAAATTTATATTGGACAAACAGGTAGATCCTTCAAGAAACGCATAAAACATAAAAGAGCGTTTAAAAACAATAGCCTAGATTTTAATTATGTTACACACATAAACACAGAAAAACACATTTCTGACGACAATTGCGATATTTTATACCACCACAAAAAGTAGAAAATTAAATTTATTGGAAGCCATGGAGATTAACAAAATGAGATAGATAGATATTTATTTCGCTTTTCGATACTACATGTAACACATATATGGGTATATTAAGCACGTTATATCACATTAAAATACAGTATTTAAACAATACATTTAAAAAAAATCATCAACTAAGTAGAGACACCTATCAGTTAAAAAGGTCTTAATTCTTTTCTTAAACACAGATAAACTATCAGTTCGAAGCATTTATTGAAATTTAAAACTCTGTTATATACTTTCAAGCCAAAATACCTTGGGTTTTGTTGCCCGATATGCAGTCTAGTCCAGTGGCTAGACCCCAATAGATTATACCGTAACCTATCACTGATTGGAACAGCCCGTAGTACACCAGCCTTAAAACGTCAATGGATACCGTATCTCGAATATTTTGGATTAAGTATGAGCAGGAGCTTAATGTTGTCGATGTGATGATACCATGTAAGTTTGTTGTCAATGTGCAGACCGAGAAACTTAGTAGCCTCCACGTTTTCTATAGAACGTCCCTCTAATTGGAGAAGAATACTGGAATCAACGCGAGTATTTTTTGTGACTATTTCCATAGCTATTGACTTAGATTTATTTAATTGTAGTCCGTTATCGCGACACCATTCAATCACCCTCGTGACCTTTGGTTCTGCGGCCCCTTTTAAATTAGCTCTGTTTTTATCTGTAACTAAAATGCTTGTGTCATCTGCATACAGTACAAATAATGCATCTGTATTATCCTGAGGAAGGTCGTTAATAAAACAATTAAAGAGGAGCGGTGATAGGCAGGATCCTTTCAGGAGACATTCAAATGTATTGCTTAACGATCAATTACAACATTAATTAAGGTTTTATTGTCATTTTTCGGTATATATAGTAGCAGGTAGTTTGTAAATAAATATTACATTCGATAAAGACACGATGTTGTCGAAACAATTGTCATGTGAATATATATAATTTCGTGAAAATCTGAACTTTTAGTTTTTATTTACCCTGTATACCATGTTTTTATTTTACGTGAAAGACTAGCATTTTCGAACACCGTACACCTACGGGATATTTGCTGCCGTCAAGCCCCCGTGGAAGACTCTTTCTGGGCGCTTCATTAATTCGACAAGCATCGGTAAAATCAATTTATTGTTTGCCATATGGGACACTCGCCGGCTTATCTTATCGGCGGTAGTATAATAAAAATAATTTATCATTCATAAACGCGTGGATTGTGACGGAACGGTATCTATGCGGAGGAATCCTGTCCCCCTATTTTTTCCAACCCCAATTTGAACGTGCGGATTTTAAAACAGATATCGTCCAATCCCGACTTTAATTATCGCGTCCCCGGTTTTCCACGAAAATCCCAATTAGAACTCGTTTCCGCTGAAAAACAGACCTTTGTCGACGTTAATTGGGTCAAAAGGTTTCTCTGTTTCCGAAGAAAGAAAGAAACTACTAATTGGCGATCGAATTTTTTTTTACTTTTATTTATTTAACTTCTACGAATCGACTACGTTAACGGCTCAGGCTTCTATTCCAACTGTTCCACGTCTCCGACCGATTGAAACACCGTGAAATATGAGAACGAACCCCTGACAACCTGAAATTTCAAAAAAACACAAACCAAAGTAAGTGGGCCGTAGTACGTCACACATATACGAGATCATTAACCTTTGTAATTATTTAGAATTGAAATCTTCGCTTGCAGTATCCTCTTTTGTTTACCCTTATTTGAACAATAGTGACTACGAAATGTCAAAAACACACGATCACAGACCACAAGGAAGAAATGATTTGAAATGAAACGAATTTTGAGAAATGGGGGAAAATCAAAAGCCTCCATTGCAATACCAACGTAAGATTAAGGTAAACCGTAATAATATTGTGGTCCACAAAGAAAAAGCACTCGTCTATGTATCGAACCGAATGATTGAAAGTAGGCACATTTCATATTACTTTTTAAACCGGAACTTACCCCGAGCAGGGTGGACAACGCGAGCGGAGTAAACTTGCCGATCGACAGATACAGAGGACGCTGCATCCGCGTCATCGTCAAAACCATCGATTTTTTGAACCTCCGACTGCTGCCGAACCAATTGGCCGAGTAGAGGGCGCTCGTGATCGACTCGCTCTGAAAATAAAAACCTACGGCGTGAAAGCCACGGTGCTATGCTACGCTCACCGCTCTGGTGATTTGGTTACCGAACCAGCAGTAAATAGAAAACTGTATCAGGACGGCGCAGAAATACTCGAGCTGAGAGAAAAAGTTGGGCGACGTCATCGGCACCTTAAAAAAAAAATTAGTAGTGAAAAATTGCGCAAGGGGACACTACCCTAGCGGCGACGTAAAGGCATGACGCGAATATCAACAACGAAGCGATCGTCTGAGCCAACGTGACAAACGTGAAGATCTCTTCGACGTCGTTACGCACGCTGCGAAAAAAAAATTGTCACCCAGCGCATCCGCCGGAATTTCGACCACTTACTCCAACAGCGTCATCAGGTGCTTCGTGCAGTGCGTTAGCTCGTTGTACATGGTGTTCTCGAGGTCAGGGTGCCACTCGTCTTTGAAGATTTCAAAACTGGTGCGCATCCCGAGCGCGTCCAAGCACCGCCTTCTGATATTGATTATCGCTTCTCCCAAAATGTCCAGCTGCGTTTTTAGAAGATGAAGCGAACCGACGAATAACATATCCGACGCTGAAACTCCCGAGGTCGCACGTAAAATCCCCTAGTGCGCAGCACTTACTAGCGATGTACCAAGCGAATATGTCGAGGCAGATGTCCATGTACGTCAGCGAGTAGTAACACCCCGTCACGGTGCTCATGTCGAACGGATAGTAATAGTAATATGGAAGGAGAGACTCGCAGGTGACGTTTGCGATAAACTGATCGTCGACAGCGTTCTTGCGGACGATCAGATACGTGCTGATGTGAGCCGATATGCCAACGAAACTATATAGCACGAATATGAACGAAGAAATAAAAATTGACAGGTACCTTTCTCGTCTCATCTTCGAACCGGGTTGGAAGTTACCTGAAACGCATTACTTTTTAATAAATGCGCCCCTCTAGATAGGCAACACACGCAACGACGAACGGTTAAGGTGTTCGACGAGGCGCCGCCGCCCCTCAAAGCCGCTAATAGTGTCAATTTTCAATACATTCTCGCTTACATATTTTCCCTATCGGGAGCATCGAAAATGAATTCGAATGGCGAGGCTGAACGCTAGCTAAGCGGGAAATCATGTGATTTTTGAATTCTCTTTATGTAAACGGGTGTTTTAAATAATTTTATTGTTTTTTCTTACATGGAATTGTGGTTCTGGTTACAGTAGACGCCGTTTCTTGGTTATCCAATTTGTTAAGGATGTTTCTATTTCAAAAATCACCTGCTTTAATTAAATTATATTGAAGGAAATTCTGTAAGTGTGTAGTAGCTTATCTTTAACGTCCCATTATAATTAAATATAAATTCCCCTCTAGTTTATACAGACTCCTTTATAGCATTTTGCGAATTACGCAACCCAAATGACAAAAGCGCCGGAGTCAGCACCATCTCGTGCTGAAGGCTCGAAGCATAAAATTTACGCTCCTAGTTTCGACACTGCTAACTAGAGCGCGCTGTAATTTGGTAAATTGGTTCTTCACGTTTCTGTTCTCCTGATCCAAGATTTCAGAAATGAAGTCGAACGGCGGAGTCGGCGGACGAGCGCGGCTCGTGGAAAGGTAGCTGAACCCCATAGACGCCGGTATTGAATGAAGGTTGTTTTGCAAATTCATCTCTTAATTACAAAAAAGATAGAACTAGTTTTCTCGGAACTAAGTCAGCTTTGTTTTTGTCATCGTTGCCGTTGTTTTGCTAATTTATTTTTATCCTTAATTATGTTTCCGCGCTTTGCTAAAAATTTATTTAATAAAGAAGAACCAAATAGACTATTGTTTGGTTTCTCTGTGCAAAAACTTTCAATACTAAATTCCAAGTATCGAAAGGTATTTCCTAAGTGTGGAAGAAATTTATAAATGTGTTAGTTGCAAAAAGCCCCTTGAATGTAAAAAGAATCCAATGCTATTAGGCACAACCCAACTTTGAGATAAAACTCCAACCTATTCCATACGCCAGCGCCATCTCTTAAAGGAGAGTAATAGTTCCATAAAATTCAGAGTTCGTTTGTCTACCACCATCTAGAGGCCGCCAAATTTAGACCGGTTTTAATGATTTCCATTCATCGTGCTCCTTCTGGCGTTTATGTTCTCCTGTTCGCAGAGAAGTAAGACGTATGCGAAGGCCCGACGAGCGCGAAAAGTTCACCAAATGAAGTTTTTGAGGTTATGATAACGGATTTGTAATGTCTATATTATAGAAAATGGCCGTTTCATATAATTATTTATAGTAATAGTAATATATTTTTTCTATTGAGGGGTGCTAGTGTGAAGAGCGGCTTGTTGGGAAATTCAAAATTCCAGTGCGCGGTCTATATACGTGCATTCCTAAAAACGTACCTAAGGTCTTATAGTAAAATTCCCGATTTTGAAGTTTCCTCTGGATTAACTCGATCTGTTTCCGCTTCAAAATTAATATTGAGAGTTTCAGAAGTCCAACTACGTGGGTGAACATCATTCCGATTTGGCTGACGAGCATTTGGGTGTCCCCGAAAGCCTCTCTAAATGTTATTAGCTCGCATATCATGAAAATTATAGCCAAAAGGAACAGGCACGATTTGTACAGGGCATAGACGATTCTTAAAATCTGAAAGATGAATATTTAAGGGATTTTCAAAGGTTAGAAAATTATTTACCTGCAATTGAAAATTCATATTTATTGAAATTAAATTGGGGGTATTAAGGTCTGTTTGGTTATTATAGGTGCTCTCAGCTGTAAGGATAGTAAGTAAAATACGCAAACAATACAGCAAAATTTTGATTTTTTCCTGTGCGAGTAAAGAAGCTAGATTTTGGAAGTCTGCTTCAGGAACTACGCAAGATTGCACTACTGCAATATTTTAATGGACATGCATTTTGTTGATAAACGATAAAGCACAATACTGGAGTGATGAAAATAAGAAAAGGGTGTTGGACGTAAAATGATAAGTTAGATGATCTGTGAAGGTGTGTGTGTATAGTCCCAACCATAAATGAAATACGGGCTTGCGAACATGCTCAATTAATGTAGCAGCAGTGTGCGCTACTTATTTATTTATTATATTTTAAATCAAAATTACAATCTTTGGATAGGACGCAATGGACACATCTAGTGGCCACCTCGAAGTCCAGATCTTACCCCACTGGACATTTTTTTTTTGGGTGACAATTAAAGATATGGTATATAAAAAAAGATGCACTACAGTAAATGAACTACAAAGGTGTATTAGAGAAGCTGTAGTCTAACTAAATAACACTCATTTGGTTTAAATACTATAAATCATATAAAGGTTGTTTATACAATGTGCATTATTCAAAATAGCGGACATGTTGAAAACTTACTGTACATTTTCTATTTTGTTTAACATTAGTTTTTACTTTAATTGTGCAGTTACTGTTGTCTATTGCTTTTACTGGTTACTGTTACTTGTTTTAAAATTTTAAACTTCTATCATAATTATACATATTTTACATTATTGACGATATAAAAAATGACGTTTTAATTTCCTAAACCAATAGATCTCTGTATTACCTTACATGCAAAAAAGACTCATTGCAAAAATCCTTAAAATTAATTAAAAAATAAGAATGATATGCTTTTTTAAAATAATTAATTGTCAGTATTTCGGTAACCATTAATTAGATTTAAGGAATATATATACCAAATTATAGGTATTTTGACCCGCCTTGTGAAAAATATCAAAAACATGGGCGTCTCATTAAAAAAAAAATATTTATTGAAGTTGAAATTTAAGACACCCTGAATAATTTAAAATACCAAGTCATTGCAGACCGTTAGAATGAAGTCTTATAAAATGCATTACTGCCCTCCATTGAAGACCAACAACACAAAATTCGAATAAGTAGTTTTTATAAAAGTTACCTTTATTTTTGGAATGGATTCTAAAAATATCAAAATATTTAGGGTGTTCCGTTTAAAATTTTAAAACTAATGTCCGTCCAGCATATATGTATAAGATTTAATTTGTTATTTTTTTTAAATCAATAGTTCCTGAGAAAAGGTAAGGCGACTAATAAAGTGCCCACCCCGTCATTTACAATAATCGCTTTAAAAAGGGGATAGTTGCGGTGGCGGCGCCTGTCGGCTAATAGCTGAACTGCGCGCACTATCCGGTCGATAGTTGAACGAAAATCAATAACCTTACCTTTTTTTCTGGTTAAATATGCTCGCACTAGATTAGTTCAAATGCGATTCTAATTAACCCTCGTTTAATTTATTGTTTACGTCAAAATAATTTTCAATCGGTGTTCGTTCGCCCGGTCCAAATAAAAAAATTCGCAAGGAATTTCGGCAAAAGGTCGATGGCTCCTCTATGGCGTGTCGCCATTTTGACTCGGGCGAATTTCGTTACCTAATCAACATGGACGACCACGCTGACGAACGGGTAAAACGCATCGGAAAACAAAATCGATGCGAGGTTTGAAAAAACCTTCTCACTGCTCGCTTATTTTCATCGAGAAAGAAAAAAATAAGAAGTGTCCAATAACAAACGATAATATAAAAAGAAAACGAGAGAGGTAGAGATTTTTTGAGAGACTTTTTATTATTTATATTTAAGAGTATAATGGAAAAAAAAATATCTTCAATTATTATTAATTAGTATTAATTATTAAATTAGTTATAAAGGTGCTTCGATTGAACATGTTCGAAAAAACCAGCGCCCCCACCGCGAACTATATGACGACAAAAAGCCTATGGTGTGAAACAAAGTCCAAATTTATTGTACAAAAATATTATTACTAAATTTTCATTTAAAAACTATTACAAAGTAAATACAAAATTCGGGGCGCCTGAGGACGGGGGCGGCGCGCCCCGCCCCGTCACGCGCGCCCCTGTGTGTTATATGTGTATGGGTTTCCATCACGCAATACTCAATGGAAGAAGATTCAATGTTAAAAACTCGCGTCCACCTTGGTTTTAACCTACAAACTTACTATGAACAAACATGCTCAATGCGCACGATAGGAGAACGTTTTTTTTAATTTAATTTTTTTTTTTGAAAAATTTCGCACACACCCTTAATAAGAAAAAATCGGCCCTGCACAACATCGATCTTTTTTGCACACTACGCTCTACTACACCGGCGTCTAGTAAGGCTGGTGCCTTTGGCCGCCTCCTCGCGCGCCCCTGCCTCGACCGCCACCCCTTTGTGTCGCCCCATAGCCTCCTCCGTAACCCGAATCCATTCCATAACCGCCCCCATATCCGCCGCCATAGTAATCGTACCCGCCATAGCCGTTATCATAGTTTCCGTAGCCGCCATAATCGTTCCAGCCCTGGTTCCAACCACCCTGGCCGCCCCAGCCACCCTGCAAAACACAAACGAACAATTAATTAGCAGTCCTCGTTAAGACAGAAAAATTATTCTTTTACCTGGCCCCCGCCGCGTCCTCCACGACCACCGCCGCGGCCCCAACCCCCGCGACCCATCATGTTGTTTGGTTGCGTAGCAGCTTTTTTCACGTCCACCTCCTTGTCCTTGATGGTCTGTTTCGGTTTCTTTAGGAGTTCCCTCACGATAGTGTCGTTATCAAATGTGATAAAACAGAAGCCTTTGCGTTGATTCTTCGTTTTGTCAAACGGCATCTCAACTTGGGTAATATTGCCGAATTGCGAGAAATAGTTTTTGATATCATCGTCGGTCAGTTCAGGCGTGATGCCGCCGACGAAAATTTTGCCGGGTTTGGCCTTGGCCTTTTTCACGTCGATTTGTTTGTTGTTAATTTGGTGCTCTTTTACCTGGAGCACGCTCTCCACGATTTCCGGACTATTGAAAACGACGAACGCGAAGCCTTTCGACTTACCGGTCTGCGGGTTCATCTTTAGCGTCACGCTTACGATTTGGCCATACTGGCCGAAGTACTCTTGGATCTGTTGTTCCGTCGTTTCGAGGGTCAGACCGCCTACGAACAGTTTTTTGTCTTCGTCAAGCCCCGGTTTCGCACCGGTGCCCCCGTTCTGCGCGTTTTGGCTTTGATCCATTGTGTTTTTGTCAAGATTTTGCCGTAAAAACACCGAACTTTAACACGAGGACGAATTGTCGACTGGCGTCAGCGTCACTAAAAGCGTAGAACGCGTGCGAGTGAGCGAGACTGACTTTTCCGGTGGCTTGGGTAGTGCCGTCTCTGTCGGTTTGCCCGCGTTTTTGCTACGTGGAAAGGACGAGACCCTTTCCTGTGCAAATCAGGTAAGCGAAAGGCCGAAAGGATACACCACCAACTGCTTTATGCCTTTTTGGACACTTAACTGCGCGGAATTGCGACTGGAAATGACTCGGTTTTGGAAAGATGCCGGCGTTGTAAGGACGCGACCTGTAATCCGGGTATCATTACCGACCGTTTAATGGGTTTGTGTCTCGGCTAGGCGCAGGATCGTACCAAGGACGATTTGATTTCGATTGAAATTAACAATTTACATATTTTCAGTTCATCGAAACTAAAACTTAAATAAAGCAATGGAGATTATCACTAAACTTATTCTTTCTTGAAAAAACTTATACATTTTCCCATCTATTGTTTCGTATTGTTTTTCCAAGCGAGCTATAAACTCGAAGCAGATTTTATTTACTGTTTTTGTCCGCGTCTAGGACAAAAATAAACCGCGGATCGCCAAGTGTGAAAAATCGATCTATTTTTAAGGCCGGCACGTGCCTAAAATGTCGCACACCCCAAAACGTATGGAAGCCTGATATGAGGCGTCGGATTTAGCGGCGCGGAATCGGCGTCCGCCGACGTCGCGCTGTCCGTCGCCGCCCCCACCCATTTTTCGCCGAAGCGCAAAACTTAAATTTTAAACCCCTATCCAGTGATCCAAATTGTACAACCGGAAATGCGTCAGTGATCGAAACCCATTGGGTGCTTTAAAGGTTTTCGTTTGTTGTACGTTGTACGTTGCTAGATCACCCAGCTGATTTGAAAATTGAAGAATTCCGCAATAAAGCTTAAAAAAAAAAACAATAATCAAAATCGGAAAGTAAGAACAAGAAGAAACACTAGAAAAATGGACACTAATTACCCTGGAATGCTACACAATCGAATTCTGCTCTAAATTACGTTAAAACATTTTCAATGAAATAAAAAATATATAACCAGAGAGAGGTAAAATAGGCTCTATTGTTCTGGAGTTTGTTCGTGATCAATACGTGGTTACTTCAGGAAGCCTAAATAAAAAAAAATAATTTTACGTGATTTGACCAATTACAGTCTCTCTTCTCGGGCGTTTCTAGCATTACTCGGGCCATCTTCAGAAGCCAATATCAACAGAATAACAAAAAAGGAGCATAGGATCGAGCCGTAACGACGCCGGTTGTCTTTTGGGACACACTGTACATTGTGCGGCGGGGTGCGGAAAAGGGGGGGATCTATTTGCGACGACCCACGCTTATTGATCTATTTTGGGCGGGTCACGTGTCACGTGTGGGGAAAATTCGTTCATACCCTGTCGCGATATGCGGCCCTGGTACGAGGCGTCGATTTTCGCGGTTCGAAACTGACCGACGCGGCCGTCGGCGCCGCGACGCCGAATTTCGCGATCGATATTGGCGACGCGCGCCCCGCCCCGCCCTTTTCTAGGGGGGAAGCAAAAAAGATTCGCCAATGCGAAAAAAAAAATGATACTGTTACTAATTTTATTTATCAATACGGGTTAAATGGTGAAAAATCGAAAACACATTTTTAATCATTTCTTCTAAATTTGGATTCCTTTATTAATCCTGTTGAGGTTTGCTATTTAGGTAATTTTATGACGTCACTGAATTGAATATTTTCAGGAAATTGTATATAGTCACATGACAATTATTTCGACAACACCGCGTCTTCATCAAATGTCTTTTGATAAATGTAATTTGATAAAGACACGGTGTTGTCGAAACACTATAATTTCGTGAAAATCTGAACTTTTAGTTCTTATTTATTTTAAATTATTTAAGTTTAAACAAGATAATTTCTTTTGAGGGCACCTTGATTGTTGAGGCCCCTTTTACATTTTATTTACCCTAGAAATAAAGCTATGATTTTTGAAACATTCTGAATTCTTATCGACTTCTCATCTGACCGTTGTAAAATGACCCCAAGAACCAACAAAGTATTATTATCAATATATGGAATGGAGTATTTTCTTTGTCAAGTCAGTCAAGAATTTGATTGCTTTTTTTTCCGTTATAAGGCACTTGAAAAATAACAATACGCATATGTGTTGTGTAATATTTAATTATTTTATACACATCTTCTAACATTTACTTAGGAACATTTTATATACATATTTAAGAACTACATTTAATGTTTCAAATAGTCGGTCATTTTCTTTTGAATTTTTTTAGTATGCCATTAAGCATTTCGTACTTTGACTTGTATTTTTACCATTTCTTCGAGAGGGGCATCTTCCCCATGATACATAAAATATTTCTGTAGCAGCTTAACTGAATATAGGGCTTGTTGAATGGTTGGCGGTCGTCCCTGACTAACTTCTTCATCTTCTTTTTTCTCTTGGTACTCTTCCTCACACTTTCTTGTAAACGTAAGTGTTGTTTGAAACTGCTTTATCCACCCGCTTAGTGGCTGATCATCTTCCAAGTCCTGTTCGCATTCTGTCTCGGTAATAAGTCCTGCATGACGCTAGGAGTGTTGAATTGTTTCTGCGGTCACCTCTTTCCAAGCTTTACTTATACTGCTGGTTTTGGCCACGTCTTCTCTAGCCAATGGTTCAGCAAACTGAATCATTTTTTCTTTGCACTTTCAAATCGTGGATGCAGTCCGTATCGACGTCCCACATCACTTTTCTTTCCTTTCCGTTCTATCTCCCGAATTAAAGCAACTTTATCATCTACGCGATAAAGGCATTAACATAATCGTTTATTACGAGAAAAACACTTAGGACGACCAGGTTCTCGGTAATTAGATTATTATTATTATTATTATTATTATTATTATTATTATTATTCTGAGAAGGTAAGAGACTCTATTAATTACAAGTCGGCCTACATTCCTTACTTTGTTACCTGACGTGTCCTTTTTTCTTTCGGTGTAGAGAGTGAGGAATTCGTTATACAGAGTGGATTAATACATAGCTTTGTATGGAGGCCCAATAGTACAACAAATTTTGCGCGTAATACAGAGTTTTCACTGTACTTTAAAAAATGTTTTCTTCTTTGAGCGATGATATTTACGAGGTATGCGGCACCTACCTTCCAAAACTTTACCACTTTACCACTATTATAATTCGGAAATCCTCGTAAATTTCGCAAAAAGAAAAACGCAACTTACCAAGGCGACGTCCTTCGGCAACTGTTGCAAGCCCACGAAAAACAAGAACTTTTCCGAGGCTGTAAAAAAATTCTGGGGATAGCCCCGCGTCGAGCTCCGTTTTCGTACTTCGACGTTCATTTTCTGCCGTCAAATGGGCAAATATTAGAGGTCTATTGGTTTTTAATGGCTTTTTTTATGTACTCAACCCCCCCGGGTAAATGTTTTATATGGGCCGTTAAGAAACGCGTGGGCATAAAAAATGCACGATATCAATCGTCTTCATTATTTAATAAATTTCAATTAAGACCAAATTGCCGTGGAAAAATGACCAAAAATCGGAGTGATTTTTGCGTCTCGTCATCGTGGTACACCGGGTATCAAATTCGCAGCTGTCGCTAACGCACGAGCCCCCTGTCATCGTTTGATACGAGCTGTTGTGTCTGGGGCTGCCATTGTATACATTTTCGATCTAAATTTACGCATATGCGACGCTCGTACGTCAGCTATATGTGTATTTATAGAGGGTGTCCGCCAGTGGCGTAGACAAATACATAACTCGTGTCCTAGGTGAAACAGAGAGTTCATTATATCTTTCAAAAGGTAAAATTTCACTGGATTGACGTTGGACTTGGAGTTTCATAGGTTTCGTGCCGAAAATTTTGTAACATTCAGGTCTGGTCATGTCATTATGTCTTGCAAACTAGTAAGTTCGGCCTTAATTTATGAAACTGTGTATTCTTTGAAGGCGTCGGCGATCAAGGAGTGTTAAACAGCTGCAGACCTCATCATAACGAAACGATGTGATACATTTGATTTGAAAAGAAAGAAAAAAAAGCACCTCACATGTAAGATTTAGAAGCAAGCAAATGAGCACTGTGCGATGAAGTCGATCCAAAATTGACGTTGATGTTTTCGCAAAAGAACGAACAAAGTCGAAGGTCATATCATTATATTTTGCAAAATGCTGTGTTAATTTATGGAATTGTGGTGTGGGGGATGATAACACTAATTATGATATAAATAAGAACTAAAAGTTGAGATTTTCACGAAATTATATATTTTGACATGACAATTGTTTCGAAACAAACTTTTAGTTCTTATTTATTTTGATAAATGGATTTTCATCAAGTAAAAGCCGGCTCAGTTCAATAGATGCGTTCAGCTTAATTAGTAAAGCTTGGAAAGAGGTGACAGCAGAAACAATTCTACACTCCTATCGTCATGCAGGACTTATTACCGAGACAGGATGCGAACAGGACTTGGAAGATGATCAGTCACTAAGCGAGTAGATAAAACAGTTTCAAACAACAATTGCGTTTACAAGTGAGGAGTCGCAAGATTTTATGGTGATAGATCAGGATTTGCCTACAACAGCAGACTTGACAGAGGAAGCAAGGAAGCGTGAGGAAGAGCACCAAGAGGAAGAAAAAGATGAAGAAGTTGATATGGGACCACCACCAACCATTCAACAAGCCCTATATTCAGTTAAGCTGCTAGAGAATTTTTTTATGTATCATAGGTAGAATTTACTGATCAGTTTTTTTCCTAAAAAACTTCAAGAGACCCTTGCAAAGGAATACGTAAGAAACCGGTTGTTTTTCCCGGATAAAAAAAAACTATTGCCCCGCCCATGTGCCCCTCACGTGCGGCGCGTACGGAAAAAAATATACCAGCTCCAACCTCTGGTCTCCTGACGCGTGGCGTCCACTTTTCCGCATGTGGGGGTGACGGAAAAAACTCCAATCGAGACTTACCTCGTTCGGGTTTCGGGAGGGTAACCCCAGGCCTACGAACGTCGAACACAATTTGACCGCAATGAAAAATTCATCCGGGTAATCGACTACGAATAAGAGAAAGCTGCAATCTCGAAACCTTTCTGCATTTACGAAAATCCGTACCTGTCATTTTTGTCCACGGTCAAAGTCACCCTGTCTAGGTACTTCCACGATATCGGTGCAATTTGCATTTTCTTGGATTGAATAGCGGAGATATTGTTTGTATAATGACCCTGTTTTATTGGGGGGTAATTATAGGGGACCGGGTAACAATTAAAACGATGCCGTTCCGTCTAAGGTTCAATTAAAACCTGCATCTTTCATTTGGGAACCATCAGTTTGTTTATTCTCACACAACTCGCTTAGAGTGTGACTATTTCAGATTCTCTGGAAACTGGAGGTATTAATGACGATTGAAAAATCTGCTATTGCAAAAAACATTAAACCAGCAGATATCAAATTAAAATCTTTCTTGGTCTAACAGTAGTTCCAAAAATGATTTTTTCTACTCCCGTCCGTAAAATACCTAATTACACACCGATCTAGGGTGCGGGAAGCGTCAATTTACCACGTCAGTTTCGTTTCCCACGGATCCGAGCCACTTCGGACATTTCCGGGATTTTACCGCAAGTGTTTGGGAGCAATCAGATGTTTTCGGAGATATGTATTTCCCACGCTTTGAATTTTATCAATTGTGACGGTCATGTCATTGAACGTATTCGTGTTGTTTTGCGAAAATGTACCCAAAAAGTAACGGTCGTAGAAAAAGTATAGTATGCAACACGTTCGATAAACTTTTTAAGTCACTCGTTAATTAAACACTCGCTCCGCTCGTGTCAAATAGACTCGTGAATCAAGTGCCGTTTACCGCACTTGTTGCATAATATACTATTTATCCATAAAAACGGAGAAAACGAATGTAACACCACTTTTTCTACTCGATTTCCACTCAAAATGGGATTTTTTTTTTCAATTTATTAGAACGGATCAGACTAGGTAATATCAACTTATAGCCGATCACAATCCAGTCTAAATTTGATTCTAACTGACCTAATGGATCTCTAAGAAGAAAAAATTAAAGTTACCTGGTGTCAAAGTAATTATTAATTATATTTTTATATCCTTGTTAAAAATTGAGCATGTTCTGGATCACCAAGGATACTTTTCACAAATTTTGAGAATAAAAGGGTAGTACGTATGTTAGCAACATTTATTTTATATGAAATCTCAACCCCCCAAGAATTCTGCCTACAAGCCTCTCTTTACCGCTAAAACATTTTTCAGGTACTCGGCTTTACTAATACATACTTACTGATCTCTATCGACAACGAGACCTTTTTTCCCAACCACCAAAAGAGGGGCTCCGCTAGAACCAGGTTGGATGACGATCAACGAGTATGTTCTACCGACCTCAGCGTTCCATAGTCCGAAAAACTCAATTTCCTTGCCTCCAGGTGACCTGGGTGGAGGAACAGCACTCGAAGCAACGCCAAAAACGAGATTTTACCACAGTCGATCAGTCGGACGTCCCACAGCAAAGATCCAAACGTCTAAATCGACCTAGAAGATGGACCAATGTGGACAAAACGTTCAACGACGAGCTGTGGAGCAGTCAGTGGTACTTGGTAAGCTATCCCCGCGCTGTTTCTCGCTCTGGGTACCGACCTACGGGTTGTAGAAAGACACCAGAACAAGATTGGACTTGCCTAAATTGGATCTGAACGTGTTGCCGGTATACAGGGCCGGTATCTCCGGTAAAGGGGTGAGAATCAGCATCTTGGACGACGGCATCGAGTACACCCACGAAGATCTACGAGCGAATTATGTAAGAGGCCTAAATTTTGCTTTTAGCGCGAGCCCAACAGTCGTTTTGCAGGATCCGTTGATAAGCTACGACTGCAACGAAGGCGACAACGATCCTCTGCCAAGATATGAAGCGAGCAACTCCAACAGCCACGGCACCAGGTGCGCAGGCGAAGTCGCCATGGCGGCCAACAACAAGAAGTGCGGCGTAGGGATCGCTTTCGACGCGAAAATAGGCGGAGTCAAGATGTTGGACGGCCTGGTCACTGACAGGATCGAAGGAACAGCTCTTTCTTACGCACAGCATCTGGTAGACATCTACAGCGCGTCGTGGGGCCCCAACGACGACGGCAAAACCGTAGACGGTCCCGGGAGATTAGCGAGGGAGGCCATAGAGCGAGGAATCAGAGAAGTACGGTGGTCTTACAGGCCATGGTAGAAATGAAATGGTTTTTTTCTAGGGTAGAAGCGGTAGAGGCTCCATTTACGTGTGGGCTAGCGGTAACGGAGGCAATAAACACGACAACTGCAACTGCGACGGGTACTTGGCTAGTATCTACACCATCTCCATAGGCAGCGCCTCTCAGAAAGGGGCATTTCCTTGGTACGGGGAGGCTTGCGCCTCAACGCTGGCGGTCACTTACTCTTCGGGGGCTTACAAGGACCAGATGATAGTAAGTACGTTTTGGAACGGCTTTTTATCGATTTGACGTAATCGATTTTCAGGCGACTACCGACTTGAACAACGAGTGTACTATCAAGCACACGGGGACATCCGCTTCTGCACCCTTGGCTGCTGGTATTATTGCTCTTGCTCTGGAGGTCAAGTAAGTACTCCTTACTGGTGACGTTCGAAGCGAAACGTTAACGTTGCAGTCCGTCGTTGACTTGGAGGGATGTCCAGCATCTGATCGTCTGGACTTCTGAGTTAGCTCCGGTTGCTGACAATCCAGGATGGAAAAAGAACGCCGCAGGTCTTTGGTTTAGTACTAAATTTGGATTCGGACTCATGAATGCCGCTGGTCTGGTTTCGGCGGCAGTCAATTGGACGACGGTGCCACCCAAGGCTAGTTGCTCAGTGGAGATCGAAAGGTGGGCGGTTGGAGAGGTCAAAGAGTGCACTTTAAAGGAGTTTTTTTTCAGAAGCGAGAATAGAACGATATCGTACAATCGACCCGTTGCGATTTATATCGAAACCTCCGCCTGTAAAGGTACCGACGCGGAAGTGTGGTTCCTCGAGCATGTAGAGCTTAGAACGACCATTAGCTATTCGATCAGGGGAGCGTTGCAAGTGGCTTTGACCTCGCCGGCTGGCACTACAGTGGAGTTACTTACGCCGAGACAGTACGACATTAGTACCAGGGGGTTTACCAATTGGACGTTTATGTCCGTAATGACTTGGGGTGAACTAGCGGCTGGACTTTGGACCCTACTTGTTACAGACTCCGTAATGTAACCATATCGTAACGATAGTGTCGTGCTCTTTTATTTAAAATTTTTGCAGATCGGCCCAGAAGATAACGTCGGCGAAATAGGTCGAACCATCCTTATCCTCCACGGTACCAAAGAACCACCGGCACACATGTACAACGGACCCAGAGATTACAATCTCAACTACAATAGAATCCACAATAGGGTGGGCGACGCGTTCAAGACGAAATTTTACGACAATATTTACGAGAATTATCTAAAATAAAATGTATAGTAATCAATAAACGGCAAAATTGATAACCCCTTACAACGGCTGAGTACGGCGCTGGTCTCGGGCCGCCATCTGCATGTGTTTCGAGCGATTTAGAAATTCGGGCGTTTCCCTCTCAACATTCGTTCCGTTTGTTCGGCTAGATGTCGCCTCGCCTTGACTCCGCAACGTTGCCGGTTCGTGCCCGACTCGTCAAAGTTGCCGCGTTCCAAACAAAAACTTTTAAAATGGCGATGCGTGTCAAACGTGTTCGTGATTATTTACGAGTGAAATCGAACAGAAAAATTTATAACTGGTATCACCTTTTAATCTAATTTTGAGCTGATTTCGAAAATGTGGCACCCCGGATGACTATCATTGCGCAGAATCCAAAGTATGGATTCTAAAAATTTTCGTGCTAACCTCAAATGGGTGCGCGGTTGGGGTGATGTTTCTTTTCGTTTTAGTTAGTTTGTAGTTAAAAATGAGCGATTACAGTAGCGACGAAAACGAAGACGGTTATGTTTTGTATAGGGATCGGCCTGAATGGAAAGATGTTACGCCCGTAGCGCAAGACGACGGGGATCACCCTGTCGTTGCTATTGATTATACTGAAGCCTGTGAGGCCGCATCATTTTGCCGTGTTTTTTTATACTGTCTAGCAAATTTTCAGTCAAAGATTGCTACGACTACTTCAGGGCTGTCGTTAAGAACAAAGAAATATCTGAGAGGGCTTTGGAACTGACTAAAACTGCCACTTCTCTTAATCCTGCGAATTACACGGTGTGGCAGTACAGACGAGAAATTTTAAAGGGCTTGAACAAAGATCTCGAACAGGAGCTTGATTATATCCAGCGCATGATAGTGAAACAGCAAAAAAATTACCAAGTATGGCACCACAGAAGGGTCATAGTCGAGTGGCTGCAGGACCCTTCCAAGGAGAAATATCTGACAAGCGTCGCTCTAGGTTTAGACGCGAAAAATTATCACGCTTGGCAACATAGGCAGTGGGTTATTAAGACATTTAAGTATGTTGTTTGCCACCAAATGTTTCAAGTGTATCGGATGTAAATATCAATTTTTCTTGCAGCCTATTTGAAGAAGAACTGAATTATGTTGAGCTCCTTTTGGAAGAGGACGTTAAGAACAATTCGGCTTGGAATCAGAGGTATTTCGTGGTCAACAATACAACAGGGTTTACCCAAGAAGTACTAGACAAAGAAATAGATTACACTCTCAGCCAGATCCAGAAACTCACTGAAAACGAAAGCGCGTGGAATTACTTGAGGGGGTAAGTAGTGCATCATTTTAAAGTTTATTGAAATGATGATTAAGTTATTAGGCTCCTGCTACACGATAAGGGCGGGCTCGGTGAAAATAAAAAAATCACAGACTTTTGTGAGGAGCTGTACACGAACGGCAGCAGGTCGCCATTTCTTTTGTCTCTTATTGTGGATATGTGCTACGAACGCGCCGCCGGAAGCAAGGGTGACGAATTGTACGGGCTAGATAGAGCCAAACGGTTGTGCAAAGCCTTGGCAGAAGAATATGACACAATCCGCGCAAAATATTGGGTATGTTACCCACGAAATGGCACAATAGGTAGTTTTGACACTATCAATTGTAGGTTCACATGGCAGAGACCATTGAGAAAAGGGCGCGTGGCGAGACTGTGGAAGAGCCTGGCCCCAGTACCGATTAGTATATTCCAATTTGTGGTGTTTCTTTTTTTGTGCTGCGTGGGATATTTGTTTCTTGGTTCAAATGGCGTAAAATTTGTGATACCGTTTTTTATTAATAAGTTGATGTTTTTCAAAAATGTTTTTCATTTAGTAACCTCTATGTCTCTGGCAAGCAACCGGTGCTGGAAGAGGGAGGGAAGCAACTTTGAAATCTTAAATCGAAACCTCCATTTTCCTAAACAAAAACGTCATATTTTGTCAAAAGGTTTCTTTTGCATTCTCAGTAGATGACGCTGAAATCGCAAAAAATGTGATGTTTCTTGTTCGGGCAGGGGGGTCATGTTTGGCGTTATTTAATAATGTTCTAATTCAATCTCTAAAGCATGAATTGTATTCTAATCACTGCAATTCTGGAGATATTGCACCATTGGTATACTTTTTGGAAACACGATGGATTTTTTTAATTACTAGTTTTATTTTTTAGTCTTCCTTTTTTAAATAGCTTCTTATTTTTTAATTTAATTTCCACCTTTGATAACGGGGAGAATATAAAAGAAAATAATTGTATGGTCTCATCAGGTGTAGTGTATCTGTGGTCTGTGACTATAACTTAGCAAGCGTGTAGCATGTATGGTCCCGAACTGTATGGTGCAGCATAAATGTTAAACCTGTTAAATAAAGCTTGTTGTGTTAATTAGCAAAAAGCACAAGTAAGGTGAATTAAAAAACCGTTTCTAACTTTCAGTAAGTATATTTAAAAAATTGATAAACCCAATGTGTCGCTTGAAACAATTGAGTATCATCTTATAAACATTCAAAATACATCGATGACAAATATTGATTTATTTAATTAAACGAAAATCTACAATCGACCCTATCCTGTTCTTTTTTTTGTTTGTTTTTCCAAGCGACTAAGTCGCCGATATGTCTAACAACAGAAATGGTGGTACGACGTTATTAACAAATAACGCCTTGATATATACATGTATTTTACTTGCATCTCTGGATTCGACAGATTTAAGTTATTGTAGATTTAGTTCTCTAACAACATCGTGGACATCGAGGTACCTTATAAATCTCTCTTGACTATTCGCAAAAATAATTACATATAAGTATTTGAAAAACGTAACGTACTGTAAATTTCTATGTAAAAGAATACCCGACATAATGAGAGGGACGTTCGAGGCCTTTCCCTTTTTTAAAGACCGCCTTAAAGGTCTCTGCGACGTCTAATAGATTAGTAGGAACCATAGCTATAATTAAACAACACGAGTCACAAGACAATAAATTAATATGCAAAGTTAACAAACGTAGGACACTCGTTTCCGTTTTGCTTTATAAAGCACTGCTATTTTATCACAGGCGGAACGAGTGCCCAAAGCGGAAAGTTATTTTTTTTGTGGTTGCTTTCGTAAATAATTGATAAAAATCCGGTATAAAAACCATACTTAAGAGTCAAACAGCATATCAACTACAAAAAAAGATAGTTTTAATCGTGATGCAGTGGTGTAAATAGATAAAATGATTCAGAAACTAACCGCCAGCATAAAGGTCTTATTGGTTACCTTTTATCATCGCCATCAGACTATCCACTAATTGGTTCACTATATTTCCTCCAAGTAGAAAACAACTTCTTACTTGCAGTCCAAATTAAGTTAAAACTAACCGATACCGCGGTTGATCTATGTAGAGAATAACGGTAACCATAGTTATTGGAAAAATTGACTGCTTTGAAACAGGTCCGGCTTGAGGGTTTTGAGCACGCATGACCATTTTGAGCAAGTAATTATAACGCAAACGCGCCTCAAACGCCCCGCACATTTCCAGTTCACCGCAAAGTCTTAGATACACGATCTGAAGGATTTAATATACATTAATTCCTGGGTAAAATATAAATTTTGAACTATCTATAGACGCACGATCGTACGACGTAACGAGCCAAACCTAAACGTTATCACCTCTGTCCCCTTAAGAGCGCGCTACACGACAAGATACGTAATTTTTTCTCTTCAGTTTTACCCTGTACACACAAAAAATAAAATGGAGGCGGTCCGAGCTGCAGCGTTAGGCCACCTTAAGAGGACAACTTTTTTTTTTATTGGTCGAAGACAATTTTTATTTGTTGCTGCGTTGGTAACCGAACGGTTCATGTCCAGTGGTGGGGGGCCGATGTCCGTACCCCTTCCACCGAGGGTCATATTGACGAGTCGAATACCGCCATAGACTGCGAGATGTCTTTGTCGGTTTTGCAGCAGTCGAGGAACTCGTCCAAGGTCACCACACCGTCTTGGTTTTTGTCCATTTTCTGAAATCAAATTGTTACATAATTTTTGAGATCAATATTAATACAAAATTCCTCAAGAGGACAAATTAAAAACTTCGATGGCTCACATAATGACGTAAATATTACGTTTAGCGGATATATTAAAATTAATTGCCAGCTGAGGGAGTGGTTGAATGCTTTTACCAACATTGTGTAGTTTTTTATACAATTTTTATACAATTTGCAATAGAATATCTCATATATGTATCATTTTTACATAAAAATTAAAATTAAAGGATTTTTGTTCTACGTTTTCCTTGTAGTCTTAATTATCTTGCTGCGATCATAGAATATTTAAAAATGGCAGGGTAAAAAAAAACAGAGGTGAAAAGTAGAGAGTTATTTACTCTGCTATTAAGGTACCTCCACCACAATTATTTTGCCTTAGTTTCAAGATCGAACTGTACACTTTATCTTCTTCTTCACCTCGAAGGAAAAAATAGACAGGGTGTCCACAGTTTTGAAAATTTAGGGCTCTAGGGTTTGCTAGTCACTTGTTACAACCCGCATACAATGTCGGCTCGACATTAAATTTCCCGTGAAACTTGTTATTAAATATACAACGTATCGCTAAACCCAAAGCAATAGATTTTTATACGAGCGACTTTAAGGGCGAGATATGAGGAAACTTTGTGCGGAAAATTCAGTGTTAAATAACCACCTCCATGTATATAAATCTTGCAATATCGCCATGACGCTTATAAACGGGGGATATTGTTTTAATCACGAGCAGGAAAATGGAAGAATCGCTTATAATACGACCAAAAATATAGTGCTTTGACGTTTAAAGTATTTTAACCGGAGATTTTCGCAGAACCGTGATAAAACCCGTCCCAACAGATGTTTATTCTGCATTAAGTAGGTCTTGACTGAGATGGACCGTAACGAATATTTGTAGAAACTTGCAATGTTTATTTGAAACGTAGATGGACCGTTTTAAACTTGATTAAGCATTGATTCTGCGGGGCATTTTCGAATAAGTAGAAGCATTTAGTTATTTTAATATCAGGTGATATGTACCGTTCTTAAGAGTTTAATCTAAATTGCAATATGTTCGTATATATTACGGAGGTATTTCACCGTGATCCTTCCAGTAAGTATTTATGTAAAGTCTGTTCATAGATATAAGAAAGTGACTAACTGATACGAATTAAGGAAAGACCCGCGCAAGCTGGAAGAATGAAATATGGCTGAACAGGACCGTACTTTGCTTAGAATTTAATTATTTGGGGTTTTGTTAGGAAAGATACTAAACAATATTTGTGTATGTATGTATTTATGTTTAAATCTAAAATAAAATTACAGATTATTTTTATTACCTACTTAAATTACTTAAAATTATTTACATAATATATCAGTATCACTATCACCTCTTATAATTATTATTTTTTCTATATTATTTGCAATATGGATATACGATTGTTCTGCTTGTTCTATATGTTTAACAGAATTTGCCCAACTTTGTGGAGAGATGTTAAAAACTTCGGTTTCCATAAGTTTGAGGACATTGGAGTTAACACGGGGAACAACATTGTTACGACGAATGGCCGATTTCAGTTGGTGCCAAACATATAATATTATTATATATAAAATATATTAAATATCATAACTGTCGAACCAGGTTTCATCCAAGTAAATAGTTGGACTTTGTTGTTCTCTGTAAATCCTAATTTTTTTTAGATATCCCAGTCGCTATTTCCGAATTCTGTCAATTTTTTTAAATCTAAAACCTATGTGTTGAATACACTTCCATAAGGTAGTTCTGCCACATTTAACACCAGTTTCATATTTTTCAAGCCTCCTAGTCAAGATATCTAATGTAGGCACGCTTTGTTCCTCGTATAACTGGTAAATTTTACGCCGTATTATATCTCGATCACTTTCATCTACACTCGAGAAATTGTCAGCATCGCTTCTTTTTTTCCTCGCTGAAATGGGATTATTCACAATTTTCCATACAATTGATGTTGGAATTTTCGTCAATGTGGCCGTTTCTTCTAAAGAGGCTTTCTTGCTGACACCACGTTCAATGAGAGTCAAATAAACATTGTTTATAACTTCCTTAGTCTCAATAGAATAGTGTTTTCTACATTTGGATGGGAGCATCTCCTGAGATGCACTAGACTCGCACATATTTTGCATAATTCGCACACGATTCAACACACGCTGTATTACACACGAAATAAGAATGATTACTAATAAACTTAAACTAAGTAGTATACCAAACCAAAGAATATTAAAGACAGGTAGGTACAAAATTATTTTCTATTACGGACCACAATTTTACTTGAATTTAAATTCCGGAACTTTAGATAATAATCTCGTTCCGAAGTCAACTGTAAGAAAAATTGTTGCAAATCGCATGGTCAACAGGAAACGCGAATTTTTAAAGAGCAACACGCAAATTTAATTAGGCGTATAAACTACAATGCTTATAAAGTGAATTGTGTTTTAACCCTAGAAGAACTGTATAAATAAGAACTTTATAGTGTATATTAATAACGATGCTATGTAGAAATGTAATGAAATAGGTCGTAATAAAGTGTTACTTTGTACTAATTTTTATATGGTCCGCGAAAAAGATTGAAAACATACTTATATCGCACTTGTTAGTGTAGTTAGATAAATTCCTAGGACGGCACGGTGTTCTATAAGGGGCTGCCGTTTAAAGTAATAAAGTTAATCACGGGTTCGGTTGTAAAAGCACTATACTTCTGGTCGAAGTGTACCTGGAATATCCTGTCAACTTTCTCTTTGACGGTGTCCTCGTCTATACAGGGCTCTGCTAGTTTACCCATCAGATCGTACACGGAGCTGACTATGTCGGTCATTTCCTCCTTGGTGATGAAACCGTCTCCGTTGATGTCGTAGAGGGAGAACGCCCATCGCAACTTCTCCTCCAAAGAGCCTCTGGACAGGATCGAAAGGTTCTGAACGAAATCCTGCAATACGGAGATGTCGCACTTATTTTTTCAGATCTGTATTTCTATTGTGGAATCCTGGTTTAGCAAGCAACAAAAGTTTTTGTATTATTAATTCCTCCAAGCCGATAGAACGCTTCATTGGAGGCGACTCCCGAGGGACCGTGATGAATATTGCATCGTTCTAGATACAAAGTTCAGCGGTCGGTTTTTGAGGCCCTCATAAATTTTTGTTTGTTGTTGATGGATTGGGAAGGCGATACGGTCGTCTCGTCGAAGGGCGTGGCGAGCACTGGTTTTTTTCCTTTTTAGGGGATTGATTTCAGAACGATATATCAGCCCACAGAAAAAGGAATTATACCAGTGGCCTCTGAGGTCTCCGTCGCAGTCGAAGGAATCGGATAGCGAAGTTGTCCGCGAGCTTCTCATAACTTTAGCGGTCATTTGTTGAAAATTAAAGCTTAAACAAAGTTGTACTTCTATACTCTTAAGGTTTATGTTACTAGAAGGGGAAGTTTAAACTCCGTCACGTCACGTCCGAAGCTTTTAAAAAGTACAAAACTACAAAAAATAATAGTCATTGGGATAGCTATACACAACTGCGAAACCAAAATTTCGTTTTCTACTGTTAGTATCGATGAGGTGAGAGCGCAACTTGTAGTATTCAACCATTGGCATGCGGTTCAGATTTAATAAATATAGAAATGTTGTTAATATGTTGCCCCAGAATTCTACCATTTCTTACTAATATAGTAAACGCATGCCTCCTTGAAGGCGTTTTTCCAGATGAATGGAAAGTTGCACGTATTACTCCACTAATAACATTTTGCCTTCGAACCAGTCAAGGTATCGGTCTGGAGACAGTTGCGTAATGGCGCTTTTGAGTATTACAATCAATAGATTCGGATCAGTCATCCGTTTTGGTGGTTTTGGATTATTCGAAGGCATTCGACACTATATGTCACGAACTCTTGTTAGCTAAAGAAACAGTTAGTTGCGGTGTGCCGCAAGGTTCCATACTGTTTGTGGTTAATTTATGGTATAATAAAATATGACAAACTGCAGGATGCTAAGTGGTTGAATATGCAGAATAGTCGTAGACTACGCTCCTTGGTATTTTTTCACAACATTATTTTTAATAACAGTCCTCATTACTTGACAAACAAAATAACATATCGGACAGATGTTCACAGATTGAACCTTAGATTTAGGGGTTTTATCTCTCCACCCCCACACAGAAGCTTCTCCTATTACGTATACCGTTCCTTCAAAAAAAAAAAAGACAAGAAATGTTCAGCCAACAAGCAAATTGCACGTGATTTTCGAGTAAGTTCAGTCCTAAAATTTTCTATACAATTTTTAATTTTTATATACACGTACACATTTTCAAGCAATTTAACATGACTATCTCAGCCCAAAAAACGAAATGTATGACCACATCAAAAGAGCCGCTCAGATGTATACTGGAAGTGGACGGGCAAGTAATTCAACAAGAGATGGAGTTTAAATATCTGGGTATTGACATTGCCAGTTATGGAAATGTGGAGGACGAAGGCAACAGGTAGCAAAAGCCAATAAAGTGGCAGGCTGCTTAAACGATGTAATTTAGCGAAACAAACATCTGAAAAAACATATAAAAGTACGAGTCTACAAAACAACGATTAGACCGATCATGACCTACACGGCAGAAACAAGATCAGATACTGCAAAAACTAGACGACTTCTGGACACTACGGAAATGAAGATTCTCCTCCGCATCTCAGGAAAAACGCTGCTAGACAGAGAAAGGAACGAACACATCAGGCGATCGTGCGGAGTGGACAATGTGAACGACTGGGTGCTCCAAAGAAAAAGGCAGTGGAATGACCATATTAACCGTATGCAAGATGGCAGACTAGTAAAAATCATTAGAGACAAATCACTAGACGGAAGACGGGGCGTGGGACGACCCGAGAAAAAGATGGAACGACGATCTCAATCCAGGTTGAGAGACGACCGATGAAGGAACAGGGCATAGGCCTACTATAGAAGAAAGAAGAAGAAGAAGAAGACATTTTCTTTTTTTTTTTGCTATGGTTATCTCATGCGAACTAATAATTTTAAAATAGTTACTATATATTATTTTATGGGGGTTGAACTTGGAACAATTTTAATTGCTTTCATCTCCTTCTTAGCAATTTATGTGGTTTACTGATATTTTATTGTATTGTAAATTGAACATTGCAGAATAAATTTATTATTATTATTATTATATAATTCATGAAAAACTCATAATATCGTACAAACACAATTTCCATTTTCCGAACGTTGCTAGGTATTTCGTAAAGCAAACGTCGCGATTGAGTGTCGCGAGCGAGGTAAACAACTCCGAAATTAGTTTGTCGACTCGGCGAATTAATCAAATCTCACCCCCACGTAACACGAGCGCCCGCGTATCCCACTTCTGAATTAACTCTTTACTCGACCGAATCGAGCGTAACACGTCGCGAGCTCACTCTAAACACGCACGTTTTTATTTACCACACGGGGAGACAGCTTTCGACCGGAATTTTTGATGCAATCACTCACACTAAAGGGCTGCTGTTGAATACAAAAGAGGGCGCTTCCTTTTTATCCCGGAGTCGATGTGAAATGTTAAAAGATCAAACGCGTATCGTCGGTGGCGAAAGTTCTTCACTTAGAGTTACGTCAAAGTGAACGTTCCGGGTATAACAGAAATTATAATAGCTCATGATTAATCTACAGGGTGTTCCTCAAAGAGGTTTGGTTTGAGAAATTTGCAAAAAAAAATATAAAGAGAAAATCCTATTACCGAGTTTATTAGATGGCCACCGGCGGGGGGGGGGGCGACTATTTCAACATTAAAATAGAAGCTGTTTGTTTTCGTATATATTGTGAATCGTGAATTGGAGATTTTTCAATTTTTAGTTAAGTTCGAGATTGAAGATCATAGTTTGTACTTTTCAATTCAAAAAAGCTGCTGTGTGATATTCAGGCTGTCATTACCCCAGGAGGATAGTCTTTCTTTCTATTCTATTCCTTGCTTACTTCTTAGGGCAGGTTCGACGTAGTTGCATTAGATTTTATTTCTGCAGCCCCAGAATGCTATACTTCAGTAGCATTTCTAGCAACTCGGTGCCCTCCATAACTTCAGGTATTTGTGAAGGGCATCCATCCCCGAAGGGTTTCACACAGTGTTCACAAAGGAGAATGATGGAGAGAGACCCATAGCCATCACTTCCAGCAACATTCCGTTTAATTGCAGAGATGACGTCCATTGATTTCACACTTGAAAAAGTGAAAGAGCCTCTGAAGAATTTAAAAACTGATACCATTCCAGGTCCTGATAATAGACCAGTTGTATTGCGTCAGAGATGTTCTAGTAGTGTAAGCACTATTTTGTCGAATATAATGAATGAAGCATTAGAAAATGGTAAATTTCCAGAACAGTGTAACACCATTACACAAGAAAGGCGATAAGCACAATTTGCTTAATATGTCATTCATGTAAATGTATGGAGAAAGCTATTGTAGCTGAATTAACGCCTTTCTTTTTAAATAATGGTTTCTTACCTCGGAGATCAATTATCATGAACTTAACAAAATGCTCAGATTACTGGACGAAAAGCTACTACAAAAATCAACTGGTTGATAATTTATTTAGATTTTGAAAAGGCTTTTGGCAAAATCTCCTTTTGCTTAAGCTCGAACGCTATTGGATTAGAGGAAATCTATTACGTCTTATTGCTTCATTTCTGAAAGATCGTTACTATCATAAGGTGCTTAGTGGTGTTCCGCAGGGATCAGTCCTTGGGCCGTTCATCAAAACTTAAATCACACTGTTTGCAGATGATACAAAACTCAATGCGAATCTTATTGAACACTATGATGACCTTCTGAGAGATCTAACAATAAAAGAAATTTGGTCCAAAAAATGGAAAATGAAGCTAAACGAAGAGAAATGTTTTGAGTATCGAAACAAACAGACCTTGGATTTATCATAACTTCCGACTTGAAATGGGAGACACATATTTTAAAAGGAGATAAACAGGTTAATTCTTTGGTTTTTTGCATGAAGAAAACCTTTCTTAATAGATCATCTTAGGCCATAGCAAAACTTTATAAGGCTTTCATTCTTCGAAAATTAGAATATGGCCAGACAATATGGGATCCTACTTTATTAAAGACATTGAAATGCTCGATCGCGTTCAAAGAAGAATAACAAAAATTCCAATCCATTTATCCCATGATTCCTATGAAGAAAGATTTGGAAAGCTGAATTAACAACCTTGAAAGAAAGAAGATTACGTGGCGACCTAATTGAGATTTACAAGGTGATATAAAACTATTACTCATGTTTCAGAATGACCCGAATATCCATCTACGAGGTCACTAAAAAAAACTAAAAAAGGAAAAAACTGCCAAACTGCAGAGAAAAGACTTCCTATGCACTAATTCTTTCAAGAACCACTTCGACAGAGAATTGTCACATCTGATGAGGGAGTAGATATTCAATAACTCTTTTTCCTTTTTCTCTTTTGTAAAAATCTTTCTTTTTTGTGATATCATTGAAGATACACTATATACATACATATATTATGTGCTTTTTTAACAAGGATTATTATATAATTTCTGTACACAGTACATTAGACATTGTAAATTTTATTCGTCAGCCTCATCGGGTTAACCGCTTGCTGTAAATAAATAAATACATAAATAAAATAAAATACATTTTTTATTTCATGCATAAAAGGTAATTTTTTACCCGTATTTAAACGAAACTTCACTGTTTAAATTTTACAAAAAACAAACGACGAACTAACGAAACAATTGCGCCAATTTGGCCGCAAAACGCAACGTAAATTATTCCTGCCTTCTCGCCCTTAGCAGGAATAATTTGTCCCGCATCTACGTGACAGATAACGGGCCTCGGGTGACTTGATTTACGGCCTCGGACGCGCCTAAACCGCCTAGTCCGGCAGGGGGACTGATGCGCATAAATCCCTTCAAAAAGAATTTGA